TAGGTGCGATTAACACATATTATACTCAGCTCTTATGTTAAATTAATGCAATAACAAAGTACAATGCATCAATTTAGGAATAATCTTCAAAACCTGATATTCTGCATTCTAATAACGAAAGAAAATCAAAAACCAAGATTTGAAAATAAAAATATGGCAGAAAGATTGAATACGTCCTTCGTGCATTGCAGAGATTGTATTTCTATGTGAAACAAAACATCAGGATTTCTCAATGGGATGGGCTAAATCAAAATATATCAACCAAAACCAACTGATGTTTAATTCAATTTTAGTTAACTAATAATGTTTCTTTAGACAATTAACTGACTAAGGCATATAGAAAATCCTATTTGGGTAATTAATAAAAAAAAAAATTACCAAATTATTCCTGAACAAATTATTACTGAACAATTCACCATTTAGTACCCTATCTCTTCATTTAACCAATTTACTAATCCTATTTGAGAATCTACTAGTGGAAGCAGAGTGTGAGGTTGTTCACGGCAAGCCCCTCTCCAACACTATGGAATTCACTTCAAAGCATGCTTTTTGTAAGTATTTTAATTTTCAAGAAGTAACTTTAGAGTTTTACTCTATATTAAGTACTTTTGCTTGTCAAAGTTCTTGTTATGATTTTTTTTTTTTAGTTCTAAAAAGATTTCCAGCTTGGCATGTTAATAAAAATTATTTTAGATTCACTCTCTGCACATTTCTAAAACAAAACAAAACAAAAGTTATAGAAATAAAAAATATATATATTTATTTTTCTGAAATAAAATGTATATTTGCAACAAATTTTGTTACTTTATATTGTAAAAAAAAAAAAAAATTATTTATAGCTTGGCATGTTGACAAAAATTGTTTCAGATTCAATCTCTACAGATTTCTAATCCAATTCAAGTTTTTTTTTTTTTTTTTTTCATGCCCAGATTCAAATTTTCTTGTCAACAAAAAAGAAGTTACAGAAATTAAAATATATATATATTAATGTATATTACGGTGATTGTCTCACAACAAATTTTAATACTTTATATTATATATATATATATATATATATATATATATATATATATATATTTAAAAAAGATCATAAAAAATTTCACCAAATAAGATTTAGTTTGCAAAACAAGAAATACAGAGCTTGATTTGTTGATTTAGAAAAAATAAAATAAAACAAAACCCATACATACAAGTTTGCAGTTGTAGAGAGAGGAGGGCAAGCTTGAGAGTTGAGAAACAACGGCTAAAGCTTGCGAACGGTGAACCCGAAGTGGAACAGTGGGCAATGGAAACTGAAAGATATGGGTTTTGATTTTTTGAACAATCTAAAATGATACGCCGATATAGGTTTTGAACTTTTGATTTTTGCAGACAGATAGATAAACTGAAATATATGGGTTTTGAACTTCTGATTCTCGTAGATTTTCTAGTTTGCAGTTGTAGAGAGAGAGAGAGAGAGGGAGGGGGGGGCAAGTTCAGACTTGAGAACTAGTATAGAGATAGGGGCGATTGGGGAGGCTGAAATGATTTGCGTTAAAAATATATAGGGTAAAGTACAGCCATACCCCCTGAGGTTTGATAAAAGGACACACAGATGAAAGTTATTCATTTTTTGGACAATGACACCCCTTCAAGTTTGAAAAATGAACAAAGAGACCCTGATAATGATGAATTGACTTTATTACCCTTTGATATAAAATTAATATTTTAATTGACTTAAATACCCTTAGATCAAACCCAAACCCAAACCGAAACCCAAAATTACATGTGTATATCAATACACACACATACAAAACAGGAGAGCCAAACAAAGTCTTCTTTACAACCGAGCTCACCGCCGCAGTTCCTCATCACAGCCGAGTCCACCGTCGCCATTGCTACCATCACGCTGCGAACCGCCGAGAAGCTCACAGCAGAGCTTCTTGTTTCCCGCCGGTGCCGCTCCTGGATATAGAAGATATCTGAAGAGCTTATGGAGCAAGTGAAAAATCTATTGGAGTGCCTTCGATTGGTGGATATAGAGGATAAAAGCTGTTAATGGAAAAAATTAAAAAGGAATGCACATTATAAATAAATTGTTTCTCTGAACCTCAAATTTTTTTTTATTAATCATAAATATTTCTACAAGAATTACCTACCGGGTTAAAAAAAAAAAAATCATAGAGAATGGTTACAACACACCTGCATTAGATGTGAATATGCACGACATTAGGCTCAATTCCTGGCAGTAGTGGACACTGGGGGAGCCAGTCATCCATCCAAAAGGAGTAGAAGTTGGACTCATTCCCTACTTAGGTTTTGATGAATGGCCTAGCAGCTTCTCTTAACCAAACAAGCAAGACCAGTAGGTTTAAGTGCCTGACTAAGATTTTACCAACTGAAGTCTAACAGCATATGAGAGAAATTTTCTCTGCTCGTGATCTTTTCAACAAGCTACTTTCAGGCACTTGTTAATGATTAGTCCAGAAAGCTTGGTGAATTGGTCTAATGCTAATTTTAGGGTTTTAACCGAGTCGAAATCCCCATTGGCAAGGAGCATTAGGTCAACAAAGATCTTGCAGATTTCTTACATACTTTCTAGTGATGAAGATCTCTAGCTATCAGACTCATTAAAGTAAAAATAAAAATAAAAATAAAAATAAAAATAAAAGATCTCCAGCAATCACAGTTTGTGGACCAATTGCATCTAGCAATTTTCTTTTATATCTAAACCAATTAATATTTGTATATATGGAAAATTCACATATACACATGAACTCAAACAGTAGACTCACAACATACACATGACATAAGCCTGGTAAACGTTCCAAGAACAACAACCCACCTCCAAGAAACTCAACCTCCAACCACCCTCCTCCACTGCAACTGCCACTAACAATGGCGACGGCAACTAATTTCACAGCTTTACCAGGCTTCCTCTTCCGTCCGGTTCTTGGAACGTTTCGTTGCCATACGTTTCGACGCCGATTCTCCGTCGCTATCAGGTTATGGGTACACCGCCACCGCCACCGCCCTCGTCAGTGGTGAGAACATTTTCAGAGTCCATTTTCTCCCTCTCTGTGTATATATGTATATATGAGGGGCTATAGCGTCATTTTGCAAGGTATGATATTTTATAATATATTTGAATTTAATATGGAGGGGTAATTTTGTCTTTTCATATGACTTAAGGCCTTGTTTGGATAGAATTTCCAAAAGAGGGGGTGTCATTGTCCAAAAAGTGAGTAACTTTCATCTGTCTGTCCTTTTGCCAAACCTTAGGGGTGTGACTGTACTTTATCCAAATATATATTTACGAGTATAAAGATGGAGGCGATTGGGGAGGCTGAAATGATTCGCCCTAAAAGGTGTGGGGAGTAAAAGTGAATCCAACGGGTTGAAAATGGCTATCCGTGTGAACGGCATCGAACAGTTGTAGATCTGTCTGGTTGTGTTTTCTTAGTTAATATGGATGGCTAAGATTGACTCTAGACTTATGAGTGTGAGGTTTGAATATTCAATTCTTATTGGTCCAAAATGTTACAACTGTTTATATGCTATTATGGTGCTTTTGCTAAGTCAAAAATATGATTGAGTAGGATTTGTTATTTTCTTATAATGTCCTTTACTTAATAATAAATTATAGGGCGAATTAGAAAAAAAAACCCCTCGACTTTCACCTGTTAGCAAAAAATCTCATTTATGAATTGTTTTAGCAAAAAAACCCCCTCAACTATCTTGAGAGATATTTTAACTGATGTACGTTTAAGGGGTTATGTTTTGGACGAAAATATCCCTTAAACACTTACCCTCAATTTTTTTTTTTTAACCTCTCAATCTCCTCCATCCCACCATTGCCATTACAACCCACCACATAACATTGAGACTTCGATTTTAATGAATTATGCTATTAAACAGTTCATGAATGGCTTAAAGGTGATTTCACTAGTTAATAAACCATCTGATTTAAACTAAATAATTGGGAATTCAAAATGAATTTTCGATGGGCAAACTTACTACAGTCTCTCACCTTCATGTTAAAACCTAGGCGGAAACAATCCATCAATAACTCATCAAAAATCCCAAATCATCCTTAATTATGCCTCTATCTGTAATAAATCCAATATTATTGTTTCAAAGATCCAATTCGTTGAAACTTTTTTTCCTTTGGATTTCATCCTATTTCTCTCTTCTCTCACTTGGCTTCAATTATTAATTATATATAGAAACTGTGGAATATATGTGTTTCATCCTGTTTAAGGTAGGTTGAATGGATGAGATTGAGAGGTTAGGGAGAGAAAGCACAAAAAAAAAAAGAAAAAAAAAAAAAGAGGAAAAAAGGGTAACTATTTAAGGGGTATTTTCGTCCAAAATATAACCCCCCAAACAAACATCAGTTAAAATACCCCCTCATGATAGTTGAGGGGAATTTTTTGCTAAAACAATTCATAATGGGAGTTTAATGCTAAGAGGTGAAAGTCAAAGGGGGGTTTTTTGCAATTCGCCCCAAATTATAATACTAGTGGTTGGATTGTTATGCTCGAGAGTACCTTATCCTCTCCTCTCTAACCACTTATCATCCATGGGTCTATAAATTTTGAGGCCCTATAAATTGCTTGGGCCTTTTATTTTAGTATGATAGCTAAGTTGACTTGAGTTTGTGATTGGGTAGACTAATTCTATTAATAAATTTATTTTTTTGGCTGGACTTAAATTAGTATAGTGAAAAAAAAAATAAATAAATAAATAAATAAAATTTGGAGTGGGCTCAAACCCACCAGAACCCACCCCCCCACCCCTACATCTGTCCTGTGCAATAGAAAGTCATATAGATTTCATTAAATTGAAAGACAGATGCACAGGAATTGTTAGCCGTAGCAGATGCTCCATACCATCCTCGTGTTCTTGCCTATACTCTCACCCTCTTTCGGATCTATTCCAAAGTCTTTGCATCTTTTTCTTTCCCACAACACACAAAATCAAAATTAGTCTTATAAAAAAGAAAGGAAAAATTACTCAAACTTTTAAAGATACAGAACTTTAATACAAGAAGAAAATGTGAATTCTACTCAATATTAAATAGAGAAGTGATTAATCAAACTCAATACATTTTTTGTTGCGGATTTATTAGATAACGAAACATTATGAAAAAAAAATTAGTAACTGCAGACTTCCTGATCGGATTCCTTCGGACAGGGCTGCTTGACACCACTTGAACATGAAGAAGAGGAAGAGGAAGAGGAAGAGGAAGGTTGATGAAGCTCTGAGTCGTCTTCTTCGGATGTTAAATCCATAACACAAGGCCCACTCACCCACATTTCCTCACTACCACTATCACTGTCATTATCACTTTTTTTCTCACGTATGACACAAACCACCCAATCATCTTTTGCTCTGGAATATTTCTACACACAAAAATTTCAGATTACAATTCATAGAAATTCTTCTTCAAATGAGTGTTGTTGGAGTATTTGATTGTATACCTTGGTAGAATTGGGGATGCTGTCATCAGAGTGTACAAGGTGATACTCGTGCATGATCCAAGGAGTTGGTAAGTCCGTCTCTCTATAGAAAACCAGCAATCTCTTCATTGCATGCACTTGTTTGCCTTTATATACTACTTCAATATCTTCTTCTGTGCCAATGGCCTCCCAATAACCGCCACATTCGCCGCCACTGTTGCTGATTATGTTGAGTTTGTTAGCCTCAGAAGATCTGACAAAGAAATATCTTTTGTCCCTACGATCACCTGTGAAAGGGAATTTAATCATGGGATCTAAAACAATACAGTCTGCAAAAGATAATTCGTTTCAAACGAATTCTTTGTTTTAAAAAGAAATTAATTTGCTAGAATTCTTTGTTTCAAAGAGAAATCTCCAATAATTCGTTTCTAGTTTCAATATCCAATCATATAGATCTATTCCTTTCAAATAGGAGAGAATTCGTTTCAATCATTTCGTCAATTCCGTTCTTATCATTAGGTCAGAAACTCCAATTGTCATTCCCATCAAATCCTAAAATCGTTAACACGTCAAAAACCAAGGTGACCAAAAATAATCCTTCACCATTCAAGTGCACTCTATCCAAGTTCTTATCATTAGTCGAAACTCCAATTGTCATTCTCATCAAATCCTAAAATCCTTAACACGTCGAAAACCTCAAGGTGACCAAAAATAATCCTTCACCATTTGAGTGCACTCTATCCAAGTTCTTATCATTAGGTCGAAACTCCAATTGTCATTCTCATCATGTCCTAAAATCCTTAACACATCAAAAACCTCAGGGTGACCAAAAATATTCCTTCACCATTCAAGTGCACTCTATCCCTTATCATTAGGTCGAAACTCCAATTGTCATTCTCATCAAATCCTAAAATCCTTAACTGAAGGCCACACGTCAAGGTGACCTACAATAATAATCCTTCACCAGTGTAGGTACTCTATCCTATCCGTCTCAATATCCAACTAACCATATAGATCTAGATCCATTGCTATCAAATAGGAGAGAATTCTCTCGTCAATTCGATTCTATCATTAGGTCCAAACTCCAATTGTCATTCTCATCAAATCAAAGGTCACACATCAAAAACCTCAACCTCAACCTCAAGTTGACCTAAAATAATCCTTCACCATTCAAGTGTACTATATCCAATTCGTTGCAATATCCATATACTAATTCGTTTCACTATCAACTATATAGGTCTATTGCTTTCAAACAAGAGATTTCAATCAACTCGTTGCAATATCAATAAACAAGAGATTTTAATCAACTCTCTCCAATTCGTTGCAATATCCAACTAGTAATTCGTTTCAATATCAAACCATATAGATCTATAGCTTTCAAGTATAATTTGTTTCAATCAACTCTATCCAATTGCAAATTCTTTCAATCAACTACATTCATTCAATTTCGTTTCAATGATATATATATAATAATAATATATATAGATATACACAGACACACAACACAACACAAACAGAAATAAATTACCTGGCAAGTCCTCTGGAATGGTGTGGAATACATCATAGTGGTCAGGAATGACATTGTTGAGATTGTTATTCATTGGATCAGAGTAGACCTTCGAGTTCAAATAGTATCCAAGCAGCTCTTCTTCTGTGGGAAGGAAGCGATACCCACTAGGAACTCCCATCTCCATATATGATAGATAGATACTCGAATAAATTAATAATAATAATAATATAAGTACAGTACAAGAAGCTATTGATCTTCTTTGTCCCAAACAACAAATGATACAACGGTTTATGGATTGTGTAATTCCTTAATCTCCCCGAAAAATGATATATATTTATATAGACAAGAAACACAAGTCCTACCCGCATTTGGACTTCCATTTATGGATAAAAGAATAACGACAGCCACAGTCTCCCAATCCTATTATAACTCAACCCTAATTCCCAACTTGACTAGGAATTGCTTCCGTTATATATATTGAAAAACATTTTGTACAATTGGTCAAATGAGGACACATATATGGACAAAATCATGCAACGTGGAAAGCTTTACCTAATATAGCATTCTCCATTTAGCCAATTCCTTTATTTTATTATTAAAAGATGGAGAGAATACTTCTTTTCTCTCCATAAATATAGTATACGATTCCTTATTCATATTGGATACTCCATTTTGTTAGTTGCCTAAAATGATCCACAAGAATAACTATATATATATATATATATATATATATATATATATATACCTAAAAAACTTACTGTAATTAAATTACCTTAAAAAAAAATTAATAAAAATTTCATTTAACACCCTAACGATCCATCACTCATACCAATTTATAATTTTTATTATGCAATTATTATTTTTTATTTTTTTTACCAATGCAGTTAAATTCATTTATAACCCCATACCTACTCAATTTCGAGTAAATAGTTGCGTAATCGATATGACATGCATAAACGATTAAACAATTTAAAATAATTATTACGTAATTGATGTAAATTTGTTCAGTAACTTAAGATGTTATTTTAGTGTTTAATTTGAAACACAAAAAAAAAATATAAGGCTTTTAATACAAGCGAATTACTTAATCAATGATTCAGAATGGGTGTAATATAAATTTCCCAAGAAAATAGAAAAATAAAAAGAAAAAGAAATAAAAAAATTACAAGGCTTATAATATAAGCGAATGAGACTAATAAGAAAAAAAAGAAAAGAAAAGAAAGGTGTAATATACTCAAGGCGGCTGTAAGTGTATTTCCTTACACGTTCACATTTATTTTCATTATCTTTATATATATATATATATATATATATTTCTTCGCAAATTCCGAATGCATGCGGCCTTCTTGAATCAGAGACCTAAACGGAGTTTTCACTTTTTAAAGATCTTACTAGATGAACGGGTAAGAGATTAGCGACCTAAATGGAGTTTCCACTTCATAAAGGTTTTGTTTTTTCAAAGAGAGGATAAATTCTTATAAATATCCATATCTCGCTAAAAGGAGAATATCCATCGGGAAGTGAAGCAATAAGGGTCCTGCCTAATATGACTTCGAGATAATTTAGCTTTGCATTAGCACCTTATTGCCATGCCTAACTACATGACTAACACGAACCCAGGAAAAATCTCGAAGCAATTGAAGAATATCAAATTTGATAGCATCCAAAGTTACAGGACTTGAATCTGGAATCATCACTGCCTTACAAAGCACCTGTGAGTCATTTTCAAACCAACAGGATGAAATATGAAAATGATGAGCCAAAATGATAGCCTTTATGAAACATTTAGCTTATGCTATAGTAACATTTAGAGAATGAAAAGGGGAAAAAACAATTAAATGAAGGATTTTCCAGTTGAATCACGAAACACAGCACCACCTCCTCCAATGGATGTCAACCGGAAAAAAGAAACATCAAAATTACATTTGATTTCTCCTAAATTTGGAGGCAACCAATGAGATGTAGAATGAACCGAATTTAACTTACCCAACCTACCATTCACAACACAACAAGAGGGAGCCTGAATAGCATCCATAAATTCCCAAAATTGAGCACAAGCAGTTTTAACAATGGATGTCGGACTCCTAAAGTTCTATCAAAACAAAGATTATTTCACCCTTTTCATATGTGCCAACACGCTAAATTCAGCAAACCCAAATTTTTAAGACCATCACCAGTGGAAACCCATAATGAAATTAAGTTTGCCCACCAATCTGTAAAGGAGAGCGGAGGAGAAGATGTAAAATCAAATCTAAATGGGGACAACTTCCAAATAAGGATAGAAACTGGACAAGAAAACAAAAGGTGAGAAGTGGATTCCTCAGCAAGCCCATAAAGGTCTTACCAGTTAAACTGGTAAGACATTTAACATTTCTCTATGGTTTTCTATATTATTATTTTTTTATTTCATGAAAATTTATTGCTTCCATATTAAGTTACATAAAATGGGAACGAGAACGTACTCAAAATTTTTGGTTAAGAAGAATTAATGTTTTGTTTTTTTGGTTATTTTGGTTAAGAAGAATTAATGTTTTGTTAAAAAGGATTGTGTAACTTAGCTTTCACACTCTCATAGAGAGGAATTTGGGTGGCTTTACGTGACTCCACAGTTTACAAGTAAATGAACCCTTGAATTATGTTTTTTCTTATTTTGATTTATTTATTTATTTATACGTAGATGAGCATTTGGAAAATTGGAAACCAAGTTTTAGTCAAAGAAATAGGGTCCAACTTGGGGCGAGCCAATCCGAATTCAGCCCAAATCCAACAAGTATAATGTGGTTATAAAAACCAATTTGCCACAATTTTGCTACTAATAAACCAAAATAACATTTGGACAAAATATTGAACATTGTTGGCTTATATTTATCTCAAAAGTAGTACAATGTTCAAGTAAAAGTAGCAAGAAACGACTTTCACTAGGTTTTTCCCTCTAAACTTGTTACCTAAATTTTGAAGCATGGAGGTAGCCAGAGTTCCTCTAAACTGTTTGTACATAGGCTGGCCTTTTTCCATCTCTAATGTATTTTAATGTATAAGAATTGAATATATATATATATATATTATAGCTGTATTAATTCTGGTATCAACTTCCACAGAAATGACAGCTCCCTTTGTGAGAACTGTGGTTTGGCTTCAATTTGAATCTGCTCCAACCCCTCCAAGAGTATCATCTCTCCTTCATCCACCACCTCCGATGGCTTAATCATGTTGGTAACAGCCTCTGTAATTTCCTGAACCAAATCAACAATCACGCCGTCCACACCCATTAGATGCTGCAAGTAGACTGCTTCCACCACATTGCTGCAAGTAAACATCATTTTCCTAGTCAGTACCCTAAAATTAATCATTCAACTACACAAATTTAGTTATTAAATAAATTATCTTTCTAATATGAACTTACTTCAATTTGCCGTATGTTAGGAGTGAGAGCTTAGACGCTTTAATCTTGGTTACAGCTGCCGGATTTCGAAAGATTCCTTTAACTTCTGAAACAATGCCTTGCAAACCACCTTCTAAGCACACCTTTATTGCTTCCTCCAACGAATTCCTTCTCACATCACTGTAAATCTCAGCTCCTCCGTTTGTAAGGAAGAACACCTGCTCGGAATAAGTAGAAACTTATTCATATATGTGCTTTTAACACTAGTTATTCAGTTTAATTGCCTAGAAAATGAAGGAAAAAACAGTAAAAAATTAGATATTTGAGAATTGCACTTACAGGGTAGGAGCTCTGCAATTTCTTGACAAGAAGTGCTGCATCAGGTTGGAAGCTGGAGAAAATGATAGGTCTGTCTTTGGCGTGTTCAAACACCACCTGAATTACAATTTTCCACACAATTAATTAACAACCACCCAATAAATAAAGAAAAATAAATTAAGCTCGGAAAATGATAAACTTGACAAATCGTATTTGTATATTTTAGGCACCTTCAAGATGGTTTGGAGAACATGGGTGAGATGATGTTGTTGATAGACAATGTTGTCGTCAAACTTCAGCTCAATGTTAAAGCCCAGAGAAGGGTTGACCATCTGAAATGCTTCTTCAAGGGTACAGTGGGAGTCATCGTTTTCGACATTCCAGCTTATAATTTTGCCATCTTTGGTTTTCCTTAGGAGAGGCTTCCCCAACTTCTCGGGTTCTCTTTGGGGACCATAGAGAAGAAACTCAGAGAGAGACAACTCTGTCACTCTCTTCTCAATTACAGTACCCTGAAATTTACAGGTTTCCAAATGATAAGATATCAATTGCGAAAAAGCAAAAGAAATAAATGGAAAAATATGGGGAGAGACACGGAGACAGAGGAATGGCTTACGTTTTCTTGAGAGAGGATGGTGTCGTCGTGAAAAATGATGGGGCTGTCATCTTTAGTCACCTACAAAACATACATTTGTTTCTTTTACACACAACAAGTGTAAAAAATATAATGCCCAACAAGACGGCAAAGGAAGAACTAATCAGCACAGCACCCTTATGATCAAAGTTTATATAAATAATAATAATAATAATAAATTAAATTAAACTCCTCTAAATTATCACTCTGTAATAAATAAATAAATAAAGTGACAAACGACAACTAGTACTAAATTTTCAACTCAGATAGAATTGCTTTTTCTAATATTATTTTAAAATTTTAATAACTATTTTTTAACATGATGGTGGAATCTGAGAGGATTTTTAAAGACAATTGTTGAATTTTTTTTTTTTTTTTTTTTTTTTTTTTGTGAAAAATAAATCTGTCCAGAACCATTAATAACAACACAATAGGAAAGAAAATAAAGATGATGAGAGTAGGCAACCTTTAACAATAATATATAGAGAGATATCATTAAAAATTGAATATGTAAAAAAAAAAGTATGAACATTTTTAAGACTCGTAAAAAATTTATAGACAAATTTACAAATAAAAAAAAGTTTCAGTGGGACGACTGCCCCCACTTAATGGGTCCGTGCATGAACATGACTTTCATGTGAGATCTAGACTTATTAGTAATTATTAGTAAAGGATCCAAATCTGAATTTGATTCATAACCTTAATATGGATTACAAATTTAATTTAATAACTAATTAGAATTAGAATTTGTTAACTAAATATATCAAATATAAATTATTGGTAAATTCTAACTGATAATAATCAGATCCAATACAATATTAGAGATCTCTCATGATAAATTAATAAATTAAATAATTCATTTAACTTTTCACTTATTTAAAAAAATTATTTTTTAATAATTAAATAAAAAAGAGCTCATTCTTGTAATAGCATTACTCTAAAATATTTTAAACATATACTATCCTCCTCCCTCTCTCTATTTTCTCTTACACTTATTTTCTTTCAGAAAGAGTAAATATATATTTCTTTCATATTTTATTTGTCTTTTATTTTCTCTTTTTAATCATTGTTTGTCCTTTTTTTTAAGATTAATATTTTTTTAAAAAAATAATTAAATCGCTATATAATTACTGCCGAGTCCCTATTTATTGAAAAGTTACTAAGCCTTTAAAGTTTTGAATATTTTTAAAATCAAAAAAAAAAAAAAAAAAGATGTGAAATATAAATGTCTTTAGTATTTGTAACTAAATGTCTTTGGTATTTGTGACTCATGTGTCCCGAATTAAATGTTACAAATACCAAAGACATATTTAATTCGGGACCAAAAAAATATTTAAAAAATAAAAATAACCACTTATTTTAAAACAGACAAAAAATAAATAAATAATAATACTTATTTTAAGACAGAGAAGTACTGGTCAAGTATTGACACCTTAAATTTAAAAGGGTGAAAATTTAGGTTAAAGTGCCAATTCAATACCACAAAATATAGCATTATTGAATTTAAATTGGATCATCAGTTTGACCTACTTACCGACATAAAGTAATAGGACACGTTTCCTTGCTTACAAAACCCAATAAAAGTACTAGGATTTAATGCGACATACGCGGCGAGCTTATGACAAACCCACAGCCGATCGTGCCAAGGCACAAACTTTTTACATATACTCTTGCAAGTTGCACTATATATAATTATTTGGATTAAGGTCGGTCAATGAATAATTTTTTTTTTTTAAATCCATTAAGAACAGAATTCCGCTTATAAATTATGTATATACTTTGGCGGTAACCCGAACCCAATCACAATCCTGCGTAGTATTTTTTTTTTTAATGGGTTTAGAAAATCATTCGATCACTAATCAAACTTAATTAGTGATGAAATTAACAATCCAAACTTAAACTTTTCTAAATATACATAAACTTACATATATATATATATATATAGTGAATCCAAGATTAGAATGTATACCTGAACATCAAACTCGATGAAATCAACAGGGAAAGTGGAAGCAGCATTGAAAGAGAGAATGGAGTTCTCTTTAAAGGCCTTCATTCTCCTATCAGAGGACTGCAACACATTCATTCCACTTCCTCTGTGCCCAATCACTGCAAATTTCGGAATTCTAAAGGAACTTGATTTCACCACCTCATGATCAACAACCCCTGCGCGCACCATATGTATAGTTTTATGAACAAAACAAACGTACATTTATACATATGATATAAAAATATTATATTATACCAGTAATATATAAAAATGATAAATATATATATAAATATATATATATATATACCTTTGGTGAAACGAGTGGAGTAGAGTGCCAAGGAGGGGTTTTCGGTGACTTGATCGAGATTGGGAACGTCGGAGACATGAACGGCCTTCAAAGCCATTGCGTGTATGTGTGTGTGAGAGAGAGAGACAAGAATAATGAGAAGTATAGAAGAATGGTTGAAGCAAATGGGATATAAGTGGGAGGACTATTTAAGGAGTGGGAAAAGTGGAGGGAGGAACCAAACCGAACGGGATTTTCGCCTAGAATATTCTTTGGTAACTCCTCATATGCCTTTGGATATTCCTCAAATTCCATTCATCCAACCAAACGCCGTCATTACTACCGTCCATACAAAGTTATATATTCCGTCTATTTTCAACTGACTTCATTAAAAGAGAGACCCTACCCCCTTTCCTTTCCTAACAGTATTAACAACCACTGCTCTTTTGGTTTGGGACACTTGACACCCACGTTTTTTCTTAAACACCATAATTTTACAAAACTAAAACAGGACCCGGGACGGTTCGATCCTTAAGCGACTTAGGTGACCGTCTCAAGTCCCAAATAAGAAGATTTCTAAAAGTATTCTATTTTTATTATATTAGATTTTTTAAAATTTTATTTCATTTATGAATTAGCTCTAAAATTATTATTTCAACTTCTAAACATTTTTATTTCCTTACATTATTTAGATAGTTGAGCCAATAAGAAGACCCCTAAAATTATTATTTTTTTTTACCTTATTAGACTTTTTTTTAAAATTATTTCCTTATATTATTAAGCCTCTAAAATTATTATTTTATCTTTCTAAGTTCTTAATATTTTTCTTTCCTTATATTGTTAAGTCCAACTAATTGTAACTATTTCCATACTATAAGGCCCTTAAATTATTACTTTCTTAGTGGATATTATTATTGTTGTTGTTATTATTATTATTTACAATATATATCGAGTTAACTAGACTTTTTATTTTATTATATTATTATACTCCTCGTTGTTAAAAAATTTGATTAATTCTAAAATTTTCATTTCACTTTCTATCAAAATTCACAATTCTATCCTAATCTAATTTTTTTTTTTCCTGCTCCCCTTTTTTCACGTTTCTATTGAATATATATTTAACTAACAGTCAATCTAAAACAATTAACTAATAATTGTTAAAAAAAAATTTAAAATAATAAAAAATATTATTCACTTAGATTTGTGTTATGCTACTCTCAAACAGTTTCATTTAAATAATATTAATAATACATTAAGATGTCACTTTGATAAAATTTTAATCTAAGATCTCAAATTATATTGAGTCAGCCATATGAGGATTGTCTTTAAAATTGGAGTTGCCCGTGTCTCTTTCAACATTTGTATTCCACTAAAATTATCATTATTATGTATTTTATTTATTTTGAAAACCACAACCATTGAGAAAGAAAAGAGAAGGTGCCAAGGGCCAGAATATCCAATGGGATATGCTCTAACGCTGTTTTATTTTGAATTTATTATTGTACGAACCGAAGCTCCCACGCGTTGAAGTGGACAATTAAAACCATGTAGTATTATAGTCTTCTTCTTCTTTTTTTTCCTTTTATTAAAACATATACTACTATTATCTTTTTATTTATTAATTTGGAATTACTTTAATATGTAATGTCATGTGGGAGAGCAGAGCACTATTATTTGAATAGGACGATGCTGACGAGGATCCACGACCCTCTCTCTTTAATATAGATGTCCGGCCCGGGAAATTAGCTGGTTCTGTTTCATTTAAGTAAGCAACCATTCACTACATATATATGTTTGTTTGTCTTTTGTAAGCCCAATAACGTACCCCTTCCCAGTCTGAATATATATATATATATATATATATTGCTTTCTTTGAATATCATTTGTCAATCATTCACTAGTTCAATAATTTTATCTCCATACCTTCAAACACAAGCAATTAAGTTAACCAATCTTCTAATCCATCATCAGAATGGAAGTAGCTAGAAAAAGAGATAAAAAATGTTAGCTACATTATTTTATTTTATTTTTATTTGGGTAATTACTTAATTGTGACACGTTAGCAATTGAAGAAGCCAGCAATGGTGTTCCCACAATCCGAATAAACAAAGCCAAACGTGAAAGAGCAGTTTGTGCCATTCCTTAGAAGCTGTCGGATGGATGGATGGATGGATACAGCTGTTGTTGTTTTGTCTCTACTTCGAACCAATTAACTCATTTCCGGGCCCACTCTTATCAACCACCCTCATCATTCTTATTCCCAACCATATATTTTCATTTTCCTTTTCCTTTTCCTCTTCCTTTTCCTTTTAGAAAAACCGGTTACTCTATATAATATTCACACACCAACACACCTATCACTACTTTTGCTCGTGAAAGTTGTTGAGTTATTGTCACCTTTTTTCATGCACAGCAACTATTTTTTGTTTAGACCTACTTTTTCAGCTGTAGAGATTTTAAAGTTAATTCAGCTTTTAATTACCAAAACTCAAATTTGGAGTTTTTCAAACTAGAATAAAATATTATAAACTCTATTCATTGAATGTTTATGAAAAATGTCTTATCTAATAATTATTATGTCCCCCAACACTATCTGATCTTCCAGAAGCTATCATTTTTTTTCTTTTCTTTTTTGTTAAATTTTATTTTATAAAAAAAAAAAAATTTGCTTATTAAAATTGGTCCCTCTTACATAAAAATTCTCTAAATTATCCTAAGTTGAATTGGCTATCAATTGACACGTGACATTTAAAATTTATTTGCTGGTGTTAAATTACGTCAACTAATTTAAAGAAAATTGAAAATCTGATTTAAGATAAGAAAATTTTACTAAAATTTAAAAATTGTATAAGGAAAATTTACCATACTCTAATGATGTTTAAGGTCCTTATCTCTCCCTCATATTTTCTAAAAAAAAAAAAAATTCTCCCTCTCTCTTCTCTTTATTTCTATCTTAAACAAATCATGATACTCTCTGTTTCTCTTTTAACCCGCCCAACGACGTTCTCTCTCATCTTTTCTATGGATAGGGCTTTTGGTTGTATTTTCCTAATTCCATCAATATTCATACTTATATATATGTATTCTTTTCCAATTATTACTATTGCCAGTAAAAATTGCATGTCTTGCAATTACATTTTCGTCCATTTTAATTCCATAACAAAGAATATTAATTTTTGTTAATTCAAGTATAGTGAATTTTTCTTAATTTAAAACGGTTCAGTTTTTAAACTTTAGTAAAATTTTCTTATAATAGTAAATAAATTTTAAATGTTATGTATAAATTTGTAATGAATTCAACTTAAAATAACTTAGAAAATATTTAATTTAGAGAATCCAAATCCTAAATTTTATTATCCCTATTTATTGTTTATGACTTACTCAATGGGACTGATCCTTATATTAAGAGTATATAGCCTCTTGTAAAGCAACGTTTCAAAATTTGATAGAGACAAGAATGAACCTCACCTCACTGCCAAAACATGGAAAAACTATACTTAAGTAGATTTAAAAGTCTTAAATACAAATCAACCTATTATTAAAGTTAATTTTCAATTTGACCGAGTTAGATAAAATAATTACATATGCATTAAAAATTATTATTTAGGTCCAAAATATCCTCCAAACTCTTATTTCAAAATACCAAAATATTTTTCCTAAATCAAATCATTATTTCGTTCCTAAAATTTAGAAAAAACAAGATTTCTAAATTACTTTTAACTTGGCATTGGTATATTACCAAAATAAATAAAATAAAAACTATATATATTATAAATTTTGCGCAATTTTTTTTAATGATATCTCCTAATCCACATCGGTTCAAACCTGCAAATATTAATTTAAAAATATACAAATAATTTAATGAAAATTTATTACGTATAGAATTATTTTTTCAGTAAGTGGAATTTCATTGTGTATATATATACACACACACACATATACATATATATAATTTTATTTGAACATAACTTTAACCATACCTCCTAATTCATACTAATACATGCAAATGTGAAAACTTTCCTATGAATATATATTATTTTTTATATACACCAGCAATCATTTATTTTTTTATTTTTTATAAAACAAGTGTAATTAATTGAGCCAAAAATTTGATGATAATCTCACCTCATGTACCACAACAAGGACCATTTATATATTCTTGAGTTTAATTACATTTTTCGTTTTGGGGACTAACCTTTGATTGCCCCATTTTTTATTATATTGAATATTTTTTATTATTTGTATAAGTTATCGTGTGTATATGAAAGTTGCAGCAATATGTTTCAAAGTTAAAGAAAATAAATTATTTTAAAAAGGTACTTGATTTTGGGAGAATAATTTTTAGTGTTTTGAAATAAGTGTTTAGAAGGCAATTTCAACCTAAACATAAACAATAGTTATTGATACAAATGTAATTATTTTAATTAATTCAACCAAAGTAAAAATTGAACTTTTAATATAGATAATTTTGTTATTTAATGGTCCTAACTTTATGTAAGTGTAGTTTTCCTATGATTTAATCATAAAACAATTTTGAATGATTGATTCAGAAAACAAATATATTCATTAATAGGATGCTTTGCTATATTCGAATGGTTTAATACTTGGCACGCATGACAAACACATAAAAGGTATATATAATCCAGTGGTTGGATTAAAAGAAATTAAAAAATGTTATTATTGGTGGATGTAAGAATAACCATACTAGCACCAGGTCTAAGTTGACATATAGCGAGAGGAAGAAGAGGAAAGCAAAGATTGACAAATTGTTAACTTTACTTTGAGCTTGATCAAGCCTTCCTTGGGCAGTTTATATAAACAAGCTTGGAGTTAGAAATGTAGTCACGTGTAATGCATGTGAGTTTGGTCAACTTGGACAAAACCAAACACAAAGCCCAACCCAATCCCAACACCACCAGGAACAACAAAGATATGGGGCTTCAGCGTACACACTACAATTTAACACCAACAAATTTCACGAATGCAATACAAAACCCAGAAATGAAGACAATCACACAACCGTGCTATTCCTTCATAAACCAAAATGGCCAAACCAACACTTCGCACTGTGTTGAGCCGTAATGCACACAAATATTGTTGAAGTTGAAAAGTCACAGCTTTGGTTGGTTACCTAGCTCCGGACATCATCACGCTGCTACTACCGCTCCCTTTGTTTACCCCACTCTAGATGCTGGAGCAACAACTTCAGCCGACGTCTCCCAGCTTTCACTTTTTCTTCCCCAGCTGGAGTGCCTGGGATATACTCCAGCACGGTCCCTCTCATCTACTGTAGTCCTTATATCTGGGGACTTTTCACTTAATCCGCCATCTTTATCGTTTGTACCATCATTGTTGCTAAGTTGCCCTTCACAATGATCTATCCCACACCCGACATCTCCCCACACGCCTTTTCTACCCATTTCTATGTCATCAACGGCCTTCCCCATGTTTGGGCTAACAAAACCACCACCTGTTGATCGAACCGGAAATCCAGGTTCCCTTGGCACCTTTGCGCTGAAATTGTTCTTGGATGGAGGGATACTGCTGCAAAATATCTCCATCAAGTTCTGCACCACTCCTTTGTTAAAAGGGTTGGCTCGCCGATCATATCCATATCTGAAATTCTCATAAGTAGTCTGCAAAAATAAATGGAGTGCAGATAAAATTTCTCCCTGTTCTGTTCTTCACAAATAATACACTTTGGATCATATGGATCATAATCGAAGCTATAAGATACTGACATGAGGAAGATAGCAGCACTCTTACCTGGTTTGTACTGATGAGATATAAATGGAAGACAGTTAGGCCACCAACAAACCACACTGATATGAAGGTGTAAATTATTAGAATAATGGAGGCAGGGGTCTTGATCATTGCTTTCCATATTGTTGTCTCCTCTGAATCCATGATCTTCTTGATGTACACCCAGCAGAAACTAAAAACATATATACAAAGAAGTGTCGTCGAGAAGACAAACATAAAGAAGTATCGATAATTCCGCTGCATTATAATTGTCCAAGTTTCAGACCAATATAATGTTAACTAATTCAAGATGTACATGATCACAGATTGGTGCAGGAAAAAATTTTCTACACCATTATTTAAACATCAATTCTAAGAAATGCATGAAAAAAATGTGAATCTGCTTGCACGAAGGAATATTTCATCAAATTAGATGCATGAATATCTATAGCCAAACAACTTATAGTCCATATATATCTCAGGAGCTAAATATGTTGCTGAAGAGAAAATCTTGACTCTACAATTTCATGTTTACTTTTAAAAATGCAACTACCCTAACTTGTAGTGTAACACTATCAGAGACCTAAGAGGAAATCCTGCCTTCACCCAGATGGATAAAAAATCAATTAACTAGTAGAAACTAGTTGGCTTTCATATATATATATATAAAATAAAGGGTAAATTGCATTGACACCCCCCAAATGGTTAATTCCTTGTGTAATATGGACATACTATTCGAAGATACTAAGTTTGCATACAGTAATTTGATCACGGAACTACCATTAGAAGATACTAAGTTTGTGTACAGTAATTTGATCACGCTTGTTTTATGAATGCAAACTTAGAAAGCTCAAAAGTTAACTCCGGCCACCGGATTAAATTTGGACAGTACTATTTTAAAATGCCTATATGCACTGGAAGAATGGTGATGAACCTTGATACTTTTGCCCAGCTCTGACTTATGCCCATTATTTAGTATAAAATGAAAATTTCATTAACTAAAGAATGTCCATGTCGTGCATGCTCAAGCTTATTGGGTCTTTGGACCACACGATTATAACTCCAGTACAAAGAAAATTTCATAATACAAATAATGGAGAGAGAAGAAAGGATGTGAACAGCAACTAACAAACCATAACATAATGAGCTACAACCTAACCCACAATTTCTAGTAGTAATAAGGTAATCCTGTGCTGTGTATGGGCCATATATTTGGTTAAAGTAACATATTTATGATAAATGGATACGGAAAATACAAGTGTTAAAACAATTTAAGAGAGCGCATTTCTTACCAGCCCAACACACTGTCCTACCCAAGGGCAGTGGTGGTCAAATCGTTCAACACAATTATTGCAAATTGAACAGTGTGAGCAGCGGGGAGGTCTATAAAGCATGCATGTATCACAATACTTGATTTTCACGGTAATCCCATTGACCTCTACTTCTTTAATGCGAGGAAGGCGTAACTGGGGTGTATGGCCACCACCTTCTGTAGTTCCATCATAGCCTTCTGGTTCTGGAGGGTGTGCATTACGAGGAATTATACCAGGATCTCTTCCAGAAGTTAGCAGGAGGACAACTAAAATCTGAAATCAAACATATCTGCCAAGTTAAATTTGACTTATCAAAAAAAAAAATATCTACCAAGTTAAATTTCAATACTAAAAAAAATTAAATTGATTTTATTTAGTTGGGTTTGTGGTGAATGGGTTTGGATGTAGTGCATGCAATATGTGGAAAAGTAGAAGGCACTCTCTGACTCCTGAAGCGAGATAATAATCTGACTGGCAATCTTCATCCAAAAATCAAGCCAATCAATGCATCCTAGCCATTGATTTGGGCATCATGTTAATATTGTTACAGAATAATATAGAGCTAACCATGGTACTCCTCTGACCGATGCACAACAATGGTACGATGGATGAACTGAATTGAACTTTGACACTGGAATTAATAAAGGTCAGAAAACAATTCCCCAAAAGAACACCAACCTATGCTGTCTCCCTCCTATGTATCATGTAGGTTAAATTCCTTAAGTACACAGAGCCTCTTCCATGAATAAATTATAACATCTCAGTCATTTAATGTAGTCATAAAGTAAACTAGGAAAATATATATATAGTCATAAAGTAATTGCATACTCTATATGTATGGTGAGGGAAAATGGGAGTTAACTCTCACATTCTGATGACAAGACCTCTGGGAGGTCGTGTATGGGAGAAAGCCAAGACAGGCTACTGAGGAGAGGCAGGAAATAAGGCAGTAAATGGAGGAAGAGTACTTGCTAAGTGGATTTTTGTTGTACTTTTACGTATAATCGCTATTTATAGGATTGTACACACGTCAACTAGGATTTACTCATCTTGAGCCCTGGAGCCTACTAAACTTGGTGGTTTATGTGTGCCAAACTGAAGGGGCTTAGCTATCATCTGTTGTGGCCTTACGAGCCTGGCACTTGATGAGGAGTCCTTATTAACTGTCACAAACCAAATCAAAGAACATCCATCTAAACCCTGCCCAACTTAGTTGCCACACACAGTCACCAACACACCACAAAACTACAAAAAATATATACTAAATAGTCTAAACTTCTTCTTTTTTCCTCTATACCGCATTTCCATGTTAGGAGGGAAAACGAACAAAATAGATGTTTGTTCAGTTGTTTCTGGTTCAGTGTGGGAGTTTGCACTTTGTTTTGGTCTTGGTTTGTTTTGTTTGCCTCACCATGTCAAGAAAAGGGTACATGCAAGGGAGGGTGTTGGAGCTTGATATATAGCTTAAACCTTTGGGATAAGCAGTGTTAGTAAAAGGTTATCATATCATTTCTCCTAACATAAATCCAGCCTCCTTTTGGCATCCCTCTTGTAACACCTTTAACATGAACTATATCATCCCTTAGCTTAGAAAAAAGTTTTAGTTGAAGACAACAAGCCTTCTTGGCTGAGTTTCACTTTATCATGAGTTTGATGGGCGAGTTCAAACCAAATCAGTGATATTTTCATAACAGACTTTCGGCCAAGTCAATACAAGTGTTGTGGTTTGCTTACAATGACTGCATGTTCAACGTCACACAGCTGAATTTAGTTTTGGAATTTTATTAAGGCTTAGCAGCACTGTAGATGATGCCCACTGCCAACAAGAATTAGGTATTCCAATAAGCAAGAATTTCATGCACAAAAAAGAAGCTTTGCATCCAAACCAAAAAAGTAAGCCATGTTAAAAGCTATTTTTTTACACAAACTTGGACGTAATATGATCCATATACACCAAGAATCCAAAGTAACTGGTATTTATAAGAACATCTAACCGGACATATAAAAGAATCTACAAGAGAATTCAGAAATATATCAACAAAAAGAAAAAGGAATCTGTGTGTGTGTGTATGAGAGAGAGAGAGAGAGATCTCACGTAGAATGTGAATGCAATAGCCACAACCATTATTGATATTCCCAAGTGGTGAGAAAATTTGTCCATCAGTTTTCTAGCAACAAAGACACAGAAAACTGTGACTGGAGCAACAATAAGAAATATGGTGAGAAACAGCGACCTTACATCTGGTCCAAATATAAACCTTCCTTGAAGAAAAAATATCTGCATGCAGGCAAGATATTGAACTGATTAATACCTTAAAAGACAATATTCAGAAATTAATCTTTGAAGTGTATGTAAGAGTATAGCATCCAAAAAGGACTCCTCACATGTTTTCCCCATAAAATGCATGTAGACTATATTGCTAGTTCCTATACTTCAAAGCATACAGAAGAGTAAGACAATTTGGTTTAACTAGAGAAAATTTGTTATGTAGTGAAATACTCTTTTGTCTCTCCTTTCCCCCCTAAATTTGAAGTAAAAAGAAGACCAATATGAGAAGGAAAATGTAAGTGCTAGTAGAAGAATAAAGAAAGGATAAGAGGGTTCAGTGTTATACACATAAACCTAGAAAAAAAAAACAATTTTTCCATCAAGTTAGTAAAGAATACTAAAGTCGACCAAGAAGTGGTTCTATAAAATTAGAAGAAACTCACAGAGATTGTTCATGCCAACCACACATGGTTAAAAAAAAATTGATAAGTAAAGATGTGTATATGGTTAGGACAAAAAATTAAAGATAATGAGTATTAATTATTGTAAACCCATGCATGAATGAAAACTAAAAAGGTGATAATTTATGGAAGTTAGATGATTAGTTTCAACATTTTCCAATCATGAATCCAAGAAGCTATGAAATTGTTTGCATAGTCTCGATAAACCAGTTTCAATAGTTAATCAAGTATCTTCATCAATGGAGCCTATCGGTACATACAAGGATTTAACTAAAAACGAAAGAATTACCAAAGGCCTTGTAGCCTGATGATACTTCCGCTCCTTCGAGAGTATAAGGTCTAGGGTTCGAGTCCCCATTGAGCAAAAAGTAGATGCGTGAGTGTGTGATTTAATAACATGTTTAAACACACAAATTTAATACCATCAAACAGAATCTAGCAACATAAACCGTAATTCCAGTACACATGCCAACCAGATATTAGCAATCCAAACTATTTCAATCAATAAAGATACAGCAAAAATGTCGTCAAATACCCGTGTGATTGATCACAATTTTGTGAGTGTATGTGTATATATATTATCAATTACTCCGTACATCATTTTCCTAATAGACAAAAAAGAAAAAAAGAGTTCCCTTTAAATAAGATTCATGATTTTCACTACAAAACTTAACAAGAATCGTTTTTTATATGCAAAACATGAAAATAAAAAACATTGTTAATAAAAACGAAACCCTAGAAAAGTAATAGAAACTCACATTGCCGCCTTTCCATGTCTGGTAAATCCTGAAACCATCGGAGCCGCTAGTGTATCCGGATATCGGATCGGACTGCTTCGGAGGAGGAACCACATACATAACTCTGTTTTTCTCTCAAATCCCAACTTCAGATCTTTAATACAACAACAGAAACTGTGAAGTACTGTCGATGACAAGTACAATTCATACAACAAGAGCTCAAAAGTACGTATATTGTGAGCTAATCTAGGGTTTACACTTTCCGGTCATAAAATAGGCCCATAAAATTCGTCAGATTCCGGCGAATGCCCGGCGGCGAGAACTCAACCACTGTTTGTTGTTTGGGCGAAGAAGCCAACGAGAGGGTGTGAGGAGTGAGAAGGAGGGTTTGTCTATGTCCTGAGTAAAGCATTGTATTTTTTTTTTTTCATTTTTTATTCGACGACAGAGAATCTCTGTGCGACTGTGATGGTGGCCGAAAGTGACGTGGCTTGATGTTATTGCATGTCTCAGTCAGCAGGTGATTGTGGACCATCTGCCCTTGTTGGATCTTCACCAGTCACTTATACATCACTGATATATATATAGTCGTTATTTCAGTTTAATCACTGACTTGTATCCACTATACCAAAACTAGATTAATTCAAGTTAATAATGCAGTAATGATATCACTCACTTGAATCACGGTACCAAAACTAGATTAATTTAAGTTAATAATGCAATAATGATATATATATATATAAACAGGGTTGTTAGGTCGTTGAAAATGTGTAACAAAGCAACAGTGGTGGTTGAATGGTGTTAGCAACACCACCAACTCAAAACGAAGGGGGGACGTCATTTGCTTTTTCAGTATTCCCATTCCGTTGAGGTTTGGAAGCTCTCCCCACCTCAGTTTGACTTTGCTACGGATTACCTTTCTTTCTCTGGGGATTGGTGGTTGAGTTTGGTTCGCCAATGGAGGCCTAAGGAGGGGGTCGAATGTGTTGGGATTTGTTGCTTGTTGTTACTAGTTTATTTAGAAGGCTCAAAATAAACTCGTTTTTAATGAAAAGCATTGGGATGCTTAAAAGAGTTGTTAGTTTGACATGTTTAAATTTCTGGGAATTCAAGAAGGTCTCTAATTTATCGCATTTGCGTCTATCATGTGGTATGATTAACTCCAGCTCCTGTTCGTGTTTCTCATCTTCATTATCAAGATGTCTGCCTCCTCATCCAGGTATTGTTAAGTGTAATGTGGATGCGTCATTTTCTCAATCTTCCCAAGTGGGGGGAGGTGGAGCTTTCTTTCGGGATTCGTCGGGCACTATTTTGCAAGCTGTGGTTTTTAGTCCGTTCCCGGCTTCTAGTGTGACTTCGGCCGAAGCTATATGTCTTCGTAACGTAGTCTTATGGGCGTTATCTTTCCCTTTTAATTAGGTTTGGTTTGAATCTGATTCTTTGACTATGGTTAACGTTGTTTCTGCCGTTGATCTAGCGAGTTGACATTCAAGCCATTTCCTATGATATTCAAGTGGTGTTTCAGAGTTTTTCCTCATCATGTCATAGCCATGTCCATAGGCATGGCAATGAAGTGGCCCATGCTCTTGCGGCCCTTTCCATAAGTCATCTTCCTAAAGAAGTTGCTCTTGCCCATATTCCGCTTGATATTCTTCTTCTAGCAGCTAAGGATTGTTTGTTTTGATTTGTACGGCTCCTCTTTGTTTGTCAGGTTAAAAAAAAAAAAAAAAAAAAAGAGAAATTAAAAAAAAAAAAAGAAAAAAAGAAGAAGAAGGGGGTACGTCTACTAAAATCCCATTTTTCGTCATATACTACTAAAATCCCATTTTTTACAATAATTACTTTGTCAAGTAGTACTTATATATAGAATGCTGATCCAAATCTTGGGGGAATTAAATATGTTATAAGATTTAAAACAAAATATATTTTGAAAAAATACAAAGAACTCGTACACTTTTTGTTCATGAGATTCTTTACACACAACTATATTACAATGCAACACACTTGCGTTACAAAATCTAACTCTCATACAATTATTTCAGAAAAGCTGGTTCGATGTATGCAACCATATATAAACAGTCAATTGGAACAATTTGGAAACCTATGCACACGCATAATAATTTAGTAAAATGTAACTATACTAGATTAGGAACTCAAACACTCTTGTTCCATTTTGGATGAATTGACATAACGTCAATGAAGTAATGTTCTATACTTTAGTGTATTCTTCTTTCCCATCCCAGGTAACCATTACAAACCAACATCTCCTGTACTGTCTCTACAACTATTGTCCATCCTGAACTCTAGCCATTCAACTGGAATAAACAACTTCTAAAGCCTAAGCCCCTTAACACTGCATGAATGATATTGAACTCTAATATGCTCAACTCTGCTGTGACTGCAAATTCTGTCTAAGCATTTATTACGAAAGTCGATCCTTCTGTCATATGCTATTACCTGTTCACTATACCATTATCAAGTTCTGCACTTTGTCGTCTCTTTTTTCTCCAATTCTCTCCCCACATCTTGGCCTCTGCAACAGCTTGCTCTCGATCTGCATCCTTCTTTAACATCCCTATTTCATCTGGGCTGCTCCCAGGCCCTTTGGGATCAACCATGCCCTCGTTTCTTCGTCCTTCTCTCTCTGATATCTTTCTGCCTTTCTCACCTTTACTGCTATTTCCATGAGCTGCACTTGGATCATGCTGCTGGGAAGTCAAGTACTTCAAAGCAAACACCACATTGCTAATATCAGGGCGAGAATTAGAATCTATTCTAAGACACATCGATGCCAACTCTACAGCACTTCGAAAGACAGTCTCTGAGAACTGGCCTTTCAGATGTGGATCTGCAAATTGCATAAAGTTCTTGCTGTCTTTTAACATGGGACTTACCTACAAAATCAACGAAATTAAAAGTAATTCAGAAACTTATTAGTTGCAGTATGAGAATACATGCATGATAAACCAAACACTGACAAACTACAGGTATATGAAACCTACAATATTGGTACTGTCAAATTCCTTCTCTAGGGCAACCGACTTCAGGTAGACTGGATTCCCTTAAAAAAAATTATTTAATTGAAAAAACAATTAACACCGATGCATCAATGTAGTTATGGTACAATTGAACATTATCATACAAAGTAATTATGCAAAAGGTTTGGGTTCTGCAACACTCTTAAGTTGATATACTACCAGATTGGATGATAAAAATCATTCAATAAGAAGAACTCCATTACAATAGAATCCATCATATCAGATGAAAATTACTGTAAAAGGAGAATCTTGAGAAGACATGTTAGATGAACTTCCTAGTTCGTACATCGAGTATGCGAGACATGAAAGTGCTGTTAATGGTAAAAAGCAAGAATAAAAAGAGGACATGAATTTGAATTTCCCTTGGTAATCTAACCAGAAGGCTTTACATTTTTGGCAATTGCAGTTCTACAAGCTTCTTAGATAAAGTCAAGTACCCAATCAACAAGCGGTACAAGTGTATCTTTTCCATGTTCATGTGTTGGAACCAATGCTCTCCGTCCAGTAATCAGCTCCAATAAGACTACACCAAAACTGTAGATGTCTGTCTTCTTTGTCAGTCTACCAGTGCCAGCATATTCAGGGGCACAATACCCACGAGTGCCCATGACCCTGGTGGTGACATGCGTTTTATCCCCATCAGGACCAAATTTTGCAAACCCGAAATCAGAAAGTTTTGGGTGAAACCCCTCACCCAATAATATGTTAGATGATTTCAAGTCCCTGTAGATTACAGGAGGGTCAGCTTGATTGTGCAGGTAGTCCAATCCTTTGGCTGCACCAGCTGCTATCTTCATCCTAGTGTTCCAATCCAGTGGCACCATATCAGGTGTTAAATCTGAAAAAAGATTCCACGGTTATTAGTTTTAAGTTTAATAGATCATATTGATTAAGAATAGTCAGAAATGCTAAAAGTAGCATAAATGCAATATAATCACTAACTTATCATACTTACACACACAATTAGAATATAGCACTGGTTCAAAGACATTGAGTATCTATTAGGTTATTTATGTTCTTAAACCTTCACAAAAAACATATATGCTATAGTTACCTTGAATTTTTTTTATTGTGAACTGTGAAAGAGTTTGCAAGTGTGGAATACAAAAAACAAAGGAGATATAAAAAGATTGGCATCTCATTGTTCAGGAGGTGAATGAGAAGTTTAATTGTCAGATTTGCAATTGCACTAATCCTTGAAATTTGATTATCCTACAGATTTCACTCAAGAATTAAGCTTGGAGTGGTTCACCTGCCTGCCAGGACATCATCCTGTGAAAGAAGGATGTTATTACGACATGGAACGAACCCCATGGTGATTTGTTCCACTGAAATTAAAAAGTGCTTTCATGTGGACCAGTATTCCCTGGTGTATTGCATTTATACTTGGAGGTTGGAAAGTATAGCAGAAATAGATAGTTTTCTAAAGGCAGATGCCATTTATGTGATGTAAATAAACCTGTCAAGATATGAAAATCAAATAATCTAAAGGCCGTGGGTGTGTAACTAAGTTTTATACCTCCTGGAATCCCAAATCTTAGGACACAGGAAAATGTGTCCAAGAGTTGGATACGGGTATGTAGACATATACTATGGATTTAAGTATATTATATGTTATATATATAGTGTAATGTTTGACATTTTGTTCTTTAAAAAATACTCTATTGTAATTTAAATTAAATGGCATGTGGTCTCATAAGTAGGAAGTTATTTTCTATCAAATTCCTGTTTTACTTTTTCAATCATTACATGTGAATCACTGAGGTGTCCAATCCAAGTTCGTGTGCTGGACACATTTCTTATACCCATGTCATGGTGTGACGACACAGATGTGTGAAAGTATATATGAGAGTCCACGCAGCACAAAAAAAAAGTAAATAGAAGGGGGGGGGGGGGGGGGGGGGAGGAGAAAAAAAAGACAAATGGAGAATGTACTTGCCATGGAGGTGAGATTCTAATGATCCTAAGGGCATGAATTCATATACAAGAAGGCGCTGGTCCCCCTCAGAACAGTAACCAATTAAATTGACAAGGTTAGAGTGATGCAGAAGAGAGAGCATGAGAACCTCCATCAGAAACTCTTTGTCCCCTTGAAAACCTGTCTGATTAAGTTTTTTAACAGCAACAACCTGCCAACAACAGCAGAACCCTTTATCTACGAAAAGAATGCACACACTTCTTCAGGACACGAGATCAAGAGAAACCATATCCATCACTGGATGACATTAAAACATGTGCTCTTTCTTTCAAGAAAATGAGCACAAATATATGCTACTTTTTGTAAGAATTCAGCAAAGTACAAAAATTTAGCCAGCAAGAGAGAATTACCTGACCAGTGCTCTGTATTTGCCCTTTGTATACTGGTCCAAAACCACCTTCCCCAACAAGGGACCCTATCCTGAAATTGTTCGTTGCAGTTGCGAGCTCTCGATAAGTAAATGTCTCAACTTTATGATTGGCATGTGTAGCATTTTTTGAAACCAATGATTCCAGTTTAGGCTCTTTGTTGATTTTTGATCCAACTGAAAAAATTAGATTTTAAATATAGAGGAGAGAGATAAACTATGAAACCAGCACCAACATGTAAAATTCAGAGAGTTTAAAGCAAAATTTGAAAAGAGTAACAAGCGCAATTATTCACAACACAAAATCAGCTCAGTTCAGAAGTAATTACTCTTAGATGGCAATTCAATTTTGTGGAGGTTTATTTGCATTTACCAATTCTTTTCTTTTCTTTTTTTTCTTTTTCTTTTTTTCCCTAGTGGTGCAAGAAATGACCGTACTCAATTTTGTATTTTGAATTTTAAACATCCATAAATGAATAACTTTCATCCCAGCCAAACACTCTGCTGCAGTGATTTTCTTCATGGCATTGAAGCATCACCACATTGAAAATTCAATTTGTCATCACTAATGGCATTTTCTTCATGTCATCACTTGAGTTTTAAAATCACTTAATAGCATCATTTCCGCTGTCATTTATCATGTTTGTTTTTACTAATCTCTTTAGTGTTGTTAGTGGTATCTCCTAAACTAACATGGAGAAACCGTTTGGTTGTAGAGAACCAAATGTTACACCACATAATCAACAAAGGGAAAAGGCTGTATGCTTGTGAAAGAAAGATGATTACCCAGCACAGCCTGATTCCTAGTAGTTCAAAGAGAAGTTTGCAATATAGTTGAGGCTATGTTACATGGACTCGGTTACATGTGTCAGGTACGGGTATGTATCCATGCATTGGACATGTCAAATCTCTAAATAGAAGGATACATGGACAATGCTAAATATTCATTTTATTTAATTATTTTATTTTCTAGAGTAAAAAGTAATGTTTTTATCTACTATGGTATTCAATATAAGCACTTAACTCATGTCAAAGTAATAACATAATATAATTAAATGATTGGATATGCTTTTTAAGTACATGTCCAACCAAAAGTTTCGGACACATATCCCATACCCATGTTAGAGCAATATGTGTCCAAGATGGGTACATCACTACCTTTAAAGAGTCCATGTCATGACCCACCCAACCCATGTAGATATTGTCCCCTTTACACACTCTGCTCTCCATGTTCACGGTTTTCCACAAAATGCATCTACATAGTTAGGAGGTGTCCACACATATATGCGACATCAAACCTCTCCCCCAGGCAATGTGGGATGTCACAGTCCATGTAGCATAAGGTTGAGGTACTCAAGAAGACAAATCTTCTTTAAATTCAAAGACACATCTTATATATTTAAAATGGTGTGGCAACTGTTATAAGTTCAATGACAATCTCTTCACTGAGAATTATCTCAAAGATTTGAACTTCTAAAACCATATACCATACTTGAAAGTATTTCAGAAACCAATGCCGTATCAAGATATATCTTTCTATCTAATGGACAATGTTTACTCAGGTTGACACAATTATAGACAACAAGCCATTGCTTGGAGCTTGTGACAAGTTACTGGGGTGAGCTACAGAAATGCTTATGTGGGAAAAGCAAGAAAAAGAATTATATTTCCTGATATGGAACAACTCACTGATTTCAATCTCAAGGAAAGAAGTAGGTGTAGGAAAATCAAAAGAAAGAAGTTTCTAGTCAACAACCAACAAGACAAGATTAGCAACAAGTGCCACAAAATCGTGTTCCTGTAGACCATGTCCAAGCAACAGTTGCGGAAAAAGGAATCACATGGATTTGGATTGACGTGATTGTCTTGCCCATGAATTCAACCCAAAGGAGTGCAATAAGCACCTTGCAGCTCTGTAAATTTCAAAATCCTGCAATGCTGAATGGAATTCAGTCATAGCAGCATACCAGGAAGCACACTTCTCTGTGTTGATGTGCCAGTCACAATTAGGTGTGATAGGAGATGGGAAAGAACGTCAATTTTCTTATTGGAAATTGAAAAATGCCCTTTCATTAGGATCATCATAAAAAGTAATGCATTGTTAGTGCACTTGATGGGGAAAAAAAAAATTGAATCTGTTGGGCGATCTTCATGAATCAGTGTACCTTGGGATTAGGGAGCTATTGTTTTCTGAAATGTAGGAACTATGTATCTATATTATAGTAGGCAATGTCAAAAGAAATACAGAAGCCAAGGGTTGGCCATCCTAAGATAATTAGTCTCCTACGCCTGCCTAAGCAAGAAATATTAATTTCTTCAAGGCAATGTATGAGTACCCTGCTTCAGTATTTGATGAGACTTATCTAACAATTATCCTCTTGTAATGCTCTCGACTAGACTACTTTAAAATGCAAAACAAGTTGATGAAAGCAATCCCTCATATTTTGTCAACCCTCTAGCTATATTGTGTGGGGGAATAATGCAAACAAACAAGCAATCAAGAGAAAAACAATCACACAAGATTAAAAAATGATTTACGTGGTTTGGTAAAATCTTTTGCCTATGTTCACGCCTCCATGGAGCGCACCTGAAATTTCACAATGAATAATGATGGGTGTTTACAACAGAGAACTCTCTTTGCTCTCTTTCTCGCTTTCAATCAATCTCTCGGACCACGCACTCATTTCACATATTAGGGTTTGTACAAGACCCAATATTTATAGGGAAACAACCTTTCCTTAAGTCTATAAACTTCTAAGGAAATAAACCTCAGTTAAGGAAACAAATCCTGTATTTCTTATTTCTGACAATTGAAGCTTCCGTAACCTCCAATCAATCTAAGTTCTCCCCGACTTCGATAAGAGGCAACACTGCTCTCTGAGATTGAAGTTTTCTCAGCTCCGAATGATTGAAGTTCTCCTGGAGCCAACATTGCTATCTAAGATTGAAGTTTCCTCAGCTCCGATAGATCAAAGTTCTCCCAGACTTTGATTGGAGACACCGCAACTTGTGATTCAGTCTCCACAACCTCAACATATTGCCCCATGGAGTTGCAAATCAACCATTGAAACCACATAATAAGTAGCAGAAAAATAACATGTACAAATTGCCAAGAGCTCATTCAAACCTTCGGAATTTTAAAAAAATGAGGCTCTCAGACAATCTTAGCATAATTCGTAATAGAAGTAATCACAATGACACTTCATCACAAATGACATCTCTACAGTTTTCCAAGTTTCCATTGCCTGTTATACCAACCCAATATGTGGTTTCCTTAGGTTTTAGTCCTGAAATGATGACACTATTATCCCACAAAAAATTCTTAGCGAGTGTAATTGATCATCAAAGTCCATTTCTTTATGAACAATCACATGTATGGACTCCACATTTCAAATAATTTAAGCTGATTAAACAAGAAAAGAGTCAAAGAAACATATAAAAGCTAGCATAAAAAACAAACAAATTAAATATGATACTGGAATTAAAAATAAAAATAAAAACATAAATGACCTACTTAAATTTCCTTGGTTCAGTGGAATAAAAAAAACAAAAGCATGATATCAGAAATAAATAAATAAAGAAAGAAAGAAAGGAAAAAATGAAAACTGACCAGAAGGCATATCAGGGACATTAGGTCTGTGAAATGACATTCGGTTACTTTCTCCCTCGCTTCTCAGCTTCATCCCTTTCCTTCTACCGAAGCATGGGAAGTATCCCATTTTCTTGAATTTATCAATCAACGACTTTATATCAAAATTATACATATATATATATATATATATATATATATATATATAATGTGTGTGTCTTTCTGGGACCTGGCTGAAAGGTTATTAATTCGCGGTAGAAGAAGAGGAGGGAGGTAGCGACCGGATGGGGCTACACTCGGAATCGAATGATGTTACCTCCTCTTATATATATATATATATATATATATAATGTATATACATAAGAATCAAATTGAATCGAATCGTGTATTCGCGTGTGTGTTTGTGTGTGTGTCTACGCCGTTCTCAATAATCACGCCAAAACACACACGCGACTCTCTCTATCTCTCTCTGTGCAGTTTTGTTTCATATTATTATTACCTACTCTCACGTAACGTAATTTTAACGTAATTCTCTGTTTGGATAACGAATTTATAAAATTATGGTATTACTTAAATTTTATTACTTAAAATGGATCAATTAATTGTATGGATAAACGAGTAACAACATAGTAACAACTTCTGGTATTACTTAAAATGGTGAGTAACTTGAAAATCAAAATTTTATAGTTTGAATATACAAATTGAATTTTATTTATAAATTGAAACCTTTCACAGTTGGATGTTAAAATCGTTCATGCCCTTCTCCTCCCATTTTAATTTAAAATTTCAAAGAAAAAAAATTCACACTTCACTTCTTTTCTTTTCTTTTTTGTAATTTTAAAATGACATCCACAACTATTAGAAAAGTACTAAAGACTTTAAGTGGAGTGTTATTTATAATAATAAAGCTTTACGATCTCTCTTCTTACTGGAAATTTAGGCAGTCAAATTTTGATCCAAATATTCAAAAATCAATACAAAAATCTAAAAGGTAAATTTGATCACTTTTTTTTTTTTTTTTTTTAGGTTTAAATTTAGAAATTGAAATAGTAGGCTGAAATCAATTTCTAAAGTTGATATGTGAATCTCATTTTACAAGAAATCAATTTCTATACTAAAAGAGAGTTTCTTTGAGAACTCAAAACAGTATTAATTTATCTTCAAGTAACAAAGTCAATCTCATTTTATAAGAAATCAATTTCTATGATAAAAGAAAATTTCTTTGCGAACTCAAAATATTATTAGTTTATATTCAAGTTACTCAAAGTCAATTCACTATATTTAGTACATACAATATAGCACTTACCAAAAAAAAATAATAATAATAAATAAATTAAAAAATTGAAACAGCTTCCTATGATATGATAGACTATTTTTGGATGTAGTTAGCTCTGCATAAACCCAGTCCAGCATGAAGTTCACAAAAAGGTGTAGAACCAATACTATGTTTCATCAGTTACCATGAACAATCAAATAACATTAACTTTCCAGAACCAAATATTTGCAAAGAGGAACATCAAAATTTGGCCCTTTCTAATACCTAAAAAACATTATACATCAGATGATCATAAACGTCCACAATCCATTTGATTGGACGCCGACAAATAACAGTATCATTTAACATGTAGCCTACAGAACAGTTTAGCTGGTGCTATAATCGGTTATCAAATTTACCGGTCACTTTTTTCTGTCCTTGTGTTCAAACATGCCCGTGCTTCAGATAGATCCTCAGAGTTCTATTACACTTTCATTAATCAGTATTCCCGACATTTGCCTGTTCCAGCACAAACTGAGCACTCAGCTGCATCTCCGGCTACATGGCTTAAGCAGTGTCCGATTCTATCATTAACAACATCCTGCAATACATAACCTTCTAACATTAAAACGTGATACATTGAACCTTGAACAGTAGCCGCTGTCTTCCTTCTCAAACAAAATAAAAATTCTGAATGATTTGCAAATTATTGATACACCATAAAATAAGGCTCTATATTGGGTTTATTTTAATGTAGAGCATAATTTGGGAATTTCTCGAAGCTTCAGAAGCATTTATCGGGATGGAATACAATAACCAAGGAAAGAAAGGAATAAGCTTCATACCACAATCAACTCATGTAAACCAAGAGGTGCAGTTATGATATATGACACGCCTGGATGCTCCTTCGCAGCATCAGCTGTTAAAGAAGGTATGTCCTGTAGATTAACTGAGGTCATAATGCCTTTCGTAGTTCTCTTATATTTATCAAGTATACCAGTACCATATCTTGTGAATATTAAAGGATATCATGAAAATTTACCCGGTGCCAATGCCGTCCAGGGAATAAGAAAAATGGGCTTACAATCACACGATTTGCACCTTGTTGAACACATAAACCAAATGCATCACTTATTGATGGTTCTGCCAACTCCTACTCAATGCAAAGATATCAACAGTGAGATTTTAAGAATGTGGGGAGAAAAAAAAAAAAAAACATTTACATAAAATGCATATAATTGATCTTAAAAGACAACATAGAACAGAATACTGACAATCAAAATAATTGTGAAAGTGATCAAAAGGGTAAAAAAAAAAAAAGGTTTTGGTATTATCTTACAAAGTGAGAGAATACTGATTTGGAAGTTATATGCAACAACAACAACAACTAAGTCTTTTCCCAATTACTTGGGTCGGCTACACGAATCCTAGGTTTCCATTCCGCTCTATGTAAGACCATAGCTACAGTCAATTCTGATTAGGAACTTACATTCAATAGAATAAGAGCCTTGAGAAGCTTGCATTCATTGCACATTTTGATCTTTAAAGAAGTTATCGAGATTTAAATAAACAAAACGAAAAAATTCCTCAATTTAAACAAAAGAAAAACAGCTAGAAATGCTACACACATTTGGTTACTAAGACAGAGTTGGTAAGTAACAAAATATAAAACCTCCACTCTATTGTGCCTATTCATTTGTTCATTCCAGTAAGCAAACAAAAATAGTAGCACAAGGATTATTACCATATGGGCAGGCTCGACAATCGGATACCCAGTTTTATCTCTAAACATGACCACGAACTCATCTGAAATTCGCAAAAAATTGACCTCATGAGCTCCTTACAACAAAACTCATTCAATCCTTATAGAAATCTCACAATAATTAAATAAGAAATTAGTTAAAATTATTAAAGTAATTATTTGAGCTTACTAAGCATAAGATTGGACTCCTTGCGACGCGATCCATGGTCGACAATGATGACGCCGTCTCTTTCACCAACACTATGTAACTTATTAACAGCGCCATTTCCAGAGGCCAAACACAATCTTGTTAATAAATTTCTGCTTTTGGAGGGATATTTGTGTAAATTTACAAAACCCGGAAGTGACTGTCCAGGGTTTCTTCCAGAGTCCCTTGTAATTGGCCTTCGATTGACCCCATAAAATACCAAACATCAACCCAAATTGTGCAGATATAACATGAAAATTACGCATCAAAATCGAAGAATCGTAAAACAAAACGGCTATTTTTTGATGGAAATTTGATTAGCGCTTACAGTTGTGGGTTTAGCTGGGTTTAACAATTTCTACAATCGAAAAGTTTTTATGATACCCAGAAAGGAAATATGAAAATGAAATTTGCTTTATATAGTGTATACATATATATACATATATTTAGAGAGAGAGGAGAGAGAGTACCTTTTCGGTGTGAATTGAGAAGATAGAGACGATGACTCCATTAACATTTTTGCTATCAGGCTTTGGAAATTAGGAATTTCCTCATCGAGGAGGAAGCTGGAATGCAATGCGTATGATACGACCAGCAATACGACGGCGTCTATTAACTCTGTACTTAATGGGGCTACAATAGTCCATTAGTGGCGTTGGTCCATGGACACTGACGACGTTATTTTTGGGCCTTCACAAAGGCTTTGTACTCCTATAGTCCTATATATTTACACATAATATAAATTATGAATGCCCTTTTTTCTTTTTTCTTTTTTTTATTTATAAGAAACACGCTCTATTCACACACTCCATTTTGTTCATTTGGAGAGACGAACCCTTCGCCACCACCATCTAAAAGGTTCATTTGGAGAGACGAACCCCTCACCACCACCATCTAAAAGATGGAGGATATCATTGGACTAAAAGACCGTGTATGCATTTTGCTTGCATTCTTCTGTTTATTAATTTTAATTATTATCTTTTATGACCATGAAACCCCGCTAAGGCAAACTCTTTGAAGTTTTGAACCAGGGCTAGAGAAAGAAAGCACGAGTGCAACCCCTAGGTAAGTGAAGGACAACCTTATGGTTTGCAACCCCTAGGTAAATAGGGGACAACCTTATAAACCATAAACTCGAATCTTGTAGTATACCATCATTTATGAAACAATTTCACGTGTGAAAAAAAAAAAAAAAAAAAAAAAAAAAAAAAAATTCACATTATTTATGGACCTACATTATATACTATTTACAAGCTGAAAATGGATCCCCTCATAAACCACTTAGATACATTTGAAAATTTACTTTATATGCTGTCAAATTAATAACGATAAATGATTGAATTGTTTATGAATAGTTAGTCCGTATAAATCAATGAACCGCAAGTGAATAACCTACTGCATAAGGAGAAAGTTCCATACATTTACAAAATTGTTTCCAAACCTTCCAAATTGTAAGAAATAGTTAGTAGATAGATAATTCTCTATCCATTAAACTTAATACGGATTAGAAAACATATCCTTCCATGAGGGAAAATAATTTTTTTAAAAAAAATTGTTAAACTAAAATATAAGCAATGACATTTGAATATCAAGAGTGCACGATGGAGATGGATCGTGAAAGCACGAATGTTGTCATAGAATCAGTCAACCGTCAACAAACGGACTCCACTCTCAACCAAGAAAAATTCCACACTTTGTGCCCCTGTAATCAATCCCTCTCTATGATCCACAACAATCACAAAAATAATCATCATCTATTAAAAAATAAAAATATATATTCAAAAGAAAAATATTAGCATTAAAAACAAAAGAAAAAATACTAAACGGTTAATTCCCCCCTTCACTTCCGCTCTCTGTCTATCATCTCTGTTATGTCTTCATCTTCTTGAAACAAACATTTTCCTCCCTCCTCCATACAATAACAACAATAAACTTCCAAACTCATTCATTATTACTATTGGCTTCAATGGACGCAGAGAAAGATAAACATCCTCCTGAGAAGTCCCTAAGCTTCAATGCAATGCCTACAGAGGAAGAAGAAGAAGATAAACACCTTCCTCACAAATCCTACAGCTTTGCCTACCGTGACGGTGAACAAGAACAACATCTTGATCACCACCCACAAAACCAAGACGACAATGCACCACCATCACCTGCAGAGAATGAACCAAAACAGGACAATATTGTGGAAGAGTCCGGCCCCCCTTCTTCTTCTGATGTAGTTAAAGTCTTGGAAGAAATCGATCAATTTATTTCCGCTCTCTCCACCGCAAAAGCTCAACAATCTGATCCTCCAGAAGTAACATCATCCTTCCAACAATTTGTACTTCTTGTTGATGAAAGGATCACAAATTATGATACTGAAAGCTCCGTGAGATGGAGTCTGCTGGCAGTGGAGGACCCGTCCAAGCTTTTCGAGTCCGTGGATCGGATCTCCAATCTCACATTGTCACTATGTGAATTCTCTTCCGAATCCAAGTACGCTTCCTCCATTAATTGTATCTGTTCTATTCATCAACGCGCAATGTCATATTTGGAGGACGAGTTCAGATCTCTTCTGGAAGATTATAAATCTCCAGATAATCAAGAAACACCGGAATCGGACACCACCGGAGATAGCAATTTCCCGGGATATTCCGACGACGTGATGTCGAATCTGAAAAGAATAACCAAGTCCATGATATTAGGAGGATACGATACAGAGTGTTGTGAGGTGTATATTGATGTGAGAAGGAAGTTATTGGAAGATAGCTTGCGTAAGCTAGAGTTTGAGAAGATTAGCATGGACGATGTTCAGAAGATGAATTGGGAATCGCTGGAGAGAGCAATGGTTTCCTGGATCAAAACTTTCAAGGAATGCACCACCGTTTACCTCCCCGGCGAACGGAGGTTCACAGACTCATTGTTCTCCGACCACAACGCTTCCATCTCAGACAGCCTCTTTGCCAACCTCTCACGGATCACAATGATTCAACTTCTCAACTTTGTGGAAGCTGTCGCCATGACGAAGCGCTCCGCGGAGAAGCTGTTCAAGTTTCTGGACACGTATGAGATCCTGCGTGATCTCATTCCCGCCATGGACGGTTTGTTTCCGGAGGAATTGAAAGATGAGATCAGATCCGAAGCTTTGTTGACTCGGTGCCGACTCGGCGAGGCAATGGTTTGTATCTTTTGCGAGCTGGAGAACTCTATCAAGTCCGATACAGCGAAGACTCCAGTTCCAGGCGGTGCAGTTCACCCCTTGACTCGCTACACCATGAATTATCTAAAATACGCATGTGAATACAAAGAAACGTTGGATCTAGTGTTCAAAGAGCACCAGATGATTGAACGAGCCGACTCAATGAACTCGGGATCAGACTTCGATTACACCGCGGCACAAGATCAGATGAATAATAATAATAATCAGACGGAGGTGGTGCAACAATCACCATTCGCAACGCAGGTTATGAAAGTGATGGATCTGTTAAACGCAAATCTGGAGGCGAAATCAAAGCTGTACAAAGACATTTCGTTGAGCTCGATCTTCATGATGAACAACGGACGGTACATCTCGCAGAAGATTCGTAGTGCGCCGGAGATCAAAGGGTTGATAGATGAGACGTGGTGCCGGAAGCAATCGGCAGATGTGAGGCAATACCACAAGAACTACCAAAGAGAGACGTGGGTGAGACTGTTGCAGTGTTTGACACAGGAGGGTTTGAATGTGAATGGGAAGGTGTCGAAGCAGGTGCTGAAGGACAGGTTCAAGAACTTCAACACCATGTTCGAGGAGATACACAAGACGCAGTGCACGTGGATGGTGAGTGACGAGCAGCTTCAGTCAGAGCTGAGGGTATCTATAGCGGCGGTGGTGATACCAGCATACCGGTCATTTATGGCAAGGTACAGTCAGACACTTACATCAGGGAGGCAATCAGACAAGTATATAAAATATCAGCCTGAAGATTTAGAGACATATATAGAAGAGCTATTCGACGGGAGTCCAGCACCGCCCATGGGGAGGAGGCGGCCATGATCGACTACTACTTTGCAGTTGCAGGCAGAGAAGTAAGATACCTATATATATATGTAGAGCTAGCAGCTTTCTTTGTGCATGATGGAACTACGTACCTACATAAATCATGAAGATATTAATTAATCAAAGGTGGTGAGGTTAATTTTGAAGCATCGGAGGGTATGGTACCCTAGGCAAATGGTTTTATTACTCTTGTTGCTGTCCTTCAAAAATAGTTGCATTAGAGTATTGCATTGTTTATTTTATTGTTTTATCTTGCATTCCATAAGTATACCCAGGGCATTTAATTTTTCATTTTAATTATATTCTTAGTTATTTGAGACTTTTAAATTTTCTACTAATTAAATGTAATTGTAGATGGATTCCATTATTAATTTCAAAAAATTAATTACCACCATATATCGAAGCTCTTGGATGTACTTTGGATATGGATGGAATGAAATGCATGTAACTAGCTACTCCATGATCAATTCAACTCAACAAAACATTGTTATAGTTGTTTTGGGATAGAATATATACACAACATATGTTTTACCATTCTATTTTATATATCATTATAACATGAATCAGGAAATCATATTTTATCATGCACGCAGTATTTCTTTATTATCTCAGCCCTTCAAAAATCCAAAAGTTAGATATTTTTTTTTTTTGTTTTTTTTTTTTTTTAAATTTAATAAATGGTTAAGTTTGTCTTAATTGTACAAATAATTATCAAATATGAAAGTATTGTATATAAGTTGTCATGTTTGTAATTACTTTTTATTAAGTTGCTTTATAAGCCATTCTTTTTCATATTTATAGTATTTTAAATTGTGTTCCCAATAATATATTCCTAATATATAACTACCTAAATCAATACAAGTTATACAGCAGCTCAGTAATTTAGCATCAGAAATAGGAACATAGAGACTATGTTTCCTCAGGCTGTCAGACTCTTTGAATCATCATCAAGTGTAATGAGTGCAGTAGCATCACTACCATTTTATCTACTTAAAGCCTCGTCACGACTTCTAACCCTTTCCATTCTAGTGAACTGTCCTCAAAGTTCACATTTTAAAGAAATATCTCAACATTTACCTTATTAATATACTTTGCCTTTTGTGCTCAAATTGAGATCATTATAAGCCAGAACAGATCTAGTTCATATAAGGCGTACCTCCACAGGAAAAATAATAATAATAATAATCTAGATGATATTACTTACAAATCCTATCAACCACCACATTTACGGTAACCACAAACGGGAAATAACCCATGCTTCCTACTTGACCAAATGTCCCATTGTCAAGCCACCAACCAACATGTTGTTTTGTCTTCATATGATAACAGAATAAGTACAGGATACATATACATGTCTTGGATAACAAATACATCTTAATCATTATCATTCCTTTAAGACATCATAAGTTTCTCCATTCTAGCAGCTTGAGTCCTTTTAAACATCAATCTTTTTTTTCTTCATAATCAATCTCATCAATTCAAACTACAACAACTACAATTATCAGAGTGAAATAAAATTTTAAGACCACACTTAGATCAAATGATCAATATTTCTCATACTCCACCTAAAACACATCATAGATTGTCAATGATCTCCTAAAAAAATAATAACTTTCTTCCATTTATTTTATTTTTTTATTTTTATTATTAGTTTTTTTGCTTAAGTGATCAGCTTCCAAATTCAATTTTTGAGCAGAATGATCTTGAAGTTTCTTTCCCAAGTTTTAGCTAGAATCGTAGAACTCCAATTCAAATAACAGGTCCTTCCTGAACCTACACCATAGGCCTCCCTTCCACAATTCCAGTGGCTGCATCATATAATCATAGTGGCAGTTTATAAAAGGCTAAAAACAGATAACTTAAGAATGCCAACACAGACCTACTAATATCGTATTTGTGGCTATAAGCACATCAAGGAAAAACATTTCACAATATCTGAAACTAAAGTAATATTTCAATAAAGTTTGTACAGAAGCTCAGTAATTTAGCATCAGAAATAGCAACATAGAGAATGTGTTTCCTCAGGCTCTCTGAATTATCATTAAGCGTACCTGATGCAGTAGCATCACTATAATTTTATCTACTTACAGCCTCGTCACGGCTTCTAACCCTTTCCATTCTAGTGATCTGTCCTCAAAGTTCACTTTTTAAAAAATTATTTCAACATTTATTTTATTAATATAATTTGCCTTTTGTGCTCAGATTGCCCATTATGAGCCAGAACATATCTAGTTCATATAAGGCACACCTCCACACCTCCACAGATATTACTTACAGATCGTATCAACCACCAATCATTAATCATATAAAAAATTTATGATTTTAATAATCAAATCAAACTTCAAACCTTGTGCAACCAATCAAGGTGAATTTAAATATTTTGCTTCAACCTTGAGTTGAACAAGTTAATTCTAATCTCAATATCCAAATTCCTAATCAGATCTCATTAACTGCTATGCATATTATATATATATATATATATATGTAAATACATCCAAGTTGACAAAATCTTAGTAATTTTGATGGCATTAGAGAAAAATCTAGAAAGGGCAGTATTAAACCCATCTAACTGACGTGAACATGTCAATGCAAGAATGAGAAAGCTTCCAATATTATCAAAACCAAGTTGGTATACTTGAACTTGACCATAGAGAAGCATCCTGGATGCCACACTTAATTTCTAGTTAAAATATTCAAAATAGGAGGAAAGAAAAGACAGAAAGAGAGTGGTGTTACCCAAGAACATATGGCCTTTTCCAATTCTGAAACTATCCTCAAGAGAGAAATAAAGAGAGCTAGAATCAAAAGAGTATCATTTTCCATACAGAGATTATAGTCATAAATGCAGTATTCCATAACAGTATTACAAATACCATAAATGTAGTATTAAATGAATTATATAGTGCATTACAAAAAGAAGGGAAAGAATTATAAAAGACAAATAAAATCTGATCTTACCTTCTTTTTGTATATGTTAATTAATGGTACTCCTGAAGCTCATTGTCAGCACTAGGTGAAACAAGGCTCTCAAAGTAAGTTTTTGCGTAGAGACTGGCACAGAAACTATGACTGGAAGGTTGGGGAAAGGAAATGGAAGGATACCTAAATGGACCCTCTTTTAAATCATATATAACCAAAGATCCAAATTTGAACAAAATTTCACCATTCTTAGAAATGCACAGTGGTCCCGAGTACTGCTGCAACACCTTAAGAAACACCGAAACTGTCAAACCGCCATAGGGGGGGGATGTTAACTAATTTAGTCCAAGAATCTTTCACACCATATTCCTTCATGACCCATACATCAGCCTGAATCAAATGGTAGTTACACAGCACACATAGGCACCCTCTCAAAATTCCCAACCTCAAATTGAAATCACCATAACTGTAAAGAAATCATCTATGCAAACACCATCTCCGTACTTTGGTTGCGCCACATCCTTGTATGTCTCCTTCGCTAAATCAAGGGAAACAATCATCCAAGAAATTTTGATTTGGTACCAACTTTCACAGGCCAATGGAGAGCTTTGTTCACAAATTTAGCGTCACCCAAAGGTGGTTATCCACAAGGAAGTCCTGAATGCTTTTCCAAGTATCAGTCCTTAGTGTATACACCTTGACTTTGGCTTCGTAAGAAGCCCCATTACCAACAACACCAGAGACTCCAACCACCTTGTAATCATCAATGGACTCATCATAACCAAACCCATATACACCCCCCACCTATGCCTGAATCTGGCAACCTCTTGGATTTTCTAATAGACGGGTTCCATATAAAAAGATGCTCTTTAATTCTTATACAAAGCAAACCATTACAAGAAGCCATGATTTGAGCCCAATAAATGGAATCCTTCAAATGCAATGGATAATCAGGCTCGGAGGCAGAAAGATATGGCTCGTACAATACAGAGTAAAGAGAACAAGACTCGAAACCAGGGTTTGGGCAAGGTGAGTTGAAAATGACTTTGTAGTGTTTATAGTCGTCGTCTTCATCAGTTCTTGACATGCAACTAAGATGGGTTTTAACGAAATGGGAATCGGAAATCAAAGAGCACCATGATTTGCAAACACACCTGAATTGCAACAGAGACTTGACGGGTAGTCTGGAGAGTATTTGGACGATGATATCATGCGGAAGGTTCCATTCGCTCGCCATCGGATTGTGCTGTTTTGCGTTCTAGGGCACAGACCACTTGGCCATCGGAAATGCTTACTGAAACCGGCGAAAACTCCACAATTCCAACAACTGACTTGATTTCCCAACTCTGAATGAATGCAAGATCAGTTCAGTTCCTCTACAGTGTGGAAAACAGAGGTGGTGGTTTTTGAAGGGTTTGTAATAGGGTTTTTTTGGCTGACTTTTTGAACCTAAAGAAATTGATGGGAGTAATTTATACAAGTGTTTTGCAAAAAGAGGGTTATTTGCTAAATTCATAGTCGAGTTCAAATTTGAGAAAGTTTAAGGGTTTTTTTTTTTATTTAAAAAATATATATATATTATTATTTTTCTAGATCATGTTACTATAATTCATATAATATAAAGAAAATAATTCATATTAGTTCTGGATCATGAGCATGAGGCACCTGTCCTGCCCCTGTAGACATGCTCAAACTGAATATTAGTACTTTAAGTGTCTTACCATCACTACTATTTATATTTATATGTCATGCAAAAAGCAAAAAACTCTTCCCATGCGTGTAAATATATATCAACAAAAACTTTTGGAAAATGGAGTAGATAATATGTGACGTTTAGTATAGAATTGTTGAAAATTTGAGGCAGTAATTAATTTTTATTTTTTTTCCTTGAAATATTAAGCAAATTTTATACATGTAAAAAATTAAAAAAAAAAATAATGTAGCTATTCCGCTCAAGAAGGGCTGTAGATAATACAAACAGTCTATAACATGCAATCCAATTAGCATCACAAAAGTCAAAAATATTTAAATTGCTCCCTTGTATGATGTAGGATTTCACCACTTGATGAAGCCATCGGATGCGGGCGAAGATAATGCATGCAGCTTCTAAACTCTACGAGCACTTTGAATAGCCGAGTTATAACCACATTTATTTTGAAGCTATACAAACTTTATGAATTATGAAACTTAATCACTAGATACATTTATGGAGTATATATATTAACATCTCATTTATTTTATTATCATTTACTTTATTTTGACATTTTTAAATTTTATTTTTTTTTATTATTATTTTTTTCTCTCTAATGGTGCAAAATATCACATATCATCTTGAATTTATTTTTGTGGAAAATATTAAAAATATACCTGACATTTTGCGATTTTTACACCAAATATTGCTCAAATACATCTTAAGTTATTACATGTTAGTTCAATTTTTTGCATTGGACCAGTGTTTGGGAGAAAGGCCAGGAATGGGATAGAAGAGTAAGGATTTAGGAGCTACAATTGGAACGATTTTTTTCTATTATATGAAAATTTTAAAAATTAAAAAACTAAACCAAGCAAAAATTTTAAACTATTGTAGCTCTATTTCCTGCACTTAAAAAATAAAAAGAATTAACGAAAAAAAAGATATAAGTTTAACATTAACTCATTTTGCCCCTGATTTTGGTAAAAAATAATTTCTCATTTTCCATTCAAATTAACAAACAGTAATATCATATTTAGTTCCTTTTGCCTTGTGAATTAATAAGTGAAAACATATCCTTTTTTTTTTTTTTATAAATTTTTTCCGACTCCCTTTGCTTGGCTCCGTAAAAGTTACCAAAACAAAAAAGAGAAGGAGATAATTAATTAATCTTTATTATTATTAATTTTTTACGGAGTAGTATTAATTACTGAACAAATGAAATAAAAGGTTGATGTAGCCTTCTCTTATTTTGATAAAGACGATAAAAATTGAGTGTATAAGATTGTAGAGAGGCAAAGCATATTTTAATAATTAACTTGTTAATTCCCACTATTTAATTTCTCCATTCTTTTTATTTCTGGAAAGTACATCATGTATTTATCTAAAATCAGTGTTAAAGACAACTTTGTCCCTCATTCCCTTTCCTATCTTTATTACTACAATTCCTCTACTAGTCCTTTTAAACCTTTCCCTCTCTCCGTCCTTATATGCACGCACCGTTTGTTTCTTAAACCAGAAAAGACCACAGACGACGACGCCTTTGTACTTTTTATTCTCCGACTAACTCCCCCAAACAAATCCCTAATTTCACTTCGTTCATCAATAAATCCATCACAGTTCGCCCCCCACTACCACCTCTTTCTTGAAGACGTTTTCGCCGACTCGTCTCTGTTACTCGCTTCTTTTTCGAAGCTTAACTGATAGGTTTTATTCTAAACTCTATGTTTAATCCTCTTAATCACATCTAAATAGGTTCTTACTATCATGTAATAATCCGTTTCGTTTTAAAGATTTGTTTTTGTTTGTTTCTAGAATGCTGCGTTTGGTTCCTGTGAAAGTACATCAAGTTAATAGAAGAAAAAAATAGAACCTTTTTTTTGTGTGTCTTTGTACTCTACTTGCCATAAATTACTTTACCAGTTAGCTGGTGTTCTAACCAGAATTTTTGTTTTGCCTTTAGTTTTCTTAGCAATTAATGGAGGGGTTTATATTAACCTTTTGATTTCTACCTGTGATTTTTGGTGTCTGTGACTTGTTGCATTTTTTTAATTTATTATACTTTATTTTGTTAGTACTTATTGCAGCAATTGATTGAATTTTGACCGACGCACAAAGTTAATTAAGAGGTGTAGTGTGTCGAAAATTGAAAAAGATTCAATTTTGTGATGTAAAACAGTGATATAACTGATGCCTGGGTAATATTTGGTGGTTGCTTGTCAATTTGAACGAGGGTTTTCTGCAAAGGGTTTTGTGGTTATGAACAAATCAAGTACCATGGTAGACAATAACTTCTGAAGTTTTTGAGTTTCAAACATCAAATTAGGTTTATGCTGCTCTCACTGTAAACACACACTAATATACACTCCCACTCACTGATATGATGATCATAGTGAGATTAGATACTGTCAAGTTTTATGTGATTTTCAATTTTTTTATGGTCTTCGTAACAACTGCTTTCCTTTTCCATTTTTTCCTTCTAACATTGAACTCCGCCTTTCATATAACTGGTTGCTGCTCTTCTTTTAACCCATGTATACGTTTTTAAAATTTTATTTTTCAGTGCCAAGATTTCAAAGCTTCAGTTTTGCCTTGTGCTTGAGTTTTTGTGGTCTGGAAAATATTTCATCAAGTCCAAAGCCAAACTGGCATGCTCTGTACAGTTGTTTACAGTAATCTATTCTCTTTGATACTAAATGGAGTCAAATGGACCACGAGATTAAATAGGTGTTGCTTCCCTTTAAGAATTGAATTTTGTATATTCATCCTCTAGCCACAAACGTGAAGTCATAGATTGGCTTTAGTGTAAGCAAGAGTTCATTATTTCTGATAAATTGTGCTTTGTGCATTAATATTTTGTTTGGATGACATCGTAATGCAGTGGCTTAAATTAATGAACTGCAAAAAGTTGGTAATTTCCATAGATGAGGTCCGCGATTATCAACATGAGTGACTCCGTTGCCAAATATCTAGTTTTTTTCCCTCTTTCCATTCAATCCCATCTCCAATTGTTCACCTTTGTGCTGCATTACATCGCCAACATTGTCACTAGTTCCACCATTTAAGATAGTTTTCATATTTTACACATATCATTAAGAGAAGAGGATAGCGTTAATGTGAATCACTAATTACTTTTTTCTTATATTATATCAGTACTCTTCTAAGTCATACCCCAGGAAGTTCTGGTGTAGTTGCCATGTTATTTCCTGGGTGAGCTGATATTGGGGTAAAAGTTGTGGACGCTCACCATGCTTTATAATAGTCATGTCCTATTTAGATTTACTTTAAACCTTTTTATGATCATCTTATTTCGATCCCGGAAAGGAAATTTTACTTAATCATCTAGCAAGGTTTCTTTTTAACAACAATTGATGATCAGCCAAACTTCTGAACTTTGATATGGTGTTGCCTATGGAGTGGAAGCATATTGCAAGCAGGATATGCATTATCTAAGTTTTTTATTTTGATGTGGTCTCATCATAACAGAGCATTGCAATTTTTTTTTTTCTCCCCTCAAAAATTAACAGGGCATTGCAAGTTAGAACGCCCAAAATTATATTAAAGAGAGGATTGTATGTTTCTTTTATGCCACTTAAATTTGGATGTTTTATGTTTTAGGATGTCCTTAGTGTGTTTGGGATGTGCCTGTGTTCACTTTTCCACAAAATGATCTAGTAAGGATAGTTACATAGCAATCGGCGCCTAACCTACAGTCATTCAATCGGGAACACGTCATTTTAGTTGATGTTATAGCGTAATGTTGAATATAGGTTTTGGTTATTGCCCTAACTGTGCTGCTGCCTTCTTGACATGGATTGATCAAGGTGAAATGAAATTGTTTGAAGGGCTCCTAAGAGAACCTTGCTCTTTTTTTCTTTTTCTTTTTTTACTTTTGTTTACAATTGTAACACTGTTTTATTAAAATTTAGTTTATTCCTATCTTGTGTCCTTTTGGAATTTTGATCTTGTTGCCATGAGGATTTTGTATTAACGTGCTTTCAAGATTTTCTAGTTTTATCAGCTGATTGTTAAAGTATGTAATTTGCTACTGACTGATATTTGAACAGTTACCAGGTATAGGGTAGTGTGTATCCCGTACCACAAATGACCTTCTTTGAAACTCCCTAATTTTGTTGATTTGATTGGATACTTAATGAGCAAATGAAGCTTCTATGTTTGTGATATGTTATGTTTTATGCCATCATACAAGTCACGAATCCATTTTGATTCAGTTGTATATATTTCTTGCAATTGTTTTTGAAGGTCTGCCTCGTATGCTTAGTTGAGCAGCTCTTTTCTGAAACAATGGGCAGTTCATTTAACCCACAGATTTTGGTGGAAAAGCTGATCAAGCTCAATAATTCACAGCAGAGCATTGAGAGTATCCTCTTTTATATATACAATCCATTGATGTAACTCTTCCCTATTTTCTCTTTTTGTTATTCTGTTTACAGTACTTTCATTGGCTGCTCTTCCCTATTTCTCTCTTTTTGTTATTCTGTTCACAGTATTTTAATTGGCTGCTTTACTCTTATAGAGGGGTCGTTCTATCTAGTGGATTGGTAATGACAAATGGCCACTACATTTTTTTTTTCTTTCAATATTTCTGTTGTTATCTGATAATTTTCTAAATGAGGTTTTTATTTATTGAGTTATCTTATACCGTAAGTGACTTTACTGGCTTCTGTTATCTGCTACGGAGCTGCATGTCGGAAATCTTTGCTGTACAATAAAATTTTGAAATATGTTGTTTCTGGTTTGAAGAGTTGATTTACTGAATAATATTGCACTTTGATAGTAATTTCCAGTATTATTTCATAGTCTCTTGTTTGGGTTTCTTTCTATAGTATACATACCTTTGTATCTGCAATCTATTTCATTCAGTATTGTGGTATGTCTGAGCTGTTTAGTTCTGATAAATCTTGGGGAAGTGCATGTAGCTTTATGATTTTTTGTTTTATCAGATACGTTGCTGCCATTATGACTCTTCCTATGTGTATTGTTGAGGTGATTTATTTATTCACTTCGAATTAACAGCTAATCTAAATCTTGTAATTGGATGCTCCTAATATTCTTTTCTTAACATGATTAAGCTTTATCACATTGGTGTATTTTTCACATGAACAAAGCAAAGCAAGTTGTTGAAACATGGGCTAGACAATTTCATTGCTCCCCACGTGAGCAGCGCTTAGCTTTTCTATATCTCGCAAATGATATTCTGCAGAATAGTAGGCGAAAGGGTTTGGAGTTTGTAGATGAGTTTTGGAAGGTTCTTCCTGATGCACTTCGTGATGTAACCAAAAATGGGGATGAGTTCGGAAGAAATGCTGCTCAAAGATTGGTAATATAACAATTTCTCCATTTATTCTAGAATTTGACCGACTTTGTGTTCTATATGTAGCCAAAGGTGATATATATTCTGTTTTAACTCTTAAAACCTTTTGTTGTGTAAATGACTATTTATGTAAGACTGTTAACTGTAAAGGCTTAGTATGTTGAATATTTATATTAAAAGAATAGGCAAAGTAGACAAACAAAATTTACATATTTTTTGATAAAAGATGTTGAACGTCTGTATGATTTATGTTCAATTCATACTTAAGAATTATTTGTTACTTTTTTTAGCGTGAGTCTTTTTTCTTTCTTTCTTGAATTTCTCCTAAATAGCAAAATTTAGTAATTTTAAGGGAAATTCATTTCTTACTTTTTGTCCATGTGATGTATGATTTTAGAACTAATGTGCAAAACACTTGGGAATTTTTTTGTTAGCACAACTCAGCTCATGTTAACAAAGCCTTTTCTCAACAAATTTTTTTGTTAGTCTTGAGAAGAATTTAACATTTTGGGATTGCTGTAGTCTTTGTGCAGAGAATATATGCTTGCATTTTTTATAGTCAATTTATACAATGTTGGATTAATTGCAAGAAAACATGATGAGAAAGCTGGGGTATGTAGCTTTCTAGGGGTGTAGCAGTATGTCTGACTAGAAGAGATGATGGGCACTGGGCTCTGACATTTATAGGGCCAAACTACATCTCATACTTGTTAGATGAGCAGTTCGGCCTGGCCTTTTTTATTATTATTTTGTTTATAACCTGAGGTTTCTGGGGCTTCAGCCTGACTAATCCCCAAGCACCTAGGAAGGGCGCCTCCTCACCCCAGACCGGGTAAGTTGCAGAGTTTGCGGAGGTGTAGCCCCAAGGAATTGTTTGCACTTAGTGGGAGTCGAACCTCAGACCTAATGCTTCATGAGGCACCAGGGCCAAGTGACCTCGGGTAAGTTGCAGAGTCTGCGGAGGTCTAGCCCCAAGGAATTGTTTGCACTTAGTGGGAGTCGAACCTCAGACCTAATGCTTCATGAGGCACCAGGGCCAAGTGACCTTGCCACTAGACCACTTAGGATTGTTTGAAAATTGCATTGAAGTTGAAAAAGTCAATACAGTGTTTTACATAGGTCAAGAAGGATTGCAATATTTCTTAATTTGAAAATATTGTTTGATTGATAATAGCACATAACTTTTGTACTTTTTAAATTGGTGATGGTTCATTTGTCTACAGTTAGACTGGAATATCACCAACTGCTATATTCCCTAATTGATTGGTTTGTTGATCAGTAATTGAAGTAATTTCTGATATTGGTAAAAAAAGAAAAAAAACGGTTGACAGTATATTATGTGTATGATTTGACTGGATGATTATGTTATTGTCCACTTTTAAGAACTTAATGTTTGCTTTAGGAGCGTCGCCATCTGTGTTGTTGAAAATTTAAATGCCTCTTTATCTAATAGCAGATGCATTATCACATGTTACGCTTTGGACTCCTAAATAGGTGCATTTTATCCTTAGGAGGACTATTCTGCTAAAATGCCTTTTCTTATAAGTTTGGCAGTGTTTCATATTTGTTCTTTGGTGTGCTTTATGTCCTTAATGTTTTGTATATACTTGTTTCCATCTGTATTTAGTTTTCTTTTTTATTCTTTATTTTCCCTCTAAGGATCGGAATGCCAAATATACAGTTGTTCTTTTCTGGAAATTATAGTGGAGTTTTGCTTATTGTTGCTTTTACACAATCACATCCAGATCAGCATTTGGGAGGAAAGAAAGGTTTTTGGCTCCCAAGGGCGGATTCTCAAGGAAGAGCTCATAGGAAGGCACCTGGAGAATAGTAGTAGTAGAGATGGGAAGCATTTAGGATTCAAACTGGTAACTTCAGTTCCTTTAGCTAAATGCATGTTTATCTGATATATATATATATATATATTCTCTTTTCTTTGTATGTATTAATGTAACTTGGGGCTTAATCTCATCCCTTCACTTTTTTCTGCCAAACAGAAAAATTCTGCTGGAAATGCTTTGGGAAATATAGTTTCAGGTTATCAAATTGTTTATGGTGGCCAACTGGATGAGGATGCTATCTTGAGCAAATGTAGAAATGCTATTAGCTGTGTTGAAAAAGTACACAAGGAAATTGGTGGTCGTAAACGTACTAATTCGGGTATGTCCTGCATGGTGTCTTGTTATAAAAGTGCTTAATATAATTTTAACTCATGGCCTATGCAGAAATTATAACATGTATGCATGCTTATGCGTTGTTATTTCTAGTTTTCCTATTTGATCTATTGTTTTTGTTTGGAATTTTCTTCTTTCAGAAACTTTTATGTATCATTATTTTGCTTATGGCAACAAAATACAAGTTCAAAGTTTTCTATCGGGGCCTTTTTTTATAATTTTTTTTTGTTTTACTAAGAAGCTCAAACTCATATTTGCGTTATTCTTAATAAATTAAAATGTAGATCCAACTCAAATGGGCAGGAATAATTAATATGTGTATATTTGTACTAGTTCACTCATTTTACCTTGATTCGTTGAATAATTCATATTTGACTTCTTGAACGTGAGAAAGCATGGGATCTTCTACCATTTTCCAAGCAACTTAAATGGTTAACTCTAAAATTGTTTAATGGCCTTCAAGTCTAATAGAAAAATTACATATTTGTCATCCTTCTCCCAATGTACCTAATCATTTTGCTGTTCAATGCCTAAAAATAACTCCCAAAGGGACTTTTAGTGTGGATTGAATTACTGAATATACAGTTTTATTAATGGATCACTTGAACCCTTGTTAAATTTTTGAGAGAATGCACTGATTCCCCAGCAGTTGATAGATATAATTGACATGTCTTGTCTGCTTAAAGATTGCTTAAACTCATGCTTTCATTTTGAAACAGGGCAACTCGATGGATCTGGCCTTGTGGACGAACTTCAGGAGCAGCACACAATATTAAAAAACTGTAGAGAACAACTAAGGGCAGTTGAAACATCAAGAGCAAATCTTGTGTCTCATCTGAGGGAGGCTCTCCAGGAACAGGTTGGTTGGCCAACATATATGCCTTTGAAAGTATATATGTTCTTACTTCGCTTTCTTTCTTTCCTTTTCTTTTTTCTCTATTTTATTTTAATTCTCGTGGTTATTATCAGGAATTTAAGCTGGATCAAGTCCGCAGTCAACTTCAAGTAACTCCTTCACCTCTTCTATTTGCTTTACTTTATTGGAGTATATTTGGCTTTCTGGATATGTCTTCTTAGTTTTTTACATTCATTCTTCTTTAGATGCATGTGAGTTTGTTATTTTTGTTTTGGTTAAGCATACATATGGGCAAATTTTTTAATGTGTATATTTCTATATTCGTGTCTGTAAGAGAATCTTCAATAGACTGGGTCTTATCTGATTTGGATTGTTTAATCTTATCAGATTCAGATTGGTTAAGCATATCAATACTTGCCAATGTAGATGATCAGAACTTACCATCTACTATGTGCGCCTTGCTTTGTAGATTAACTTGCAAAAGCTCCGTTTGATTGGATAACGTTTAGCTTATGAACCATTCATAACCCTTGGACACGAAAAAAAAGGCAAGTAAATTTAAAAATCTGGCCCTCCAAATGCTGTCTTGGTTCAAGCCATTTGGCTGACATGCCTCTTTAATAAATGGCAATGGATCATAAGTTTCAAGAGTATTGCTATTTTTCATAATCTCATAAGGATAACATTCGCCTCTGAATGACCTGATATGATAATGATTTGGAAATCAGGATGTGATTGATTGTAGGGGACTTGCTTTCAAGAGTTCCTTGATTTTACCAAGTTTTGGGGGGCCATATCTGCCCTTGCCCCTGCTTCAGATTGACGCAGAACCTATGGGAAGATTATTCACGCGGTTGATGTATTCTGTTCTAGTTTTATTAGGAGTCTTTAGAAATGATAATGCTTTATTTTTAACAATTTTAGGAGTTTTTCCGAGTTTGGGATTTAAAAAACGAGGCTTAATTTTTTATGTTACAAAAATTGGGGAGGATGATTTGTTTTTTTATTTTATTTTTATGTTTTTTAAAGGGTTTATGAAGCTTCTAAATTAGCCCTACTTGTGTTAAACAGGATTCTCCCTTCGAATTGAATCAATTTTTGAGAATAAATATATTTGGAAGAGCTCCCTCTCTCTCTCCACTCCCTTTTCCTCTTCCCTCTCACTCTCTATTCATATCTTTCTCTTTTTTTATTGTTTGAGAGGCATGGGAGTAGTTCATAAAATTTTATTTATGATTTATGAATAATCAACCTTGGATATCTATGTTACATAGATTTAGATAAGAGTATCGGGTGTGGGTGTGTGGCTAAATGTGAACCTCCCTGAATCCTAGATCTTAAGGTTCTAGGACTCAGCTAGAAATGTGTCCAAAAGTTGGATGCATGTACATGGACATGTCTTGCACATTTAAGTGCATAATATTCTATATAAATAAAGCAATCACTGTTTAAAAATGTACTCTTATCTCATACGCATACCTATGTTGCATCATATTGACACGGCTACATTGAGGGAATAAGAGAATCGATGTATCACTGTTGGACATCACAAAGTGGCCAATGACACATAGGAGGGGCTGAAATTGGATTGAATATAATTTGAAAAAGAATGGAGATCTCGTGCTTTATCTGGGAAAAATGATTTCTAGTAGTATGACCCCAGAAGTTTGAGAAGTGGTTTCTAAGGGTTCGAGAAAAATACCACCCTGTTACGTAAATCTCTTAGAATGATATGTTCTGCTGTTCTGGTTTTTTGCTTGACTAATATCTGGATAGTATTACCCTAGAAGCATGACTTATCTGTTAGTGCCATAACTTGATAATGCTTTTAATAATTGTTTTTTCCATGACTTTATTATTAACTCTGATAAAATATGCAAAATTCTGTTCAAATTCTGCATTTGTAGACTGATGTTCATATCCATTTTAATTTCTAAGTAGCATGCTCTCCCTTCATATGTAATTTTTTTTAGGCTGCTCAGTTCCAGTCAGAACAGGCAGGTAATATGTGCAGTCGGTTACTGAACTGCAACAAAGTGCACGAGCTAGTTGAGCAGAGCATGGAGAATTGTACCTCCGAAGCGTCTCATAGTTTCATAGCAGGAAACGGTGAACAATCAGCTTCCTTAATGTCCACTCGACAGGTACCTTTTTCCAAAAATTCCAGTAGCATCGAAGGAGTTCCCATATCTGCTGCAGCGTCAGTGGCAGCAAAGCTCACAGCATCAACATCCTCAGCCCAGATGCTCTCTTATGTTCTCTCTTCCCTGGCATCAGAGGGGGTGATTGGCAATTCGATTAAAGAATATTCCAGCGGTTATCCTTCTGAAAAAAGACCTAAGTTTGAGAATCCTCAACCACCAGTTCAACCTTTTCCACATCCCGAGTCACTGCAACAAAACGTCTGTGTCACTGACCAAGAATCAAATTCACATGAGCAACCACCTCTCCAATCATCCCGTCCATCGGTGCCACCAGTATCACCCATGCAGTCATCTCTAGTGCCCCAGTTTATGCAGACTGCTGGACCAACAACTAGTGTATCAATCAATGGTGTTTCTCGCTTTGCAGCCCCTTCAACAAATCCTTACCACAGTTTTCAAGGATCAGAAGGTGTTTTTTACAGCCAGCAATCATCTTTGCCAATGGCACCAATTTATCGGCAATAGAATTATGTTTCTTCCGGTGCTTATAAGGGAGAAGTTTTGGCATTGTATTTTAAGACGCTTATGTTTAAACACAAGGAGCTTCTTTGTTAGCTGGAAGTCTGATTACACAAGTAATTAGATTCTACACGTCTTAATTAATAGAATGCCTTTGCTAAGATATTTGAATCTTATTAATGTGTTGTCCTAGTCTGATGTGTGTATCACTGGAGAGTGGAGTCTTGTTTGGATGCCTGGAATTGAGCGTCGGGAGATACAGAATAATAGATTTTCTCATAATTTAATACAAACATCAGAATACATAAATTACTTACTATTTATTGATCTATTAATCCTAAGTCATTTTCTAAAAAATAAATAGAATTCATTAATCCTTTTCTTTCCCTTTCTCCAATATTTTCTGCATATTTATTTTTTATTTTGAAATCAGCATCGCCATGCAGAAGCAGCTAGAAGATCTCTGTCCTGCCACCCCAGAAGCAAGCAACCCTTGTCCTCTTTCAAGCTATAACCATCACATGAATACACACTCAACAATATTTTAGACTGAGTCACAGCGTTTTCACTCAATGGCACCCCTGTAAACCCTTTTCCTTCCATTACCTTCCTCCACTTCTCCAACCTCTCATGCCTCTCTACTCTCTCCGGCCCCTCGCACGCCACTACATTTCTTATCTCCGGTGCAAATAGGTACTGCTCTACCTTCGCTCTCTGCGCTGAATCCGGTGGAAAAGTGGCGTCTAATGAATCAAAAATGGCCGAGTAATAGTGCAATGCCTCGAGGAACCGGCCCAAGAAGTAGGGTCCATTGTGGCTTGCTTCTTGTTCAACAATGGTCACTATGCTTGGTGCTTGGTCTCGGATCATTACTAATAGGTTACTGAGACAGTTGCCGGGAACACTATGGAGACGGCTAACAGAATTAACTGCTAGGGCTTCACCAACACGTCTTTGGAACATGTGTGGTTTCAGGTCTTCAAGTTGTTCACCAACCGGGTGAAATTCAAATGGGATGCGGAGAGAGTGGGCCAGTTCGGTTAAACACCAACCAGTCTCCCTCACGCACTCCATGTCGGAGCCAACTCCGGTTATGCGGAGGAATGGAGGTCCCCCCGGTCGAGCAGCTAGGGCTTGCATGAAAGCAGGCCATTGGTATCCTTGAAGGATGTGTAGGTCAATGACATGAACACGCTCTTCATCTTCAAATGCCTCGAAGATTGCTTGATTCGCCGTGAAATGAGCGAATTTAATGTATGGGCAGGCTTGGTATAGGATTTGGTAAATCTTGAGGACTTCTAGTGAGTTTGGAGGAAAAGGAGTAAAGGGCGGCTTTGCAGTGGATCCAGAGGTGCTGGATTTGGTGGTTAGGGTGGCGGCAAGCCTCGTGCTTAGGGCTTCGGTGAAGCATGAGGCCACGCGTTGCATGGAGTCGCCGAGGGGCGTCACCACTCGATTGAGCTGGTGGATGTATCTCCTTGCTAACATGTAGTCCTCTTTTGCAACTGCTTCGGCACAAGCAAGTAGGAGGTGCACCAGCTGAAGTCCACTATCTTGTTCCTGCAGTACGTTAGAAACAAAAACAAGTTGAAAAATGGTAAGCCTTTTATTTACTGTGGTCGGTGAATGTTGCTTTCCAGACTTTTTTATCAAGAAAAGTGGACGGACAACCATTTAATAATATATTATGAAGTATGATATAATCGTTCAAAACTATCTAATAATTTCTCTATTAAGAGAGATGTGAATGAGGAGAAATTAAAAGAATGTTTGCATTCTTGGTTCAATTTTTTGATAATTTTTTTTTTTTTTTTTTTTTTTTTTTTGAGTAAATTAAACTTCCCTTTCCTTAGTTAAGGTCTATTATATATATATATATATATTTTTTATGTTTTCTGAAATTAATAGTCATCTCTCATCTCCCTTTTAATTATATGTACATAACAAATGGATTATTACTGTTAATTTCACCGAGGGTTAAAGATGGTCAATGTTGTAGTGAGAAGTTGTTTTTCTTCATCTTACAAATGTGTCATTCAAATTGCTTTGGGACATATTTATTATGTGAAAAGATAATTATACCCTTGACTAAATAAAAGGTCTAATTTTGGAACTAATAAGAATAATAAGAGGCATTTACCTGGTCGGGCACAACAGGGAGAGGCACCATGAAGCTTTGGTTGATGTCGTGTGTTTGCTCTTCTTGTTGTTGCTTCTCCTGCTTTCGTTCTTGTTCCAGTTGTTGCGATAATGTTGCACTTGCAACAGATCCCATCTGATAATGGCCGTCAGTACTCTCTTGACTCAGTTGTGAACTACTTCCGGGGACCGACGTTTCGCTCACCGATCCACAGAACCTCGACGTATTTGGCACTTCTGTCAAGCACTCCAACAATGCTGGAATTGTAGTGAGTGTATCAAAAGCAGTACCATCCGATGAAGAACTTCCAAGACCCGAATTCTTCAGCACTCCGTGGTAGTCTATGAAATCATCATCAATATTCCTCTCATCATAGTTGTCATCATCCAAGAAACTCTCGAGAGCAGGCAGCGAAAGGCTCTCAGAAGTTTGCATATGCTGATAATTATTAGGAGAGCTGAAAACCTTATGCAGTGGACTCATTCCCTTCCCTTTGCTGCTACAAGCAGCTCCGAGTTGATACGAAACTCGAGGAGGAGAGCAACCCAAGAGAGACTGTCCATGCACTGATTGAACTGAGTTGTAATTGTAATTGTAATTGTAACTGGAAGCTTGAGGTGAGGCGGGTAGGTTCCTCACCGGTGATGATATCATGAAGTCGCCGTCGTGATCGGAGAAAAATGACTCCCATAATGAACTATCCGGTGACTTGACTTCCACGTCTCCGTCCACTTCAAATTTGATTGGCGGGAAGCTCAGGCTTGATGGTGTTAAACTAGTCGTCTTCTTGGATTCAGATACGGATTGATCATCAGGAGAAGTTGGTCCGAGTTTGGTGCATGAGATCTCAGTCTTTAGACTCCCCATCTCACTCTTCACATTCGCCACGCTTCCACACATAGAATTAATCATCTTTAACCTAGCTAGCTAGTTTAATTAGATATATCTATCGATCTCAATATATATATATATACAATTTTTGTTACTGTAATTGGAAGCTCTCTCAAACAGAAAAAAGAAATAAAATTTTGGAATTAGTGCTCTCATGAAAGTATGAAGAGGTGGTGAGACATTTGCTTCTCTCTGTTTTGTAATATATGAAAAGAAATTTGTCAGTTTGTACAGACTGTCCTTATGAAGAGAATGAAATCTGGGGATGAATTTTTTTGGTTTTTTTATTTGTTTGGATTTTAGTAATAAAACCATACCCTTTTGTATCAACTCTCTACAGAGTTTAGTTTAGTTGTTATAGGAGTGAATTTGTGCAAGTGATTGAGGTAGAAGACAGTTTAGTGGGCTGGGTCCCACTTAATTTCCTTGGGCCGACTGGGCCGGGAGCAAGAGAGCTGGAGGAATAAATTAAATAATTATTTTGTATTAATTAATTTTATTTTTTGGCTGAGGAATAAATTAATTAAGGACGTTTTCTTGTTGGACAATGCCATAATAATATAAACTCTTTTAAGTAAGCTTATAGCATATTACTTGTGAATCCGGGATTCGTGATTACTGATTGGTCGAAGGAGAATGATGGGGACTATATACGACCCATATCAAAATAATCTAAAGTAGTGAAAGGACTTAAAAGGGCCAAATAATTTTGTAATTTTCAAAAAGTTTTCACTTTTTTGCAATGACAAATGAGAACAAAATTTGTTCGATGTGAATGAACAACTTAAGCCTTTCAGAATCGTAAATTCAATGAAGCGAATCGTAAACTCAGATTTGAATTTAATTCTTACAAATTTCGAAACACTAGAATTTAGTAAATAATATGTACAGTATACATATCGATGCATGTTTCCTGAGGGGCAGATTGGGAGTTAAAATATAAAATGAGGCCAAATTTGCTAATATGAATGTATGATAGTGCGGTTTTTATGATATAAAAGACTTGTATGGTATTTGAAGAGAAGTAATGGGCAAAATAGGAAAATTGAAAGGTAAGACTTTTGACAAGGGAACAAAAAAGTGGACATTGGCGAAGTCGTAGAAGTCGTCGGATGTAGCGTCGGTGACACCGCCTACAGCCTTGTATTTGCCAACGGCATGAAGCGTTTGTCCCCTCCACACTCCACTCGGCCTTTTTCTATTAGTCGACATCTCTCTCTCTCTCTCTCTCTATATATATATTATATATATAATTATATATTACGTAGTTACGTGCGTGCCTTTTCACAATTGACGAGCCACCCTCGTGTAATTTACATGAACTAGCATGTCACGACAAAAAGGAAAGAACATCTAATATACCAAATCAATACCATAGGAGGAAGTGTGTGTATATATATATATATACTCCTAGTTGGAGTAAAAATGGAGACCATAAAATTTGTGTGCGATAAATTGATATAATATATATATATATATTTGGTGTAGGTAAATATGAATTTAATTTGTCAGCATCCTACAGTTGTTTCATGGGAGAATCATAGAATTCATCAGTAGGTCTTTTCTTTAATCTTTGGTAACATGATTTAGAGAATTTAGGTCTAATGATCCAAGTAGAATGTAGACATGAATCTTAAGTTATTAATGCAAAAATTAACAAAGTTTTTTTGAGCCTCCATCTCTATGGACTCTTTTGTTTGTTTTATTTTAAAAAAGAACATACATTTCATATGCATGGCTTATAATTAATTACTATTATTAATTTTACAATCATGCATTCCAGAGAAAAATTATTGAAATTCAGACAGGGTGTCTTTCTATATATATTGGTAGGCAATAAAAAATTAATAATGTTTATTGGCCCGTAACATACCTTACGCACCATTTAAGTCAGGAGTGCGGTTTAAAAGTGAGACCTCAAGTACTTACCTCCCGAATCCCTACTAACGTTGCTATGTTCCTGGAGACTATAATGTTTTAATATATGTCATCACATGACAGATTTGGTATATGAGTAATTCTTAAAAGAGTAATGATATGGTTAGAGTTGGCGGTCGGACAAATTTAATTAATTTTATGTAATTAAGGATGGATGATGTTAGGAATTTTAGTGACGTTAGTTTTCACTTACGTAAATTAGTAGGAGTTGCTTGAAACTTTAAATCATTTTTCATTCTTGAAAGTAAATTCAAACTATAAATTCAGAGTTCAAATATGCTAGAGAAACTCTGTATCCAATAATTAACTTGATGTTATAAATTCATATCCTTTTTGGAGTAAATATAAATTGTGTTATATATTCCAACAATTAACCTATTATATTTAGTAGATTGAAGTTTCATTTCCTTCGCCGCGGCAAACAAAGTGGGCATTAATTAATTAAATTTTAAATTATTTTATAGATGGAAAGTCGTTGAAGTTTATAGCAAAACAAAAATACTAGCTAGACCTTGTTTTATATATTGTTGTAATCTGGTGTGACAGAGTCCTCTGACTTCTGCACTTAATTAAGTATTGAACAATGGCCACACACACACACACACACACACACTCACATATATATAATCTCCTTGGACTATGTAATGGATGTCTTTTAGCTTAGGCACGTTTGTAATGCGATATATATGTTTTAAGCATTGTGTTTTTGGTAAAATTTGAAATCATGTTTGGTAAAGAAAATTTATTTTGAAAAATTCATAAATTTGCTTTAATTCTTTCACTATTACAAAAATACACAATATCACCAATTTGGTGATATGGATTTTGGCGAAAAAATCTTATATGTTATGAACTATTTCAAATCAATATCAGTTATCTAAAACATGATACAAGTCCAAATTTGAAGACCAATATCAAAAAAATAATATTATAACACATTCCAAAGTCCAAACAAGTCTTTAGTGTTAGAAGAGTCTTATCTCACATTGAATTCGATAAAAAAAAGAAATTTGATATACATGGACGAGAATACAGATGATATTTCATTCTTTCCTAGTATTAGAGTGCTATATATCCTTCTTCCAATGACCACAATAATCCAATTTTTTACGAAACAAAATTATTGGTTGAAGATGATTTGGAAACATAGTATATAGCTAATTTTAAATTTGTATAAATTTTATTATTGTTAAATCAGTTACTACCAATTGTTCCAAAGTTGCATATCAAGTTTCAGTTCAGCTAATCTCATCTTGCTTGTGACAATTACAAATTGGTCAAATTAATTTGCTATAAGTTTAATCATTTGAATTAATATTTGGTGGAAAATAGACCACCGAAATTACAAAAAACAGTTGCATAAGCAACTTATTAATACCAGAAATACATACGAATGAGTGCTTCAGTGAAGAACTCATATATAAAACAACTATCTTAAATCTGCGAGCCAAAAACGGAAGAAAAAATTAAAAATAAAAAAAATGAAAAAAACAAAAATCAATATTAAGTAATACGAAGTTGCAGAATCCACATGCTGCAAAAAATTGTTGGCTCTTTAGTACTCCACTGTATCTGTGACAATCAATCGACCAAAATAACATTAATTAAAATTAATGTCACTTTTCATATATATTTTTTAGACTTCAAGTCCCAAAATTGACTGGAGACTTTGTTTCATTTGTTCTTAGTTCGCAACGAGTAGAGATTTAATTAAACATATGAAGATCGAAATTCAAAAGATGAACAGGAGGATGAAATTTAACAAAAATTACCGTGAAGAGATGGAGATTTTTAGTATCCGCCACCGGTTCGGTCAATCCTCCAAAGTTGGTTTCCTCCGTGATTCCATTGCCAAAGAACTATGGTAGTGCCATCACAGATGCCCTGAGGATCCTCAACATTACCATGAAGAGCATCAATATTAAGGGTAATGTCATTCACCATCCTAATTGTTCTAAAATTACCACCCATGTCTTCGCTTTGAGTCCACAAGATCGAGTAATCCATTTCATCTGGATTCCAAGGTTTCACCCGAACCTGCAACCGTCATTACCATCACGAGTTTATAAAAAATGATATATAACAATCAGATTCAACTATTGTTATGATTTGATGTGGATAAATTTTGATCATTTTTATGTATTCATATATAACTATATGAGCAGTGATAGTTAAATCGAAGAGATATATATAATACTTGGACCGAAATTTAATTATTTATTAAGAAAAGGGATTATATTTGGCAAACGTGGATCAATTAAAACAAGAAGTTTAGGAATTCTATCCAACAATTCGACTTTAAAATCATTTTTATCCATCATCTATATATATATATATAGTATAAAAGTAGGTACATACTGGATGACTGTCACCGAAGGCGTGCTGCAGGGCCTGACCGGTGGCTTTGTTGATGAGAGCAAAGCTGGGATTCCCCTTTTCATCCATCACTGTCATGCTGTACGTCTCATCTTTCACCCATTGCTGCATGCATGTCAAGCCCCATTCATCAATTATATCATACAATCAGTTAATTACTAAGCTGGTCGCGGTCGCAGCGTAATGGATTGTAACAAAGTTAGTGTAAACTGATTGATACGAGTCGCGTATTGAACTTGAAAAAAGGTCATATATCTACTATTAAGAAATACTCTATAACCAATTAAGTTTTTGTACAATTTTATAATTTTAAATTATCAAAAAATAAAAAATTGAACCAAACAAATTCACAATATCACTAATTAAATCTTACTTGGTATGGATCGTATGCATCGTTAGACGCAAGAATGACTTCGTCATCACGAACTGCTAAGGAGAATCCGCTACCAGCCTGACAATAAACCCTGTGACTTGGTTTGTCCCTAATTACAGAAAACGCAAAATCATCTGCCATTTTTTTTTTTTTTTGCTGAAACTTGGTTTTGATATGAATGAAATGAAATAGTTAAGAGTGAATGTGAATGCATGGTTATAACTAGTATTTATATTTGTCATCCACTCCACTGTTGTCCGTTGATCCACATTGCTTGGCCACCCATCAAATGCGGTCTTAAGAGGAATTTGTCAAATATTGCCTGCCCACCCACCAATTAAGTAATTAATTAGCCACTAAATTCATTTTTAACTACTTAAGTGCATGCTTAATTCCTTGTTAGTTAGTTACCATTGTACGGACACATTGCTATTTAACGAGGATGTGTTTTTTTTTTTTTTGGCAGCAATGACTGTTGTAAGATCGGATATATAATAATATACATATATCATTTCTTGTATTACGGAATGCCTATCATAACCGACTACGATTCTTTGCCACATAAATTTTTTTTTTTTTTTTTGGGGGGTGGGTTCAAGCCCACCAGTGCCCATCCCTCGATCCGCGATTTAAAATATCTAAGAAGTTATTCAAGAAGAACTGATAATGAATCTAATGACATCGCTAGGCCAACTGACATGCTGATATAATATGAATATTAGAATTAAATGTTTGTTATTTTATTTTCTTAAATTTTATATTATTATTTTAATCAATCCATAATATATTTTAAATTATATTGAATCCTATTTTTTTTAAAGAAATAATTACAAAATCATCCCCCAGCGATGCACTAACCATGTCAAAGAAAAAAAAAAAAAAATTAAATTTCAAGATACTTCTAACCTTGTCGAACTAGTATTCGTATGTTTTACACATATTCGCTCTTAGATAAAGTATCCATACTTTCTAGTTATACATCTCACAAGTTCCTTTTGTTATAATCCTCCCCCCTTTTGTTATCTATATTGACTGATGAGCAGTGCTAATTACTTTAGAGTTGTTCTGTTTGCATCATATTAGAATATCATAGCTACACAGCCAACTTAAACTGCTTACTTATCATTTTTATTATATGATTATTCATATTAATTATTAGAGAAATTGATTTTCTTATTCTGCTTGACTAGATATTCAATGTCGCGCTGATATTACGCCTCTAAAATACAACAAAAGACAAAAGTTGGCTCCATTTGAAACGTATTTATGCTTTTTAAAACAAACTGAAAATATCATATTTATCTCTATCAAATGTGTTTTTCTTTTTCTGTAATTATCTCTATCAAATATGATTAAATGTTTCCGAAAAACAAAAGAAAAAAAGTGAACAAATTCTTTTAGTTCAACTTCGAGGCTTAGCAATACATGTTATTTGAATTTGTAGCAGTTGCGGAGAATCAATTTGTTGCATATATACAGGCAGCAAAATCTTTAAGTATACAACATAGATATGAAGCCTCTCTGACCGTCTTCGTTAAAACGAACCACCACATAGACACAGGCCTCCAAGCTCGTCCAGTAGGGATTTACGTATTGATTGCTATGAAGGATGTTGTACGCGGTAATAAAATCATCTCCATTGGTAATTCAACACACCCTTCAGTATATAAATCCTTAGGCTTCATCTTCTTGCCTGAACAGGTAAAGGCGTAGTAGACGGTCCTCGAAAAATCATGCCTGGCCACACTTGCTTAGACAAGCAACTCCCTCTTCTAGATAATCTTGTTTGCTAATCCAAAACTCCGGCGCATCCTGCACAAATTAATCACTAAAAATCAGATTTTCTCTAAATGGTTGCCGTCGATATTTCATATACCATATGCAAAACTATTTTTTAGTTAACTGATTCTATCTTTTTAGGCACTGATTTTCATTGTGCATCTTAAACCATGAAAGCCAACAGATTATCTTCAATGCCTGTGTTTTAGTTTCAAAAGTAGGACGCACATTTCTAGAAGTCATGATATCTAGGATATCAATTTGTGTGGCTTCTCAATGTATGTGGATACCACAACTTCATCTGACCCGTGTCTGGAACCGTTGCACAATTACAGTCGAGTTAATCTCACCTCGAAACAATTCAGTATTAATTCTATATTTGTTTCATTATTCAATTCATAATAATACACCCTGTTTCAGTATCAATATGTCATCTCTTTTTGCATCCACAATAATCAAAGTAAAAGGAGCAAGCAAGCAGGCCCCAAGTTTCCTATATTTGGTTATTCTACTGACTAGCCTTAAAACCTGAGAAAAATTATTTATTTTTTACAGAACCCATCACTTAAACCATGGCGGGCCATTTTCTACAAACTCAAGCCATAAAGTTTGAGAAATATATGACATATACCTTCATGATTCCTGCAAGGACTGCACCTCCAAGATACACCATATGCTTTCTTCGTGGTGGGTCTTCTATGCGTAACCGCAGTTTCTGTTCATCACAAAACTAGAACATGAGAAATTCATTGATTGTATGAAAGAGAAAATATTGTATGAGTAAAGCACCAAAAGCCAATATGTTGACTTGGCCTATGATTAATTGTAGAATTTACAGCTTTGAGCATACACCTACATTCATAATTTGTTTGCTAGCAACCTTCAGAGGTTGCTTTTAAATGGATGATCATAAACTAAACAATCAAGTTTTTTCGTTTAACATAAGATTAAAACTGATACTAAGGTTGATTCGTAGAATTCTATACATGTTGGTAGAACTTGGTCATTCATTTATTAATTTGCATTGATATTTCAAAATCTATGATGAATGAGTAATCACACATTAGGGGCAATTTGGGACAATCATTATCATTTTGGATAGCACTTCTCCTAAACAATTAATATTTCTCAATAAGCTAACAAAAAGATAAGTAAACTCATGAGCATTTGGACAGCATTGTTTGTCACATAACTTCAGATTAATCTATTCCCCGTTGTAATATGGTATGCACAAGTTCATTTTGATAATGGAAAATGGACAGCGGTTATATCTATTTTCAACATCAGTGACAACTACATTTTGCCGTGACACCATTTTTGCAAAAATCAAAGTCAAAAGATGAATTTGTGCCCTAAATTGCAAGATTGCATTTGTAGAACGTCTTCATGTGCCTGCTATTGTGTTTTACACATGACGTGAATCAAACAGAACTCATAATTTTATTCTAGACAGAGAAGCACAAAAGTCCCATCCAAATAAAATCGAGGCATATCGCATCCATCTACTATTGAAATGAGGGAAAGTTGGAGAATAGGACTTCACAATGAAGTTAATTACTAACATGAACCAATAAACAAACAAAATGTTCGCAGTAAATCTCTTATCCCTTTCCTAATCCACCTCTTGGTTGTGGTTTTTGCAAACTGGTGTTCTTTTTCTTTTCAATTTTTTCCCATTCATTTAGGACAAAAAGAAAGATCTTTTTTTTATTATTTTTTAAAAAAAAATGCTCTTAGAAAGAGAGAGCCACCCTCTTCTCAAACTCATTACTCTTCAGATCTACACATAGAAGTAACCATGCAGTGAAGTGTGCTAACTTACCATGCACCAAATAGGTGCTCCCCGCTGTATGCAAACACAAACCAGTTTCATATAACCTTTTTACTTTTCAGTTGGGACCATGAAGTCCTAAATAAGTAGAACTACTTAGTTCCGCTGTTCAGAACCAACTAGATCTTTACTCATTAAAACACTCTTTGTGACTTCCTTAAAAGGTACCTTGATTGAGGTATTACTACTGAAAAAGTGGAGTCCAGGAGAACCATGAAACAGGATTCTAATGCATACAGATTTATTTATTTCCTGAACAAGCTTTCTAATGCATTTAGATGCCAATGTAACAATGGGAGCACGGGTTTCCAGGAACATTTTGGATTCCAATAAATATGATGCAATACAAATTGATTTTGATCACATGACTGACCCATATCCTTCAAATCTCTGGTTGCAGATATCATTAATTATTGTACCAGTTGATGCAAATTAGTCCTATGGAACTCCTAATTTTTCCTTCTCTTTTTCCTTCTATACTCTTACTATCCTATTAGACCTTGTTTGGAAAAACTTGCGAACTTGTATTTCCCCACTATTCATATCACACGGAAAAGGCACCACTTCTGGAAGCAGATTTTCATTAATTTTCACTTGAGCAAGATGGTGTCAGGTGCCAGCGCTAGTCACCCCACATTAAGAAATTGCCAATAGGCTCCCAAGTAACAAATTATCAAACTACACTAAGAATACAACCCTCAACATTTATATTGTATAAGACAAAATCAAGAGTATCATATAGTCTTTATTTTCTCTTTCTACATAAATGGAAACCAATATTACCTTCAACCCATCTTTGTTTCCCTTCAAAACAACTTCCAGATAGCGATCCAAAATTTCTTTCTCCAGGCTGTAGAAAAACAGATCACAACTTAAGTCAAGGCCTAATTAAAAAAAAAAAAACACTACAGAAAGCACAATCATTCTGGTCAATATGCAAACAGGAAATGCCCAGAACATTCTGTGAGTGTTGTCTCATGCATGGATAGTTGCATACATAATATGGAACAACTTGAAGTGAGAAATTAAAAGAATGATGCATACGGTGACATCATGTGCAAATATAATTAACATGCAATATCTCTTTCTAATCATCAGAATAACAGTAACATTTGGTATTTTAAGGGCTATTCCTGCCTATATCTAAAAATGAGTTAAATAACTATACGAAGAACCTGGATGGCTAAATCCAAGTTTAGAGGTTTATATACTTAGGGGCACATAATGAGAACTCTCTTCTCGTTATCTCTTCCCACATATAACATTGAGAAGCTTTCCTACTCAAAAACAGGCCGAATAAGAGGCCAGATAGCACATGGAAACCTACAAAATTCAACAATATTCCAATGCTGAAACAGTAAAAAAAAAATGTTAAATAAACAGTCAATATATCTCATTAAACCATGGTGCGATGGCTAAGGAGCAGCCAAAGTCGTCAATAAATGTAAGAAATTAAATGTGAAAAACTATATTGTCAAATCAAAACCAGAAATGGTATACTATAAGTCCTTAATGAGATTTCTGGTTCATTGAATAAATTCAGATTGGCAGATGACCACTTTAATCTTCGGCTGCCGGTTGATTGTGTTATGCGAGAAAGTGAAGCTTATGTACTATATTTGGTAAACGTCAAAAAAAAAAGTTAATTTTCTATGTGTTCGGTACAAGGAAGTCTGTATGGAAACAAGACAAATTTCCATTGATACATAATTCCACATATAATGCAGGAAAAAACTTCAAGAGTAAGTGTTGTTTTCTAACTTCAAGAGGAAGTTTTTCTTGCTAGAAAACAATTATTGATGACCTAAAATTTCTTGTGACAACCAAAGACACAAAGTGAAAGGAAACAATTTTATTTCCCTACTCATTTCCTTTCCTTGAAGAAATGCAGTCTAATCGTAAAAGATGCAGAAAGAAGGTTCCTCCAGAATGCTAAGACAATAATTTATAACCATTACCTGTGCAAAATATGAACCATAACAACTAAGTATTTAGTTGATGCAAAAAAAAAAAAATGAAAAAAAAAATTGAATACATTACCGACTAGGTAATCCAGGATACATAGTACTCCCACCACTCAAAACTATATGTTGGTAGAGCTGCAAAAATCAAACAAATCAAAGTGATGACATGACAATTTGCCCAAATGCGTTAGAAAGTACAGAGGAAATATAGCATGGGGTGTGGCCCCTTGGTTTCAGAGGCCTGTAGCTGAAGCTAATGTACTAATAATCTGGATTCTTCATTATCTATTTATTTATTTTTCATAAATAACATAATTATTTTTACCTATTCATAAAATTAATAAATATTTTATCATACTATACAAATGGAGAAATTACATGAAAATGATCTAAAATATAATATGATAAAGATATTTCTTGAGAAGTGATATTAGTACCATCATCCGATTGTCAATGTCCATTTCCTGAATGCAACGAAATACCATGTCAGCCATTCCATCACCCTCGACATCTATAAGTTCCTGAAAGAAGAAAGAACTGCCACATTTTCACAGTTTTCAACGCAAAAATAGTGTTGCAAATGCATTATCCGAGGGTCTTAGAAACATAAATACAAAAAAACTCTGAAGAATTGTTTTCAGACATAATTTGAAGATTTAGAACAACAAATTTTGAATTTTTTTTAAAAAATTATTTAGTCAATAAAAATTAAGTAGAATGAAACTCATCAAATCCATTAACAAAATTAATTCATGTTAAGTTACAATTTTGGCATCACATTCATAGAGGTCACCTCCACAGAGAATCTCTAGTACGATCCCTTGACTCAATTCTTACACCAACCACGAGAAATAGACCGCACAAATCCTTTACCACCATTATTCACATGTATCCAGTTGTGAATTATGCCATATGACAATCCTGTTTACTTATCCAGAAAAAGGGGAAAAGAAGGAACTTTGTATCTAGAATTGTACAGCAATCAACATCGTGGTCAGGTATAAATAGTGAAACTTATTATCAAATAATGGAAGCATCCACTAGGTAACAAACACATTTGTAGGAGTGTCTGGTAAGTGTCAGTACCCAACACATGTCGACATGCAGTACCTTCATCATCTGTTCTACTTAGATGACATCACTGCACCAGATGCACGTGCTGCACTCAGGCAGACAAGTTTGATAATACAGGTTCTAGTAGTAGCCATTTCATGCAAAAATAACTTTCCCTGTCTCACCACATCCATGTACATATAAAATTTCCTCCCCCCAGCTCATGCAGAAATGATGAAGTGGTGGAGGCCATTAACAAATATACACCAATAGTTGATTAGATCTTATATAGTAGCCCCTAAGAAAATTTTCAAAATGAAGTAGCCTCCTTTCTAACCCAAACAAGTTTTTGTAAATAATGGGGCGGTGGTCAATATTATTAATTACATCCAAAAAAATCTAACAATTTGCTTGTAAACTTGGCTCCGATTGGATTAATATCTTCCATCCTTATTTTAATCTAGTAAGTTGACTTTCCAATCAATCTCAAATGGATCTTATTTTCAAGCACCAAAAGAAAATTAAGGTGATTTGCTTAATGAATTACTTAAAATTTTAAAGAAGAATCACTAGAAGTTGAAATTAATTCAAAAACCTATCCACCTCTGCCGGGGAAACCCACCAAATTCTCTGCAAGTGGGAGGTAGCTGACTAATACTGAAGCTGGAGAGATATTTGAGTAAGGAGCACATGCTTTTCCATTAGCTACTCTTCTAGCAATTAAAATGCACCAGAACAAATCTACTACAGTAGATATGCACATAGCATTTATAAGCTTCGCCTAAGCAGTTCTGAAGCAGAATAACAGAATCTTTACTTGTGTCAACCATTTACTTATGCAACTAGTTTGCATTTTGTCGGAACCCTACTATACTAACTAAGCCATATCTGAACATCTAAGTTGACCTCCCATTTCCCAAATATGAGAAAACAACAGGATGCATCATTAAATGGGCAGTGTAACAGCAAACTGTTTTCATAATACACATTCAACACGACACAAGATGAGAAGTAGAGTGCAACAGCGAATTGTAATCAATAAGGACAACCAACATTCAGATGACCCAGTATCTATAATTCAAAAACTTTAAAATCAATCGAACTTAACATTTGAAAGTGAAGAGAACTAGGCTTACAGGAGTAAATAGAGCCTCAGGTGCCTGGAACCGCTCAGTGCCAACTTTGATGACCCTTCCATCTGGCAGCTGATTAAATCAACTCTTCTCATTAAACTAACAATATTTATATGCATAAGCATGCCGAAAATCTTATATATAAATTTATTAATTTAAGCTCCAATGTTTTAGGTAAATAAAATACTAGCAGAAGAAGAATCCCAGGGAATCAAAATCCAGCAAAACAGAATATGAAACACAATCAAAGAGCTCAGGTTCATAAACAAACGCTAGGAAAAATTCAGGCATATAAAGCACATGCTAATATATATGTGTGTGTGTGTGTGTGTGTGTGTGTGTGTGTGTTTGTGTGCAGGTATCAGTAGCTAAAAAGGCTTATATCATCTTGGGACTTTACTACTTAATGATTTTTCAGTCACGTGATTCATGAAACGGTAGCAAATTTAACTTGACCATAAAGACTTCCATGGAAAGAATTGCAAACTAAAGAATCAGCTTACGGTATAATTCTTGACAAGGATGGTGGTTTCAAGTCCCAACTGATATTCCCTTTTGTAATCATAACTGCAGGGTAACAGATTTAATATCAAGTTGTAATGCGACAAGTTGGACAAATGCATACCAAATTTTGATGTTATACGTTCACCTTATATAACAGAGCTTCTCCTTGATATCCCTAACAGTCTCAAAGTCAGCAGACTTATTCATTGAATACCTTCAGGAAAAAAAAAAAAAGATCGGTATTTCAGTAAAAATAGTTGCATTTGGAGAACAGCATCAGTGAGAACTATACTAATCTTCTAACTTATTTTAGAAAAATATTGGCCGTCACCCTCTCCGTAGAAGCAAGTCGACAAGATATGATGTAATGTGCCTGCCAGCTACATTCATTCGTTTTGTAAGATGAGGGAATGAGTAGCCATCAACAACTGGAACCTGTATATAATATCTCAAGTAAGCACACTTGCTGAGCAGTGCTCCACATCCCACGGTACCATTTGTAAACAATATAACTACTAATCTGGACAAATTACCATCCTATATCAAATGCTCAGAAACACTAGAGATTCTGACAACTTACATTGCTTGTAGAGCATTACACAGAAAACTTCATAGAAATACCATCTTTAGGGTTTCAACTGGAAAATCTACCAACCCAAATAAAGAAATTTTAAAATATATATATAGTATTTCCTCGAGATGAACAGGCGTCAAGCTTATGACGCTATTAAGAACCCGACTTATGAATGTCTTAAGAACTATAGTTTTCAGCTCACATGCTACAGAAAACAAAATGGACTCTTTTTCAAATACAATGTGAAAGTGAAGGAAATATGTCATTTCTATAACATCCATGTAAATAAGAAACCTATATTAGCAATTAGGAACCGGGATAAATACAATAGTAAATGTTAATAATACTCTAGGAATAGCTCTTGAGTGATTTACCACATGAGTGACACCATCGCCAGAGTCAATAACTAATCCAGTCAGTAAACCTGTGAGAATTCAAGGTAATGTTGAAGAAAAGATCAATCACATGATGGAAAAAGTATATGCACACATGTGCTAATTATAAAAACAAAGTTGCCTATTGTCAGTATGGAGTTATAGCAGGTTACTGGATAGATATACTATTCGCGAGTTTCAATGGACTTGAGACTGCAGTAAAAAACCATATCATCTTTTAAAGTAAATTTTTTCACTTAAAACCTTTAGCCATCTCTATATGTACCTTGAGCATACAATGTCAAAACAGCTTGGATTTGAATGAACACGCCGGCAAAGTTATACTTCTCAAACATGGTCTCAACCTGCAAAGTTGATCTAAATTCAAATCAAGAGGTCATAATATCTCATAATTGAATCTGTTATTCATAGCGGGAAGAATGGATTACAAAAAGAACACACACACACGCACACATGAATCACAAACCATTTTCTCACGGTTCTTTGAGGGATTGAGGGGCGGGTCTGTAAGTAAAATTTTACATTCTGAGGGATCTATCTGTTAATAAGAATGTGGAACTCAAGTTAGATGTCGCAATGAGCATAGATTAGAAAAAAATAATAAGGCTTGAACCCTAGATTGTCACAGAAATCAAAAGCACCAAGGAGTCAACCTTTAATTCATTGAAAAATGCATGGTCCCACACATTTCCCATATCATCCCAGTTTTGCACGATGCCATTGCTGACAGGATAAGAAATATCAAGTTGATGTCGCAAATTTAAACAAGCTTCTCCAACAACAATATCCTATAAGAACAAGATACAGAGAGGAGCAGAGTTCTACAATTTAGAATCAAGCAGCAGCTGGATGTTAGGCTATATAGCTCAAGACAGAGAATGCATTTGGACTTGAAGTGAACAATAACTATTATATATGTATCAAATTTTCAACTTATTTTGTCCAGTAGTAATAGTAGATGTATAAAGCATATTTGTGTATAAATGACAATTAGAGTTAGCTATAAAGAAGCACATTGGGGGAAAAAATGTTAAGTTTCCTTGACCAGGAATTGCAAGGGTATTTGTATTACCAGAACACATATTTGGAACAAGGCTTTTTATAGCTAATAAACTATATCATTTAATTGCCATGTAAACGAGCATAATCTAGGGATAAAGGAATATGAAAACTTTGCCACATATAAAAACATGCATGTTTACCTTCAGCTCTTGTTCCATGAGTGATTCTTCATATCTTAGCAATGGCCGTCCTACCACGCAAGGGAACACAGAGGTGGGAAAGTTTTCTCCAGCAAAACCACACTTGACATACTGCATTGAGTAAATCAAATTTCAAAACACATAATTATTATAGTATTGCTTGTGAAAAAATGAAGCTATGACATATCCGTTAAATCATTCATATTTCAAGGCAAGTTTGGAACTTTCTTGCAAATTAGATTATTTAGCTGTTTTTATATTATATATCATTCACATATTATCATCCAAAATGAGGCCACTATTATAAATGATAGCATTGTTTAATTTGTTTACTAAAATCACAAAACTGATGCCACCTAATTATAGTTACCGACACTTTAATCATACCCACTTCGCACAATATTAAAGTCCGCATTTTTATTTGATTTTGTCTATGCTATATATACACAAATACACACGTATAAATATACATGTATATGCATACTGCACATGAATCGGTATAGTTATATGTGGGTGGTGTGTGATCTCAAACTTTAAATGGAATGAACTCCTCTTGAATTTAATCAGATGAGTTTTTCTACGGCAGTGAACAGATCATATGCTAAAATGCTAAATTGCTAATTGCTTCATATAATGACACAAATGTACCTTTAGAAATGTGCATAACCGATTAACATAAAAAAAAATGATAATTCATGAGCATCGAATTAGAATAAAATGTATATCATCCGAAGTTTTCGATGGAAATAAATAAACGGGTTTTGATTTTTCAGTAGATCTAACATTACACTAGTGCTTAATTGGAGTGAAGAAGAAGATCATAGCAAAATTGAAAATGGTAGCAGAGAGTTACCCCAGTGCCGTTGTCGCAGACGACGACGTTTCTGTTGTCCATGTTTCTTCTACTGCTCTTGGTGTTCTTCCTTCTTCATCTAACCACTTTCTCCTTTCAACTCAGGAGACGATGCGTCCAACTCCAGCAAAGAGAGAACTACTGTTAAGGATCAAAACGATGTCGTTCGGTGTTTTCATAAAACAATGCATCATTCATATTTAAATGGATTCGGGTCGGGTTTTAGCCCGCCCAAGTTGCATCCCCTACCTAGAGCGGGATATAAACATATGGCACTCTATATATTTTTTAGGGTTTCACACTTTTACTTCGCCGCTCACAAACCCCAATCAGCTGGAGCCAGGAAAAAGAGACTACTTGCAGAAATGGTGAGTCGGAGAAAACTCTCTTTTTCTGTATCTATTTCTATGTTCATAATCTATTGGTATAATTTTTTCAATATTTTTTCATAATGTTCAATTTGTCGATTGCATTTCTTGAACTTATTACAGATTTAGTGAATGATGGTATTTTTGCTAGCTTTTATGTTAACATGATAAGAATTTGCGTTTTGATGAAAATTGATACTATTGTTTTACTTTTTCGAAGGCTCCCAAAAGAGGTGGTAAATTGCCAGCTGCAGCAGCTAAGAAGAAACCGGTATGAATCTATACTATAACACCCACATCATATCATATAGGAGTATATATTTGCATATGTTTATATTGTTTTTCTTGATTGTTAAGTTTTTGTGTTGTGTTGGTGTTTTAGGAGTATATTTTTGCATATGTTTATATTGTTTCTCTTGATTGAAGTTGTATTCTATTAAGTTTTTGTGATTTGTATATATAAGATATTTTTATATATATATACATATATTTTTTTTGCATATGTTTATATTGTTTTTCGTGGTTGAAGTTATTTTCTTTTAAGTTGTTTTCTTTGGTGTTTTAGGAGAAGGTGGTCAACCCTTTATTTGAGAAACGTCCAAAGCAATTTGGGATAGGAGGGGCATTGCCTCCAAAGAAAGATCTGCATCGATTCGTCAAGTGGCCGCAGGTTGTTCGTATTCAGAGGAAGAGGAGGATCCTGAAGCAGCGGTTGAAGGTCCCTCCAACTTTGAACCAATTCACCAAGACACTGGACAAGAACCTCGGTGAGAATTCAAACTCACACTATCTGTTTGTGTGTAATTTGCCTTAAGCTATCTAATTTTTTCCCATAGTTTGGTGAAATTTTGGTTTATCCTGCACAATTCACATAACTTGCATTTTGGCAACCTGAAAATAATATGATTTAGTTGTGAACTTGTGATTGTTAACTTATGTTATTTGTTTTATATATTTTCTTTGTGACGAAAAGGATCTATTAGTTGAGACATATTTTCAATGTTTATTTAGTTCCAACAGGTTATCTTGTGTTTGTCTTATTTGAGATGCTTTTTCCACCTTTTGATGATTTGTTCTTATATATACACTCTTGAAGTTGAAGCTTTGCATCTTTCGATTGCCTTTTCTCATGCAATAAACTTGGGCTCCCAGCAACTTGAGCAACGCTAGGTTTGTCTAATTTTTATTTTAGGACAGACTCCTTATGTTAGGTTTTCCTTGGATACGTAACCTTAAAATTGGTATACATCAACTAATAATAGTATTAGGTTTCTGGGCCTAATAGCTCTTTTCCTTGCATTTGACCAGGTTTATATATTTCTACAACACTTAATATTAGATTTAAATGTTCATTTCAACTCATATCAATATAATCTAAACCTATCTCCAACCTACTGTGAGAAATACAGTGAGTCTCCTAGCTCCCATGTCTCTCTCTCTAGAACTCATCCTCAATTTACTCTCTTTTTTTTTTTTTTTTTTCTAACTTATTCTTTAGTCTTTGTGGTTGTGAATTTAAAAGAGCCGATTAGCAGAGCAAGAGCGTCTAATCAGATGACGAATCACTTGCATTGAAGGTTGGCGATATCATACAGAGATTCTCCGTGCCTTTCAAATCTAATTCTTATTTTGATTATGGCCTCGAACAAATCGCTACATTCTATTTCTCTCTTTATAATTTAGGGAAAAAAAAATATAATCTAAACTTGAAGCATTATGATTGTGGATCTCTTCATTCATTTGTATCCAAAGCAAGTTTGCCACCAACTATATTGGCACCATCTGCTAAATTTTGTCCCTTGTTAATGCATTTACCCTGATGAACCTGGCATTTTTTTTTATGGGATAGTAAATTATTGATTCTTGTGTCTCCTTCTTCAATTGTCAATATAATTTAAACCTATCTCCAACCTGCTGTGAGAAATACGTGAGTCTCCTAGCTTCTATTTCTCTCTCTCTAGAACTCTCAACTCAATTTACTCCTTTTTTTTTTTTTTTTTTTTTTTTTTTTTAAACTTATTCTTTAGTCTTAGTGGTTGTGAATTTAAAAGAGCCAATTAGCAGAGCAAGAGCGTCTAATCAGATGACGAATCACTTGCATTGAAGGTTGGCGATAACATACAGCGATTCTCCGTGCCTTTCAAATCTAATTCTTATTTTGATTACGGCCTCGAACAAATCGCTACATTCCATTTCTCTCTATATAATTTACCCAAAAAAAATATAATCTAAACTTGAAGCATTATGATTGTGGATCTCTTCATTCATTTGTATCCAAAGCAAGTTTGCCACCAACTATAGAGATGCCATCTGCCAAATTTTTTCCCTTTTTAATGCATTTACCCATATGGACCTGACATTTTTTTTAATGGGATAGTAAATTATTGATTCTTGTATTTCTTTGTTCGATTTTCAATATAATCTAAACCTATCTCCAGTCTACTGTGAGAAATACAGTGACTCTCCTACCTCCAATTTTTCTCTCTAGAATTCTTCCTCAATTTACTCTTTTTATTTTTTTTTTCTTTTAACTTATTCTTTATTTAGTCTTCGTGGTTGTGAATTTAAAAGAGCCAATTAGCAGAGCAAGACCGTCTCATGACGAATCACTTGCATTGAAGGTTGGCGATATCATACAGCGATTCTCCGTGCCTTTCAAATCTAATTCTTATTTTGATTACGGCCTCGAACAAATCGCTACATTCTTTTAATGGGATAGTAAATTATTGATTCTTGTATTTCTTTGTTCGATTTTCAATATAATCTAAACCTATCTCCAGCCTACTGTGAGAAATACAGTGAGTCTCCTACCTCCCATTTTTCTTTAGTCTTTGTGGTTGTGAATTTAAAAGAGCCAATTAGCAGAGCAAGAGCGCCTCATGACAAATCACTTGCATTGATGGTTGGCGATATCATACAGCGATTCTCCGTGCCTTTCAAATCTAATTCTTATTTTGATTACGGCCTTGAACAAATCGCTACATTCTATTTCTCTATATAATTTACCTGAAAAATATATAATCTAAACTTGAAGCATTATGATTGTGGATCTCTTCATTCATGTGTATCTAAAGCAAATTTGCCATCAACTATAGTGGCACCATCTGCTAAATTTTGCCCATTTTTAATGCATTTACCGTGATGAACCTGTCTTTTTTTTATGGGATAGTAAATTATTGATACTTGTATTTCCTTATTCGGTTTTCAATATAATCTAAACCGATCTCAAACCTACTGTGAGAAATACAGTGAGTCTCCTAGCTCTCATTTTTCTCTTTCTAGAACTCTTTGTCAATGTACTCCTTTTTCTTTTTTTCTTTTTTTAACTTATTCTTTAGTCTTTGTGGTTGTGAATTTGAAAGAGCGAATTAGCAGAGCAAGAGCATCTAATCAAGATAACGAATCACTTGCATTGAAGGTTAGCGATATCATACAGCGATTATCCGTGCCTTTTAAATCTAATTCTTATTTTGATTACGGCCTCGAACAAATCGCTACATTCTATTTCTCTATATAATTTACCAAAAAATATATAATCTAAACTTGAAGCATTATGATTGTGGATCTCTTCATTCATTTGTATCCAAAGCAAGTTTGCCACCAACTATAGCGACACCATCTGCTAAATTTTGTCACTTTTTAATGCATTTGCCCCGGTGAACCTGGCTTTCACATGGGATAGTAAATTTTTTATTCTTGTATTTCCTTATTCGATTTTCAATTTCCATGTTTGCTTTGATGACTGAATTTTTTTATAATATGTAGCAACAAGTCTGTTCAAGATGCTACTGAAGTACAGGCCTGAAGACAAAGCAGCAAAAAAGGAGCGTCTCTTGAAAAGGGCTCAGGCTGAGGCCGAAGGAAAATCTGTCGAGGCTAAGAAGCCTATTGTTGTAAAGTATGGTCTCAACCATGTCACCTACCTTATTGAGCAGGTCTTGTTTCACTTCCTTTTCTCTGAACACACTTTAAAAACTATTCCTTTGTGCTAGTGGACTTCTTTTCTAAATAATAGCACTCTTAAATATGATCTCCTTGCAGAACAAAGCACAATTGGTTGTTATTGCTCATGATGTGGACCCGATTGAGTTGGTCGTCTGGCTTCCTGCATTGTGCAGGAAGATGGAAATCCCATACTGTATCGTGAAAGGAAAATCACGATTGGGAACGGTAATATCCCAGAACCTTCTTGTCTTAAAATTGCCGCCTTAAAGCCAGAATTATGGTTGAATGCTAATATATGTAACCTTTCTGACAGATTGTGCACCAAAAAACTGCTGCTGCTTTGTGCTTGACCACTGTGAAGAATGAAGATAAATTGGAGTTCAGCAAAATATTAGAGGCTATCAAGGTAATGTAAAATTAAAATTCTTGTAAATCCAGTGACATTTTTAGCTTGCACTGAATTGTTCTAACTTCATTTGTTATATGTCTTTCCGTACTTCAGGCCAATTTCAATGACAAGTATGAAGAGTACAGGAAGAAGTGGGGTGGTGGTATTATGGGTTCCAAATCTCAGGCCAAAAGCAAGGCCAAAGAGAGGCTTATTGCAAAGGAGGCCGCTCAGAGGATAAACTAGGACAGTTTATTCAACATCTCCGGGATCTTAGGATAAGGCTACTTGAGGACTTCTTTTTTCCTGAATTTTTGGTTATGTCAAAATGTTATCCGGATAAACTAGAGAGCGTTTGTTTAGTTTACTTTGACCGGTGTATGAGTTTAAATTCGTAATAGTTGATTGAATTGGAATTAATGCACAATGACTTGGTAGAAATTGCTGGAATTTGTTTGTAAGATGCATTTCTTGCAAGTGTGGCCAATTTGTAGTATTTTGGTGCCTTTTTTTGGCCTAGCGGTGCTTCTGTGGTTTTTGCTCTTTAGAAGCTATGATACATTTCTTGTACTCTTTTTGTAACGGGGTGCTTACAAATTGCCACTTCTACATTTCTGCAATAGCCACAACTCATAAACTAAAGCAATTTAAAGGTGCTGGAAGAACACAACCATTTAAAATAAAGAAAATAATATATATATAAACAATGGAGAGATTTTAGAAAGAAAGAAAAAAAAGGACATCGAGCTGGGAAAAATTAAATAGAAGTGGAGAAAAAAATAAAAGAGAAGGTAACAAAAATGAAGTTTGTTTAATCTTTGCCACATATCTTGAATAATCATTCTAAAATTTTCTTTATACACACTATAGTTGAAGAATCTATTTTTGGCACCATATTATCAGCACGGACGATTACACAAAGGGTAATAAAAGGCGAGAAACAAAAAAAATGGGAAGATTGATTATATCCAAACTTTGTAGAAGAGAATAAGAAAGAACTTGTAGAAAATCCACATTTGTATTGCCCCGGAACAAAACCAAGAAACTAATAATCACTCTCAGAGCAAGGACACAACCTTCAGATCATCTGGAATCCGCCACAAGAATACTAGTTAAATAATCAGCAAGTCACTGAGTCATCATTGTTAGAATTTGCGTTTTTTTGCTGCATTCCCTGAAGCAACTGTAGGACCGGCTCTTGTTTTGATGAATATGAAAGTGATGCTGATAGTTCCGTACTAATAACTTGCATCATGGAAGGTGCATTGTCTCCAACCCATTTTATGTGTTCAATAGCAATTGCAATCTCTTTAGCATCAACTAAACATTTTACCAGAAGCAAATGAGAGTCTGATTGTCCTATCTCATTAGAGAGATCGCATAGAAATCTGGAAGTAGCACGGAAGCAACCTGAAAAGATCCCTTATCTAGTTAAACTTTCCCAGGTGTATAACATAAATAAAAGCAACACCCAAACAGTTGGCAAACAACACTACTTTTGGCATTCACCATGTAGAACCCGGATTCTCTCGTGTGCCATTTCATCATGTGCCATTCCGTCACCTAAACAACTATTTTCATGTGTCCATTGCACTACAATGTAGTGCATAGCACTAGATATATACTAGCGGCACAGGACCAAGACACGGGATCCCCTCCTGGAGGGGGTCCGGGTTCCACCATGTAAACCACAAGATTTAATCATTCTGAATGTTCATGAGCTGAAAACATACCTTCTTTACAGAGAGAAAGAACAAATGTACGTAATATAGTTTGTGCAAGCCGTGCATCCTGTTCAATAGACCTATTGAAGATGTCAAAAGCGTCATCAAGCATTTTTTCTTGACAAAGCCCTTCAAGGAGGGATGTGTAAGTCAGAGCATCAGGTGCCACCCTTTTGTCCAACATGTGGGAAAACAGCCTCTGAGCTTCTTCAATCTGACCTGTTTCTGAAAACTTCCGTATAAGGATGTTGTAAGTCTTCAAATTTCCATCACACCCACTTGCAAACATCTCATCCCACAGTCTTTTTGCAGGACGCGTTAGCTCTTGTTTACAGCATGCTTCCATAAGAGAATTATAAAATGATACATCTGGAGACAACCCTTTCTTCTTCATCTCCTGAAGAACCCCATAAGCTTCCCTCACTCTGCCCGCCTTGCACAAGAACGAAACCATCATATGGTAACTCTCCATATCCGAGAAGTACTCTTTGGCAGACAAAATCTGGAAAACCTCCAACAATTCATCAATTTTTCCAAACTTGCAGAGATTCCTACTCAAATTGCTCAAAGTAAGAGGAGTTAAAAATCCTTCCTTTTCAATCATGAACTTGAAAAACAACATTCCAGAACAAGTATCAATAGTTGATATTGATCCTATCAAAGCATTAAGAACATCATCATCGATGGGAAAATTCCCACTCACAATCACTTCACCCAATTCTTTTGCTTCGCATATCCGTCTTTCTGAAATCAAAGCAAAAATAAACTCTCTATAGTCATTGGCCCTTGGAGCTACCCCTAGCTTTCTCTTCTTCTTCAAGACTTTATCCACGTCAACCACACTTCTAATCAACCGAAATGCTTCCACGACAATCCTATACGCCATAAAATCAGGTTTAAAATCCCTTTTCCTCAACTCATCCAGTACCCAGAAAGCCTCTGCAACCCTAGATTCCATACAAAGTCCATGAACAATCAAAACCGCTACAATTGACCCATTAATCTCCGAAACACCCTTTCTAACCTCATCTAGCAAACTTAAAGTCTTACCCAGTTCAGCATTTCTGCAAAATCTCCATATAAACACACCAAAACCAAGTGTACTAAAACTAACACCTCTTTGAATCATGTCATCAAACACCTTATGGGCATTACTCATATACCCATCAGACGACAGCGCAGCTAAAAGCGAATTGCATGTACTGGGTCCGATATCGTGATTTAGTGAACTAACTTCATTGAAAATCGCAAAGGCGTTCTGGGTCTTTTTACCTATAATCTGCGAGGCAATAATGGAGTGATAGATTGAAGGATCGAGATCGACCTTTCGGGCTTTGATTTGCCTTAGGAGCTTGTCAACGGCATTGAATTGGCGGGAGACGGAAAGAGATTTGAGGATTGATTGGTAGGTAAGAGGGGTGTGAGAGAAGCCTGGTTGTTGAGAGGCCCAGTTGAAGAAGCCGAGTGCGAGCGAATGGTGGTTGACGAGGAACGGATCGATGACTCGGGCTACGAGTGATGGGGTGAGTGAGTCGCGAAAACCGAGTTGGTGGAGGGTTTGCTCGAGTGAAGGGTTCCATGTACGAGTCGGGATCGAGCGGTTCGATGCAGAGATCAGAGTTCGACCTATCAGATTGGCAAACTCACTCGCGGAAGCTTTCATATGTGTGTGTGAAATGTGGCTTTTACGCGGAGAAAGAAAGTGGCCGTTTACAGTTCCCGCCTGTTAAACCTCTTATTATATATGTTCAGTTTTGGTTCAATTTTTTGACGGTGCATTTCAGTCCTGATTTAATAAATATAGAACCGTTTATAAATGATTTGTACTGCTTTTGAGTCTTATAGGATCAAACCGAACCAAATCATTATATACATATAATATGTATAATAGAATAAAAGATTAATTGTTTGCTCACTCAATAATATATTTATCTACTGAATTGAATTATAAAAAAGTTTAGAATTGGACGAATTGAATGAACTTCCTTAAGTGGCCTAATAGTAGCTACAAAAGAGACTATGATTCAATTTGTTCTAGTTTTTATAGAACCATTAGGATTGATTTGGTTCTAAAATACTCCAAACTGGATCCAATCCGAACGGTGTGCACTCGGCACTCCTGGTTAGTGAAGTTTCGGAGCCCATTCAACACTGAAAGATGGATGAATCCAGTTTCAGAAGAATACCCTTTTGCGGTGTTTCTAAGAGGAGCTCAGTCCAAATATAAGATAGCTGTCTCAAAATTTTATAAAAATCACAAATAACACTGATAAACCATAATTTTCTTTAATCTGGTGAACAAATTATAAACTATTACCTGCAGCATTCACAGAATTTACAAAATTCTATGCAAGGGGCACATAATATTCAATATTTACATCTTCATAAACTCAAATTATCTGCACAACTATTGTCTAATTTGTACAACCCAAGTGATCACACTGTACAGAGGTATACTTACATGACATACACAGATGTATAAATACTAAACCCTGCACTAAATTTTACAGTCTACAGTGGTTTTTCAGTTTCTTCTATTCAGTATCTGGAGGTAACACTGAGGGAAGGAAGATTCCTACTTACAGTGTTATTTACCATCCCTCTTGTATTTCTGTTTTCTTTTAAGCCAAACAGCTGATGTATCTGCACATTTTGTACACGAGCGATGCTATATATATACAGGAAGGTTTCAAGAATATGATCTAATCAGTTTGAGATTCTGGAAAGTTCGAGCTTTAAAGAGGTTCCCGAAAAGGAAGCTCATTCCTGTCTCTCGAGGGGGCTCTGGTAAGGGACTTGTGTTCCATTTAGCATGCAGTATAGTTTTTCCAACTTGTCCAATTTGTCTACGAATGGAGTCAACAGTTTCAGCGGCAACTGGATTCCCTGCCACTTCTGTGACATAGAAAGTGTCCTTGGCCTTTCCGCCTACTGTTGAAATTTCTGCTCTTTTGATACACAACCCATTCTCTCTGAATATCCTGGTAATGTCCGAGAGAAGTGCAGGCCGGTCTTCGGTGCACAGTTCCAGCTCCAGTCCCTGCAGAATAAATAAAATTACATTAGATAATGGTAATAATTGGTCTACTAGCATACTAGAATTTACTTTTATCAGAGTAGTCACTGTACCTCAGACGCTCGCCTCTCAATTGCTGCCTCAAGACACTTCACGACACGTTCTCTCTCCGCCTCTGACCTTATTGGGAGCCCATCAACATGTCTGATATAGTATTCCTACATCCGAATAGGATCTCGTCAAATTATATTAAAAGAATAATATTGGTTAAACATACCCTATGTGAGAAACGACATCAAGTGGTGAATTGATAAAATAAAATTATTTCATTGGTTGTCAAATAATCAACGTGTCCATGCCAATCTCACTTCAAATTCATTTTTGTTTGCAATCAGTAACTGATAGTACCTGATACGCTTCCATCTTCCCCGTGTGCACTACACCATGGAAGACTACATACTGCATATCAGTGAGGGTGCAGACAACATCAAACAACAGCTTCGGCCGGTCTTTTGACCTCATAGTAATTATTGTATACTCCTTTTCAATACAATCCATCACGTTTACATGCGGTCTTGAGCTCTTACCCTCAATTCTCCCCTGTTCAACTCCTTCATAGTCCCGATCTGCAAACATTATCTGGTGTAATCTTCTCTCCCGATGCATAACCCCAGGTGGTGAGAGCATTGTTTTTGCAGTCTTCCAGTCATTGCTTCCTCTAAGAACATTGCAAAGCAGTTTCTTTATTGTTGAGAGCCGTTGAGGATCTTCGATGGCACATCCAGTTGAATCATCCGTGACACGAACCACAGCTGCAGCTCTAGAATTGTGTGTCCATATCTCAGCATTTACCACATTACAGTGAAGGTCTGCAAGAACCGCACATACTTCGGACAATAAACCAGGCCTGTCTGTACCAGTTAGTTCGATTGAGGTGTGCTCTTCAGAAGGCATCACCCCAACAGAACCTCTCAATGAGGGTAGAAAGAATGCATCATCACTTTCAAGTGTCTGCAATATCGAAGAGAGATGTGAGAAATGACAAGGTTTGCATGGTGAAACTTTAGCTCTAGGGACCAAATTGGATGGAATTGCTGAAATCTAATCTTGAATTATTATTGTTTTCTATTTCACTAAAAGAGACTGAAAAACTGAAAATTGACAATATATAAACAAACTGAGTTGACTATATATATATACATGCCACAAAAGTAATAATTCCTGAAAATTACAATTTACAACCTGCATCCCTCTTTTATTTTCAGTATTCCTCTTAAAGGAGGTGACTAGGCAGTATATATAGGTCATATTCAACAAGATGCAAGAACTAAAACTGACAATGTTTCTGTATCCTTATACTTTGTGAAGCAAATTGTTGTATTATATGACAATAATTAGAGTACTTAACGGAAAAGAGTTTAAGAAAATAGTACAAGTGGCAGAAATTTCCCACCTTTTGGATATAATTGATGATCCCTTCCTCTCTAATTTTATTCCCATCACAGTCGATCACGTTAAACACTGAATTAGCAAAATTTCAAGCGATAATGAGATGTATAAGAAACAAAGGTTTAAACCAAAAAAAAACTGTAAAAACTTTAGAATTGTTTTGGGAAGTTAAAGAAGAAAAAGTACCATCCATGAACCATCCCCCATCAGATGAGATGTAAGCCTTTTTTATTACAAGGTTTAAATCTGTAAGAACTTGGACAACTTCCAGGAGGGTTCCGAATTTGTTGACGCTGTCAACCTAAAAGAACCACATATATACATATATTAATGGAAAAACAGATAAATTAACTATCCAACCAAAAAATGCATATATCCTAATTTTCAACCTAAATATGTGAAAACCATTATTAAATTATGAAGAAGAAGGCACAAGGCACATATATATACCTGAATAATAGTTGCATCCTTGCAAGAATGGTTGTCGATTACAACTCTGCAACAACAAGAGGCAACTCAGATGAAGAACCACCAACCTCCTCTCTTACCCACAAAACCAAAGAAGAGGAGTGGAATTCTAAATCAAATAAAGTAACTCCAAATCACAACCTTGTAAATCAACCAAATGTTTGTTTAAAGGGAATACAAAAATTATAGGTGCCTAGTTTCAAATGACTTTCCATTGAAATCTACAAACATCTGCAATTTCTCTACAAAAGAAAATTACATTTCAATTTAACCCTACAAATCACAAGAAGCCTTAAAAATATGATTCAGTTTAAGTCTGCATACAAAAGATATCATACCCAAAAAACCACACAACATATATAAACTCAATCCCACGAAATCAAAAATAAAGAAAGAATGAAAATTTCGGTATTTCTCAAGCCCTGAAATTCTTCAAATATGATAATAATCTGAAAAATAAAATTAATAAATAAATAAATAAGGAAACTAGCATATAAGCTAAGAATTCATTGTACTGACATCATATAAGAGCTTGAAGAACATAAGAAGGCAGGTTTCAAAAATCAACATGGCACAAAAGAACATAAAAGCAGAAGATATCAATATAGAAATAATAAATTGAATAGGCTAGAAGATTAAATTAAAAAAATAAAAATATAAAAGATAGAGGGGTTAATTTGACAGTATACCTGGGTGGGTTCATCCTCCTGATAAGCTTTGCATACTCATCATCCATTTCTAAATTTTCTGAGTCTCCAAACAACTCCAAGTGAAAAGATTGAGAATAAATATATAAGTGAATAATAACCCACAAATTAAAGGCAAAAGCTAAATAGGAACTTGTGTGTAAAGAATAATAATTGCTCAATTATTCCTCCTCCAAAATCCGAGGAAGAACATCAGATGATATTTCTAAGAGAGAGTATAAAAAGTAAAGTGAAACCTTAGCAGTTAGAAAAACAAGACACCCATTTGGGGCAACATATTACTAACACTCACAGTGACGAGACAGCCCGTTAAAATGCCAGAAAAGGTCACGTAAGCACTTTACATGACGTGGCAGTCCGTGATTGGATGCACCGGCGGTTAAACATTGACCGGAATGCTGTCCGGGCGGTGTGATTAATCCTTTTCGACCTTTCAGTGTCCCCTTACTTTTGGAAATTGCTTTTTTACCCTCTTCTTATCAAGATTATGTCAACGAGGGACTTTCAACCGTACGATGGCGCGGGAATTTCACGAGCACGTGCGGATTGGTGACGTGGAAGAGTCAGCTTTGTTGGTCGGGCTTTGTCGATATTTTTGGCGGCAATTCTAGCGTGAACGACCGGTTAGCCTTTCCACACTAATCAAATGCCAAACTAACTAGTCTACTTTAGCCTCTTCTTCTTTCCTATAGTACCCCTACGTCCAACGATATATTCCTCTAATCACCTAAGCTCAAGAACAAGTGGTAAGTCCTAATATAAAGCAGAACCAGAACCGAATGGGAATCAGAGTCGAACCAAAATTGGAACGAAAAAGGAAGTGACAACGAATTTAAAAGTGAAAATATAAAAACGGTAAAATTAAATTATAAATAATAAAAATAAGAATAAGAATGCGAGTAAAAATATAAAAGTAAGGACATATGAATAACATTGTCAAAAAAATCGTATAAGGACATCACCGTCAAAAAAAACGTATAACTTAGAATGTGATATTATTTTATTTTTACTTTTTCAAACTTTTAGTTTTCCCAACTAGCTAGTGGAATAAAATATTCACACTTTGATTGAGACTACTCCTTGACAACATGCCTCAGTCTAAGCTACGCATGCTAGAGAAAAAACAAAAAAAAAAAAAAAAGAAAAGAAAAAGCTACGCATGTTAATTTAAATTGAAGAGAAATTTCAAAGATGAGAGTTATGAGAGAAGTTGAACTCAAGAATTTTTTATTCCTAAATTAAGTTTTCAACCATCTATATTACATTTCTCTGGAGTCATCTCAACATGCGTCCTCCTTGAAACATTTTTTTCAATGATAATTTTGTGGTGCTTAAAATATATATATATATAACAATAATGAACATGGATAAAGTAAGCAAATTTTTTTCATGATAAACTAAGCAATAAAAGGAATCTAGAATTAACTGTTGAGGCTGTCTTTTCTTTTCTTTTTCTTTTTCTTTTTTAATTTAAAGATGGGGTCTTTTAGAGCAATTATAGTACAATCGAGAATAATTGGGAAAAAAGGGGGAAAAAACAAAGAAGAAATTCAATTGAGTAGATAATTGCAAATCTTTGGGGGAGTGACGCCCTCATGATTGGGGGAAACAATGAATTGGTGGGGTGGATGTTTTAGCAAAAGGCATATCTTGTGAAATATGACACTCATGTCGAAGTAAGGTAGTGCCATATATGCATGCCTCTAGGCTCTCTATGTCTTATCCCTAAAATTAGTAGAAAAATTGAGAAGTAAAAAGAGTGATGCAAAACTCATAAACGTGGAGGCTCAACCAACGCATGGACATGTATTTATTATACTTTCAAACATCATTTTCACTCTTTTGTCACTACCAAATCCTCTAAAACCCATCAAGTCCACCAAATTTGTGCTTCATAAAACTCAAAAACCAACACACAAATAATTTTATCACTTAAAATTTTTCAATATATAACCGTGTCATAGTCACAATTACAGTCGTCTTTCATAAGAAGTATTTGTGTTTGACAACATGACCTATATATACGTTCACATGAAAAACATGGAAAAGGGGTTTGGATTCAGAGGAATAAAGGGAGCTAGGATATTTGGAAGATAAAGTATATATGGAATGGATATATGGCTGTATATAAGAAGAAAGCTAGCCGTCCATTTAGACCCCACCCCCACTAACAATATATATATATATATATATATATTATGGCACTCCTCCTCAGTTTGGTGGCCTACTACTAATGGAATAAATTATGAATCCAATTCTTAATATTAGAATAATCTTATAGAAAGTAGACCAGCTGGCCAATGTCGGTGGGGGGTTGCGTGTGAAATGTGATGCATTGTGATAGAGACTACTGTGTGTATACGGAGGTGACAAATTACGACATAACACTATATAAATATAATATGAGTTAAAATAATTTAAATTTAATATAAACGAATTTGAATTATAAAATGATCGATACGATTAATTCGTTTACTTAATTGTGTTGGGTTAGGTTAGAAGAGTTCAATTCGTATAACCCGTTTATAACACATTTAACTCAACATATTATAATCGTGAATATACTATATATAATATGTTACTTGTTTAAACTCAATTATTATGAATAGTTTAAGTCACTTTAATATAAACTTTGTCTATACCTTATGATTTTTTTTTTTTTTTTTTTTTTTTTGAATATTTGGATTAATTATGACAATTTTTATTATTATTTAATATTAATTAAATATTAAATGTCTCGTTTTGATAAACAAATCATTAAACGAGTTAATACGTGGAATTAGTATTGAAACTTCTTGACACGATTATTAATTAGGTCATGTTTGAATTTATCTATTTATTTAATACCCTTGCATCAATACGGCATGAACACGACTTACGAACACGAATTGTCACTCCCTATGTGACTGTGTGCTTTTTATTAAAAAGATATTTTATGTGAATTTATCTGCAACCTGAATCGGACATGCGATCGTGAAATGTCAAAAAAAGGAAAAGGATACAAAAGTTTCAATTTGAAACATGGAATATTATTATTACTCAAGTCTACATGTATTTAATTCCTGAGCTGGGGGGTCTCACAGATTCTATCCTCCCACCCAACAAATCCACAAATTGAGACCTTTAATTAGGTTGACATTTCTTTCAAAATTAGCTGGACACTGACTATGACATCCCAAGCCGCCTTTAAAGTGATGTTGCAACAGATTGGCCGTCCCAAACCAAGTTGAGAGTATGTTTCCGGTGTATTTATTATCTAACAATTTTTTTTCCTTTCTTTTTTTATGAAAATAAAAAAATAAAAAAATAAAAAAAAATATTATTAGACCATAAAACATTTTAGTGGGTATTTATACATATGCATTATTACTTTTATTTTTATTTTCAGTGCGTTGTTCAAAATCGTGCTCTATTGTTACAAGAAGACCTTCAATATTGAAAGACATTTTTTTCAAATTTTTTAATCGTTAATAATAATATTGGTCTCTTAAAATATTCCATAATTCATAAGAAAATATGAATCTAACAACTATGGAAAAAAAGGGCCGAGGGTGGCCTCAAGCACCTAGAGGACTAAGTTGACTACCAAATATAGATGGGTTGAATCGGGGCAATGGGGCAGCCCATCCTCTGGTCCCCGTAAGTCATTGTTGGATAACGAGATTTGGTGATCAAAAGCTTTGTTTGGTGGGAAAGAAAACAACCGTATTCAATGGATTATCATCAAAGCTCTCTAGTGGGAAGGGAATTAACTACCATTATATAAAGTTGTCATTAATTCTCTATTGCATCCTGCAGTGGGTCCCTCCTTAGATCTTGTAATAAGGTGTTAAAACTTAAAAATTCCACAAAAATACTTTTTTAGTAACCTGTAGTAGATAATGTCATTATAATACTTTTAAGTTAAGGTTGTTATTCCTTGAAAATTATAAGTCGGTCAAAAAACAAATTAATTTGACTATTCTTTTTTTATTTTTTATTTTTAGAGTACGTGTATTAATCCTACAATACATGCACTATTTAAGTTAAAAATACGATTCAAAAGCGAGACTTCAAAAACTTACTTTCTGAATCTCGCCAACACCGCTATACTCCTATAACTAATTAATTTGACTATTTTATATGTTAATGAAAATGACATAGTCATAAAATTATCATATCATACTCACCCATATAAATACAATTAAATATGTTTCACATTCAAACTTTATCACTTGTTTATCCGTTATAATCGAATCCAAAGTTGCCACTTATCATTAGACCAACAAATCACTCAAAATGTCAAGAAATGTTGATTTTGAGGCATGTTGATGTGCAACTTTAGGGAAAATATTTCAAACCGATATCAATTGGATGGTCCTGTTGGTCGTGGGTGACGCCCTATCCATTAAGCTTTCAAAAAGGCAAAAACACATTTGGAAGAGACCATGACAGCTTAATAAGCTGTGCATGTACTTGTTGTTGAATTTGGTACTTTTGCAATGAAGGGTTGGGTCAGAACTCAATAAAACGTCATGTGTGTGTGTTTTTGGATGGAAGTGGTAGTGGAATGCATTCTATATAAGCACCCCCCCTGCCTATTAATATGGAGTCTAGTCATGGTGGTTGGTCAGATGCACATTGAAGTGGAACCCATCAATATGTTTCTAGTGTGCTGTTGCATACCAAGTGGCTAAACATATTTTTTTAATGTAGGAATTAGTAACATATCTAAACAAAATATGTTAATCATGCAAAAACTATTAACTGTCTTTTTTTTTCTTCTTAATTTCCCTCAGTATATATATATATATATATATATATTATAACTATTTTGAGATAGGGTCCATAGGGAGGCAGTATTTCAATTCGGAAACTTGTTTTATGCACTTCATTCTATTTCATGCGGTATTAACGTATTTTGTGTAGGGTAAAGTTCCACTAAACATATACAGTGATCAAATTTCAAACTTCTACAACTGATGAATCTGAGAAAATGGTTGATCATATATATATATATATATATATATATATATATTATATATATATGGTGGATCATTTCCTGCTATTTCTAACGAACCTTCATGTTCCTTACGAGGCCCAAATGTTTGGCACCCTTAAGCTGACTGGGCTTAGCAAAGGCACCCCAAAACTCTTAAGGTCCATTAAGTCCATGTGTGAGATGGGTTTCTCCTTTCTTATATAGTTCTATTTAACCTGGCCTGCATGGTAAACCAGATATTTATATTCATTCCCTATTAAAAATAAATAGATAAATAAAATGGAGAGAAGAGAAGAGAAGAGAAGAAAAAGCGAGAGAGAAAGAAGTAGATTCTGACTCTAGGCATATTGACTATTTTCATGTTACATGATGAATATGTTTGATGATAAATAATAATATTTACGTATATGCATTGAAGTTGTATTGTGAGATTGGAAATGTTTATATATATATATATCCTTAACTCTATCTTTCTAAATGCTTTTTAAGGTAGGTATGCTATTTTCATCCTAAAAACTAAAAAGTAAAAACCATACACCTTCTCATTAATTCAAGGAAGGAAAAATATGCAATGATACGAATGCATTCATGTTTTGACAGTAGGATGCTTTAGCAGTGCACAGGGCATACTGGCCATTGTACCTAACTTGGACAAATTATGGTCTAATATATTATATATAGACCATGTTTACCAGATGCAAATTTAATGTTGAAGCTGGCTGGCATTTGAAATTACTACTGTACCCCTTAGGGTTTCCCAAACTGTGCTAGATTGAGCGTGGTAGTATGTTTAGAGGTGATTGATTGGAATGGTGGGTGCAATGATAATAGTTTGAATGGACAAATATTGTAATAGATTTGAGTCTCAGAATATATAGTTTATTATGTATATGTAAAACAATATATGTTGAACTTGATTTTTTATTTTTGTCCTCTCAGCATCTGCATGGAATGTGACTTACCTTCTTCATCCACTAAGCATATATATATATATATTCTTTTCTTTTTTTGTATATTATTGTGACAGTTGAATGAGAATTTGCAGGATTAAGGGAAAGGCAAATCGAAATTAGAAGAATATATCACAGAGCTTATATTATATGATGAAGGAAAGGAACAAATTAACATGTGCACGTACCCTAGCCACCTAAGATTGGGAAGTAATTGCTTGTTACGGTGTGCCCAAGCAATTGCTTGAGAAACAGCCCAACAACGTACACAGGTCAATGTTCACAAGCAGGCAGGCCACATGAGATGGATTTTGGTTGTGATGTAATTTATTTAATTGGATTCATGCACAAATTGTCATTACAGGTGGGATGTCTACTCAAGACGTACACCCATATTCAATATCCTATTATCCGCTCGATACACCTATATTTTATGAGTGAAGTCATTTAACATCATAAATATTTGACCTTTAATGATACTAAATTATTAACATTTCCAATTACAAAAGGTATACATCATTTTCAAGGGTCCAACTGAGATACTCTACACCCATATAACAGATTTAATCCAGCCCAAGGCCCAAAACATATTGCATTTGTCACGAGTACAAAAGGATGGAATTACTGAATATATCCAAGGCATCATACATTTTATAAAATGAGAGTCTGGTGGGGGTGGGGGTGGGGGTGGAGGTGGAGGTGGAGGTGGAGGTGGAGGTGGCAGTGGCTGTTCATACCAGTCTGGTGAAGGTGGAGGTGGAAGTGGAGGTGGAGGTGGCTGGAACCATGGTGGCAGCTGTTGCTGCTCAAGCATCTTCTCAATTTTATCCAACCTTTCCGCCAATTGTACATTTCTTTCCTCAACAATTTCGACCCTTTTCATAAGAGCCTCTTCATATGATGAGGAGGCACGTTGATGCCTTGAAGACTTATCTTTCATTTCATCCTGCAAAATATTTAAGTTCACTATCAAATTGAAAGAATATGGCATAGGAAGAAATCATGTGCAAGCTAGAATATTAATCTTAATAAAGAGGAGAAAAAAAAAAAAAAAAGTTAAGTAAAGGCAAAAAAATCAATAACCATTTAATGAAGTTAGACAAGAGTCATTTAACAACAAACTGATTGCTCAACAATGCTGTCATGCTTTAATATTTTTCTGGTTTCATTTTCTGCAACCTATGTATATTTATGTATTCATGCATATGCTATTTTACCTCTTTAGTTTGCTCATGCTGACTTGTTCTTTCTTGTTACAAACTAAAACTAATTCTATATCGTGGAATCCGATGTAGCCAATGAATTTCACATCTGTAAGCACAACAGCGGGCAATAATTCCACTAACAGTTCCCGTCCTCCTATCCATTTCCTCTTTATACACACACACACACACATTAGATTTTACTCGATGTTTCACAGTGGTAAGGTTTTTGGACATCGACTCCACACATGGATCTAGAACTTATCCTGTGAATTAATTGTGTAATAATAATACCTTGACGGTTGTGGTTATGGGTTGACCCTGGTTGTTGTGACCTTTTCACTTACACTCCTAAGCCCCAATTTCATGCACCTACCTTTCTAATTGCCTTGTGTGTTTCAAGCCCAATGCTGATGGTTCAGAAACAAAGTTTCATAATCCATTCTGATGTTGTCTTCATCCAATTTCCCTCCTAATTATAATGCCACAGATTCCTCAAGCCATCCAAAAACAAGTATCATTCTTATAATTAACTTAGATAATTCCTCTTAGCTTTCTTGTGAGTCAAAGTTTTCATAATGAACAAGTTTATGGGACAGAGTGAATTATATTTTTTTCCCTAGGCTAGAAAGAATGCTTATTATTGACGACCAACAACCATATTACTCTCATGATTGACGACCAACATACTCTCGGTGTATGTCACATTAAAACATCTAAAATCTCAAGAAAAAAGAGAATACAAATTGAAAAATAAATTAGATTATTTCAGATTCATTTAATTAGATTACTTTCAACTAGTGGAAGTTCTTAAACATGAAATGCAATGAATGAAAACCACACTTCATCCGCAACAATTCCCCGCCTCCATATGTGCACAAAAAATAAAAAATGATCACTTAAAGGCATGTGACCCCCTATAAACTGCAAAAGTATTATGAGATCCAAATTTCATAATCCAACATGCTAACTACCAAGTAAATGAGGACTCATCGACAAAGAATGTCAAAATAGTGACAATATGCAACAAAGTGATGGGAAGTCACAAGTCAGTACTATTCTTATAGTTTACTTACATAATTCCTCTTAGCTTTCGGGAGATTTTCAATAGACCCAACAGCCCTTTCTCTAATATCCCAATTCTCAGGATTGTCTGAGTTTGCTTTCGGAAGCATATCTCCCACATCAGCCTTGGGCACTGAAATAATATCTCTTAGATGACTCCAATCCTTTTTTCTTCTCCTGCTCTTTTTCTGAGTTTACTCTGTTTGACAGGATTGTTGCTTGAATCTGAATCCATCTTTATTGACTTCATTTGTCTGATCTGCACTGCAACATAATCTTAGTTAAACTTTTGTGACATTTAAGGATTTCTGAGATAGTATTGGAAAGAACTAAATAGATTAGGCATGCATACAGCTATTTCTATGAAAGTGGATCGTTCTAGCATGCAAAAATGGGAACAGAGAAGAAATATATAATTTTCATTGCTAATATTAGTTTTATACTTTTATAGAACAAAATCAAACCAAGATCTGTGACAGTAGTTTTCTTGCACCAGAACCTACTCTTCCTGCCACAAAATTGTTGATAGACTTCAATTGTCTGATTCACAAAGCAACATAAACTTCATTTGCCATTTTTTTCTGCTGTTTTGTTGTTGTTATAATAACCAATATTTGTCACACAAAAATGGAAAAAAGAAGGGGGAGAAAAAGAATGTGAGTTAACTTTTTGGGACATTACGGACAAAGAACATAACAGAGTATGCAACTATGCACGGATCCAAGTCTTCCTATGAAAGTGGACCACTCCAACATGCAAAAGTGGAAGAAATTAAGAAACAAATATCTGTTAATTTCTGATATTTCCTTTAATTTTTTTCAAAAGGAAATCCATAAATTCATTACAGTTGATGTCCCTATATTTCATGTTGCCATTTTTTTATTTTTTATTTGTACTTTTGTTTTACTGTCACGTTGAGAGAACCATATAATAAAGTATGAACCCTAAATAGCATAAGATCAGACAACATTGGGAGGTGGGTGGGTGACATTCAGTTGGAACGTTACATACAAACATAAATCAAACTTTTCTCAACAATGTCTCTTCCTTTCCATAACAGGAATCAATAAATTATAAACACAAACGCACACATACATATAAATTGAGGGAAAAACAAGTGGAAAACAGAAAACATGATACTGATCAATACAACAAATGCCAACATGAAGGACAAACAGATAAGCCCGTATTCAGATTCAAAAAAAAAAAAAAAAACACACAACCAATCCGCCACTTAAGTCTCCAATAAAATTTACAATGCAAAATAATAATAATTGAAAAAGAAAAAAAAAAAGAAAAAAGAAACAAAATATAGGTGTACACATATATATATATATATATATATATATATATATATATATATATATTTGCTGTAGAGTAAAAAGACGATGAAAAAGATGATCGGAGTAAGAAATATCAAACGACGCATTTATGTTTTAAACCATATGATTCTCCGATTTTATCAGATTTGAAAAACGAGAGGATAGTCGAAGAATCTGTTCAACAACATACTAGTACTAGTCGCTGCCCATCTGGGATGAGTCAACCATATTGCATTTGTATATATATACAGATATATACTATATATCTATCAGAAAGAGAGAGATGACCATCATACCTTGGCCGCCTTCAGTCGTCGCTGTTGGGGGAGGTCAGAAGAGAGAGAAACTAGAGGCAAAAATGCCCTAAAATCAGAAAAAGATGTTTATATACCTCATATCAGTGCTACAGTAAAATAAAATTGGTATGATATCATTTTGGGCTGGGATTCCACCGATATGGGTTTTGGCCCAAATTTTGATATATGTTTTGGGATGGGCCCAAAATACAAAACCAAAACACCCACCAATAATAAACACAATACCAAACAGGCCCTTAACCATTGGTGTAGGTTTTGTGGCTGGTTGACTCGAAAACAAAATTGTAATTTTAAATACCCAAAATACATAAAATAATAGTAAAAAACTAATAAAAAGGGTATTTACAAAAATAAAAAAATAAGAAAGAGATAATAATCAAATTCAACTATTATTATGGATGGATGAACCCCATCGATAAATTCATCAACACCATCCATTGCAATAGTTGGATGTGAAAAAAATGTATATATATAGTAGTTACAAAAATAAAAAATAAGAGAGAGAGAAATAGCAATCAAATTCAAAAAAATTTATTTGATCATGTTTCAAAGTGAAAGGTGAGACCTTGAGAGTTCAATATGAGTTCCTTGTCAAAAAAAAAAAAACAAAATCAAATTAGTTAGTTCATTGTCTATGGTTCAAAATCTCTTAGACAGAGTAGGTTTAATTTGTTTATTTTTTATTTATCTGAGCCCTGTAAAATTTTATTTCAAATGCGACTTATTGATACAAAAATCTCCTTGAAAATTCAAGTCCTCATATTTAAAAAAAATAAAAATAGAGATATGATATCTATGGAAGGTTTAATTTGTTTATGCAACTTATATGCGAGATATTTGGGTTGGTCTTCATGAGTTGAAGCTTGAATTCGAGTTACCTCGGACCAGGCCAGCCCAACCCAACCCGAAGCCGAGTTGAGGTTGGGCTCAGATTAGGCTGGGTTGGGCCACCCCAAATAGCACCCCTAGTTTTGGGGCAATCATGTTGCTTTAATTTGGTGCCTAAATCCATGGGGATCTTCCCTACACAGGTGGTGGTACATTATTGGTGCTTAGAGATGGTGATATGTCCTGAAGCTACATGTCCCATCTCTCTCAAACCTCTTTTATGATCACTGACATTTCATGTCTTTGCAATCATTTAGATTCATTCATTGTACATGCTGCTGTTGCAACATTCACATTAGTTCTAGCTATGTGCATATATTTATCTAGAAAAGTCTTTTGAAAAAAAGGTTTATTCTAAAGTTTATTTTGTTGTTAGAATTTTGAAAGCCGGATAGTTGTTTTATTGTGATTCGGAAGGCTCGGATTTGAAATAAGAAAATAATTTTTTGAAATGGTAAGATTGCGAACATTTTAACACTTCCTAAACTTCACAATAACGAGAGTTTGTGCACTATGCATGTCCTTTCTTTTTATTATTGTGGAGCACCTTGAATGGAATTGGAAAAAACTGGCTTGATCCGTAGAGATTTTAAACGCATAAATGATGAATCCAGGTATCTCCAGAAAGGACACAAATGATGAGACCAACACATCCTGTCTGTATTTGAAAATGACAAATTTGTATCCGTATAGACTGTTGCATTTGTTATATATTCAGATACTTTAATTGCATGTCCTTAATCTCATCATCATCATCCTGAGATTGATCGATCGATCGATCTTTTTTCGCCTGCCTTCTTCTGTTTTGTATTCTACCCTTTTCTGGTATTCCTTTTGGCAACTAATGCATAATATATTGATGACACCAAGGGCATTCTTTGGTCACCTTATATATGTATACACACAAAATTATCAGATAAATCGGTGTTAAATGTGACATCTTATATCATTTGGGAAGAAATTGATGGCATTTATATGTGTGAATATGGATGCATTTTGAAAATAATAAGTTCTATAACCGATGGTGGCGGAACCAAGAATTTGAATTTAGGTGGTAACTATAACTATGTAATTTAAAGTTGAAAATTTTAAGGTCAATTGTATAATTTTTATAATATTATACTTGGTCTATGGAGTACAGTATAATTCAAAATATGGGGAAATGCAACCTAAATATATAGAGATATAAAATTAATATGAGAAATAAGAAAAATATTTAGGCTGTGTTGAGCTACGTGGAATTGGAAAAAAAATTACTTCAATTTTGTTAATTGTTTTTCTCCGATTCTCAAAATTCTAATTCCATACAACTGAACACAATCTTAGAGAAAAGGGAAACAAAAATTAAATTTTCTCCAACAATTGTTTCAATTTTTGAAAAAGTAAAGAGTACTTCAGAGAAGACATAGTTATTACCTCGATGAAAATTTAAGCAAATATATATATAATTTTAATTAAACAAAATCTCACCAGCTTAAGTGAAACCTGATTATAAGGAACTAAATAGAGAAATATTGTAATAACTTATACAAAGAATAGCTATAGAATTTTTTATTTAACAAGTGGCAATTAGAAATATTAGCATACATGATATCATTGTTATTTATTGATATTTTTAGAAAAGTGAATGGAGATGAACATATAATTTTAAATATTTTTCTTATTAACACCATTTATCACAAATGTTTTACAAGAAATGTTCCTGTATCTTTATTAAATATCATATAATTGATATTATAAATGCCTAACCATATATTATAGTAACAATTACTAAAATAATGAACTTACATTTTTATTTCAGAAAATTTGGCCTTAAAAAGTAAGACTAAAAATTTATTAAAATTTCTATGAATGCCAGAAAAATATAAGTTAAATTTACCGAAAAAACATATAAATAAGTTATACTTATTTCTAAACTCACTATAATTAGGCCAATAAATGTTTTTCCAAAACAAATTGGCGGCGCCAATTGAATTTTTTTATAAGTTTTGGTATCCCAAATGTAATTTATTTACAAAATATTACAAATTTTAGAGAAAATTTTGGGGAGGCCATGCCCCACTTGCCCCTGAACCGGTGTGCAAAGTCCATCACATGGAAAGATACATGACATCTAGTAATGTGTATTGAATCAATTTTTGCATGGGCCATAGAGAGCCTTAAGTATCATACTGCTCAAATCAGGAGAGTCAGGTTTTCAAATTAGGGCATCGTGCAAAAACAATTATATATATATATATATATATATATATATATATAAACATAACAAATATAAAATATAAAATATAAAAGATGATGAAGAATAAAATTATTCAAATATACACGTTAAAAAGAAGAATTTTAAAAAGTAGAAATAGAAAAAGGAAAGAAAAAATAGAGAATTTTACAAGAAAAAAGTTAAAAGAGTTTCAATTAAGGAATGAAAATTTAACTTTTTATTTTAAGGAAATTTATGAAATTTGAAGAGTAAAAAGAAAAAATAAAGAGATAATTTTAGAAACTACAAAATTTAAAGAGACAACATATAATTTTTCATATATATCGAAAAAAATATAAAAAATCGAAAAAAATATAAAAAATTACTACATATATCATAAAGGACGGCCCTAGCCTTCATTGGCTCCATCCCCGGCTCAAAGGGCTAGCTATATCTCACCACAAAAGGGAGGGAATCTCCAAATCCACTATGTAGAGATGAGAGACAACATAGGCATTAATTAAGCAGTCCAATCACTGTATAATATTTCCAATTTTCTATGCTAACCTAGCTACTACAACTTAATTAATGCATTTCCATATAACATACAGAGTCTTTTCCCATTAGCCCCTCGTACATGGGATGTAATTAACATATATATGTAAAATATGGCTCTAGTTCAATCAAGTTTGGTTGATGTGCAACTCTGGCTAGAAAGAAACAAAATACTTGTGATGCATAAGGTACAATTGTTGCATGGTTTTCGGATCAAGAACACATGGATGCATGTCACATCTCAACTGAAAAAGAAAATCATAACCGTGTTTGTTGAATTTGCTTTTCTTGCAGGTGCGATTCACTTCTTTTCATGTCCTTTATGTGTTTCAATGAGACAGAACACACAATATATGACAGAGTTAAATGTATAGAAGATTTATTGGAAGTATCATCTCAGAAAGCCGGGCATGGAGTGAGTTGGAGTCACAAAGAAGTTAAGGCTACACATGAATGAGTTAGTCATCAAATGGAGCTCAAGAATGTTCAAATTCAGTGGGCATTAGCCCATACTTTATGCTGCCTCTGAGACTTTTCAAAACATGTTTACAAATGCACAAAATCCTATCAAACATGTTTTATGCCTCTGGGGAAGAAATTGATTGAATCGAATTTAAAGCAATAAAAGGGATCAAGAACCTATATATGGTCTACACACCTGGAAAAAATCACATCAACTGCTGATCAGAGTGAGAGAGGCATGAATAACACGAAAGATGGTGTAGCGGAACACCAAGTCACGGCCTTTTAGCTCTCATTTGTTGTATGATAATTGAACAAGTACCACCAAAACAAATTCGTATGGATGCCAATGTTTGTGTGTGAAAAAATTTAGGAGACAAATTAAGTGGGTTGTCACACCAGATTGGATGGAAAAGTATTAATTGTAAAGAAGGGAAGAACATGATGGGACAATCAACTAAATGTCACATAGAAGAGTCAAAACAAATGTGCAGAGGGGTTCGAATCATATCATAATGTTTGATGAAACAAAACCAGAATTAAAGGGACTACTATTTCTGACATTACTTAACCGTATAAGTACTCTTCATAGCTAAGGACTGAAATGCTGAAATGATGTCTTGCATAAGTAACAACGGGGGACAATACTAAGTCTGGTCTGCAATCAAGTATGTTTCATAATCTTTTAAACCATACAGTGTAAATCATTTCTAAGTAAGTGAATCAAAGACTAATAAATTGCTCAGTCGTCTGAAGTTTGATTCATGCATAATGTAGAGTCACTATGTCATTAACAAGTATCGAAAAATGGAGTCAACATATAAAATTTGCAATCCAAAGCTAGAAATTTAGATTTTCCAACTTTATGAAAAGGTTCAAGCGCAAATTTATTTGGTTTTCATGTCTATGACATGTGAAATGAATTGGTAAATCATATAGCAAGGTAAACGGTCAGCATAGATATTTAGATCCTACGGACTAAGGGTGGAAAAAAAGGTCTCTAGCTGTGTGCCTAACCATGTGGGCAGTACTGACGGGGGATGTAGAAGAATAGAAACTGAAAGAGACTGTTTGGAATAAAAGAGGGGAGAGAGAACACTTCCAATTACAGAAAGGCCTTAGCGACAAGAAGGTAATGAAGACTAGAGTGGTGCCTCAAACATAGGTCTAAACACGTGAGATACTGGGATGGACTTTATTTTTGTTCTGTTACCATCTTTCGCCGCCTCTAAATTAGTTTCGATCTTTTAGAGATGTTCTTCGAAAGATACTCCAGTCCCTATGATGCAAGGTTTAAGAGCATTTCATCACCTAAGTTTCAATTGCCTCAGAAAAGAGCAACTCCATGGTTATTAACAATTAGATGATCGAGTCATCATAATACTCAAGAAGTCACCTTTGCTATGTCTCAGTAGTTCACACAAGGAAACCGAAAAATAGGATAAGAACCACAACTTTAAAAGGTACAAGAGTAAGCATTTGAAGACCATTTGAACCAAAAAGAACATGTACATCATATGTCCTGTATGGAAGATTGATCACTGATCCAGGAGATGAAAATTGAACTAAACTAAGTAGGGAAGAGCTTGTAGAAATTGATATAATAAAAGGAACAAACCAATAAAGTTCAGGGAAATGCATGTATAATTTAGAAAGAATAATTCTACTAGTTAAATATGAATTATGTAAGAATAAGAACTAGTATCATATGCCACCTACCAATAAAAATATATAAATAAAAAAGTTATGGAAAAGGTTTTAAGCACAAATTGCACGCGTTAGAAATTAGAGGGCATCCTACGTGTAGTAGGGCTTTTAGGTGATGATACTTGGAGATTTGGCATAGAAAAAGTTAGATTAAGTCTCTTGAATGAGAATTGACCTTCAGTGATAAATGTTGTTTTAGATTATTTTGTATTAGAATCAAGATGCAATTATAAAAACTCCTGTGAAGTCTCAACTAGAGTAAGCACTATGTCCCAAACAAAATTGAGTTCCCTCACAGCAATAAAAAATTAACAACAAAGCTTAGATTTCTTATTTCTAGTGATAATTAACTCCAACACCAAATATGGAATAGGATAAAATGTACCACATTATAAAAAAAATTCGAGTAATTTCTCAGATATAATGCGGATTTAAATCCTTAGTATGAAATCGAAATTTCTTTAAAAGGAGCTAGAATCGTTTCCAAGGCAAAGCATAGCCAAAATGGTATTATGGGGATACATTGTAGACGCACAAAACAGTCAAGTACCAGACAGCCATCCATATATGGAGAATATATATTGGCCCTCTTTTGTTAAAAACATAAGAACTTAAATAATCAAAAACTGCTACCACATCTAAGATAAAATTGCACAAACATGGCCACAAAAATTTATATTTATCTTCACAAACAAGTTGATCAAGACTCCATCTAGACCTAAAGAGATCAAAATAATTAAAAGGATGACTTACACTATAATCAACACGCCTTTTTCAAAATAAATAGAAGTTAAGCCCAAACCCAAGCTATTTGGCCCTGCACAGTTCCACCTGCACATTCCAGACCACAAACAACTCGATAACAATAACAGTAACATATAAAACTTTATAATTTATACACAAAAATGTCAAAAGAAAAAAAAAATCCCAGAAGGCACCTGTAGTTGGAGACTAGGAAGGAGTTGCGGAGACAAGAGGATAGGGCAAACCAAGTCCAATTCCAACTGAATTCTCAGCTATCTCCTTCTGTGCAGTGATACAATACACAAATCATTAACCAGAAAAACCCAGCTCCGATTCTACTGTCCTGAACCTTGAGAGTCATCCTTGGAAGATGGTTGCTGCTGATGTTGATGCTGCTCTTGCTGGTGCATTCTTGCCTGCCCCATCTGCTGGTAAATTTGACTTAGGGCTTGAGAATTCAAAACCCCAATATGACCATCCTGTGACAGCCCTAGCTCCAACCCAGGTAGCTGCTGGGTAGTACCACCCAAAATTGAGGTAAAACTCAAAGGACCCAAATTGGTGACTGGTAAGTCAAACCCAGGGAACCCTATTTTTTGCAGGTAATTTGAACTTTCACTACCCAGATTGGCAGTTGATGGCCCAGATGACGATGATGACTGAAACCCAAAATTACTCATAGCAGCAGGGGGCCATATCCCTGCTGCTGCTGCTGTGGGCATATGGGGTCTCCCCAAATTCCCACCTAACATTGGCCAACTGGTCCTACTACTCCCTCCTGACCCCCCAATATGTCCACCCAATTCATCAATCTTTTGATGCAATCCCACCGATATAGAATTCCCTTGATGCGAAACAGAGCCTCCTGCAGTTGCTAAGGCAGAGGCCGGGATGGTTCCCGTCCCGGTCGCCGCGATTATCGACGGCTCCGCCTGCTGTAACAACCACTGGATGGTCTCTCCATCAGATTTGTGACCCAATTCTCTGGTCAACTGGAAAATTCTTGCTGCACAAAGAGCTGGCATCCTTATCCTCCTTCCTCTGCCTTCAACTTTGGTGTGCCTGTCTTTGTTAGAGCTCCTCTTTGGGGCCAATTGCTTCTTAGTCCCACTCTCTTCTTTGTCTGCAATCACAATCTGGAAGTCTTTAATTTCAGCTGCTTTGTTCTCTCCCATGGTCGCTTGTGGGAGGCTCAAGAAGGCTGTTGGAACCTCCTGTGGTGGCTGCTTTGAGCCCTTGGGATCCATCAACAGAGGCTAAAGGGTGGGTGTGCACAAAATAAAAAAATTATAGTATTATTTTATGGAGTCCTCTTTGATCGGAGAAGGTGACCTCAAAATCTTTTTTTTTTTTCTCGGTTTTTTTTTTTTTTTTTTGGGAAGTGAAAACTTTGTCCTAGATATTCATGTGTTTTCCCTGTTTTTGGTAAAGGGCTGTGAAACTGTGAAACAGTGAAACTGTGAAAGGCAAAAGTAGATCTCGAGATCCCGATGTTATTAAGTACCTTCTCTAAGGACCTCAAAATTTAATTCAGGGTCTATTTTACAATTTCACATCTCCATTATATATAGACATAAATATCTATTTATGAGTTTGGATTCTCGGGTGTAGCATCTAAGCGTGTTATAGTGTTTTTCAAAATAAAATTCAATTGCAACAAATTTAATATACAGAGTAAATATGATACAGAGTAAATATGATATTCTACATTTTAACACAATTTTAATATATAGAGTAAATATGTTAAAAGACAATTTAAGTTCGTTAAAACTAAAAATAATGATATTGAGGACCTATTTGGCTAGTGCTTTTGTTTCATATTTTTTACTTTTACTAGCGTACTGTAGCGAAGCAAAAGTACGAAGCATGTTTGGTAATATTTATTATACTTTTGAATAGTATCGAAACGCTTCCAAAATTAAGGCCAAAATCGAAAGCATCCAAATGATACTTTTGTTTGTTTCTGCACTGTAGCAAAATACTGTTAATAAAAAAAAAAAAAAATCTAAAATAACATTTTTAACTGACCATTCAAATTTTAAAACTTACAATACTTTTTACCAAACATGCTTTCATATTTTTGCTTTTACAAATCTTGTAAAAAATTTACGTTATCAAATAAGTTAATATACCCTAAAAGCATAAGTATTACTTTTACTTCGAATCAAAGCAAAAGGACAAAGCACAAAGTAATTGTGGTTTCAATATATTTGTTCTAAATTTCAACACATAAAACATTGTTAAAATCTAAAATAAATATGTTAAAATTTAAAATAAATTTATGTGACTAATTTTATATACAACATGTTTATATATATGGATCGATAGATGTATATTATTTTATTATTATATGTCATTTACTCTGTGGGTTTGTTTTGACTAGTTTTGACACATACATGCCCTTTACTCACCAGGATAACAAAAAAAAGAAAAAAGGATGACAGGGTCTTTTAACAGCCAAATTCGTCACATCTAGGGCACACATAAAAGCCCCCATTCCCACAATCCATGGATTCCCTTCTCATTATTGCTCTACCTCCTGCATGATGATATTATTGCAACACCATTATATGATGCCATGTCTTGTAAGTGACTCAAGTGTCTACGTGGAGCCTCCACTTTGAAACACCTGGCACACTACCACAATCAATGTTTGGGGGGGGGGGGGGGGGGGGGGCTGGCTTCTAGCCCACTCTAGGCCCATCCTTAAGATATGTTAAACAAAATATAAATTAAAGAAGATATAATAATAAATAATGGAATTAGCAGAAAGAAGGTACTGTTGGTGTTATGAATAGGTGTGGATGTGAGAGGTTTCAATTAGTTTTCTGTTTGGAGATACTATGTGGGCCTTGGATGCAAATAGTTTCTCACACTTCATCACCCATGTGATTAATTCACTGCAGTTGAAAATCAGGATAAACAAATTACACCTCATTCAACCTCTATGATTTTTATTTTATTTTATTGATTTTTGAGTTTGGTGCAAGTGTTACATGTATGATTTGACCCATGTAATAATGAAAAGAAATTAAAACAGGACCATTAAAATACGGATCAAAATTCTTTTCGATTATATATCGATGGGTGAAGTTTATTACTCTCTAGTTCTAAAGTACTATTTGTTTACAGATAAATATTTGTTTTACACAAATAACTTGGAATTTGTGCCATTTTTTAAAAATTTTGAATCAATTGATTATCAAATGAAAGGATCATTAATTAATTTACCATACTAAGGATCTAAAATTCTTTCACTTACTTGAGATGGATCCATGAAAAATCTTTCACCATTTAGAATTAACCTAGTCAAATAGTAGGTGGGTAATTAGTCCAAAGTTGCTTTTGTTGTGAAAAAAATCAAAAGTGAGAAAGTTGATATGATTAATGTCCCCACTTTTAAGTATTAGATTACAATAATTATATATAGGGTAAGGAAATATGAAGTGATTAAGTGGTATATTAATTAGTGAAAAGCTTGAATAATGATTAAAGACAAGGTAGTTTTCATGCTTTGAAGATCATATCAAGATACATATAGATCTAAGCATAAAACACGACCCCAGCTAACAGTCAAGGTGAATAGTTATGTACACTAGTCAATGAAATTCTATTCATAGTGGGTATTATCATAGTTATTCCTCTTTTATATTTTTCTTTTCTTTTCTTCCAATCACTCTTGATTACTAAGCAACTTTAGGGAGTTTTTGAATGAATGGATACACAAAAGAGGTGAGACCATAGATAGAATTTCGTTTCATTTTCTTCATCTTTTTTGAGTTATAGGTTTGCTGTACTGATGTGGAGAAGACCCATTCATTGCTTAGGTGATGATAATAATGGGTGGGGGTATGTGTGTGTTGGTCATTGCATTGCTTGTCAAATGTGCTTCCCATCTTGGAGACAAAAGGAGGCCCCTCTTTTGAAAGCTAGCTGTTGAAAATATCATCCCCAATATCTCAATAATTTTTCCTTCTAAAGGCTAAAGGCCTTTGCTTTCATACATACACATATAAATAATATATGTATATGTATATATGGTCTTCTAATTAAGACATATTTTCATAAGAGATGATGATGAGATTGGATCCATCGTCTATAGTTATGTCAATCAATTAAGCATCCAAGTCCCAACTTTTTAAAAAGCCTTGTGTAAGCTTGTGTATATTTTCTATAAAATTTTATAAAGCATGCAACTAAGAGCATTTTCAATTGTTGCATTTTTTTTTTTTTTTTTTTTTTTTTTTTTGTGTGTAAATTTGATAAGTCATAAGAACATCTCCGCAATCTGTTAAAATACTCTTTTGTATAAAATATACACGGGCCACGTATAATGTGTAATTAGGGATGACAAAATTCCCATACATGGCGAGTCCCGGCCTCACTCCGCCCTGTTTATGGCGGGTTTGGGGACTTATTTATGGAAATGGGGAAGGAATAGGGATTGTATTTTAAACCCCGGCGGGGGATGGGGCGGGGACGGGGTTAGGAGAGGGTAACCCCGCCCCACCCTGTCCCGTTTATAGTGCATTTTTATTGCCCTTACATGTTTTAAAATATTTCTAAATTACATAACTATATATATAATATATTCACTTCTGAAAGTGAAAACCTAGATCTATTCACTCGCAGTATAGAGAAAAAACATAGTCGTTGTGCATCAAACATTTGATCATGTTTTAAATTGCTATAATTGTATTGAAGTTTAATTAAATTATTAGATTGAAAAATATTATGGCTGTGTTGATTTGATTGAAGGTGAATTAGAATTTAAAAAATGTTATGCGGGGCGGGACAGGGATGGGGGTAAAAAATTTGACCGGGGATGGGGATGGGGAATGTGATCCCCGCCCTACCCTGCCCCACTGTCATCCCTATGTATATATATATATATATTTTTATCTCCAGTAGTTTTTTAAGATACATTGTCATGTCATCAATGTGTAAAATTATTGTGTATTTTACACAACCTTTTTACACAGCTATATTAACATATTTCTTTTCTGCTCTCTTTTTTTCATTCCATTCACGAATCAATCCTATATTAATTAGGTTTGTAAAAATTATGTGGAGTCCATACATGATACTTATTAGTTGTTACCAAACGAACTATTTTTACATAAAAAATATAAAATAATCGTTGAAGCTAAAAATAAATATTTTAAAATTTTTGTATAAATCTATTACTACGTATCAGATTTACACAAATATATATATATACACAGACACACGCATAACGGTTCATATTTATATATATATATAATGATGGCATTTTAAAGTTGATGGATTTAATTTATAGTTGTAACATTTGTAAGCCACGCTCAAGGAATCTCCAAAGTAGTTATAGTACTGTGCCTAGGGGCAGCTAAATGAGTAGGCCTTGCAAAAGGTGAAGTCAACTGATCACAGGGCAATTACTAGACCATATTCACTCTTTATTTTTGTACATTTTTTTTTGGAACCATATTTACCCTTGATTTTTATACTTACTTCTCATAATAAGACAAACATTTTTAATTTGATTATAGTTTATCAATCAGTGTAGTAAAGCTAAATTCTTATTTATAAGTCCAACAAAGAAACAACTAAAACCTAATAATACATACAAAAAATATAGGGTAGCAAAGACTTTATTACATTTAGTTAGATTGGAAGGAGTTGTCACACAATTCTGACTTGTGTTAGGGGAAGAGGAGGACTGCATTAAATGGTAGAAAACAAAAGGGTACTAACGCCACATTAAATACCTACCAATCACTCACCTCCAATCTCTCTCTCTCTGTATACGAATTAGTCCCTTTGCTAGGAACACACCTCCCACCATTATCAACATGTCACACCATCACCTATCCCTTTCTTTTCCTATTCATTTCCCTTTCTTTTGTATTTCTTCAGTTGTCTACTTCTTTTGTAGTGTGTGTTACTGTGTGTGTGATTTTTCTGTTTTTTTTCGGTCCTTGGTAGTTCTTTTAGTTGTTTACTTACAAGAAATCTAATTTTTTATTTTCATCACCTATAAATTGTATGAAATTATGTGAGTAGTTTATTGTATGGCAATGAAATAAATTTTGACTATTTATTACTTTCTCCGTCCCAGGGAGTATATTTTCTTTTGAAAATTAACATTTCACAGCCTAAGCCCTCCTACTCATGGATGTGGAATCTCTCTCTCTCTCTCTCTCTCTCTCTCTATATATATATATATATATAGACACACACACACACATGGGACTTCTTAGGCATCGGTACCAAGAGGCCACAGTCTCAACTATGCGGTTGATATTTCTTTCTTTAGACCTGAGAGGGACTTGGGAATCGGATTATTGCTTTCCTGTTTTAGAGAACTGAGTTTTGGGATTTTTGGTAGATTGAAATTTTTTAAAATAAAAATAAATACTCTCACCCAATCAATTTTTCACTACTTGTAATTTACCAAAAAAAAAAAAAATTCACTTGCAATGTAAAAAAAGCACTATTTTTTTTTTCAAAAAAAAAAAAAAAAAGTATAATTAACTTTTTGTGGCCACTCTCACTCCAGCAGAGCTTGACACACTATATAGATAAAATAACTATGCAAGAATTAATATTTCTTTCTCAAATGTGTGGAGTTTTTACCTGAGAAACAAAAAAGAACATTATAGTGTTTCAATGATGTTTGATGAAATTGCATTTACAGCAAGCGTTGACAAAAGCAACATTTTCTACCATCTTTTACCCAATGCTCGAGAGCTTCTGGCACAGTAAATAAAAAAATAAAAAAATTATGCAAGAGCTGAGACTGAATTTCGGAAAAAATCCGGAGGATCCGATCAGAGAAGAAGAGTCATTGACCTCTTTTGTACCATTGTCCAACCATTTTTATGAATTAGGTTTCCGGTGTTTGGTTAAGGCAAAAATGTGCAAAAAGATGGAGAACTCTGGTGTTTATGGCTAGCTATAGGGTCTTTTGCATCTACTCTTGTCATTTTAGAGGGTGTAATGAGTTGGCGTTAGAAACTACAAGAAGTAAATATGAAAATGATCACACTCATAGCTTTCCTCCATTTAAACAATCGCATGACTAGGTACTGCAAAATAGGTAATCTATTATTATTGCTAAGTTCAGCATTACTCATACCACTTATATTTCAAAACCTATATTATCATACCATAAGACTATATATCTATGTTCTCACTCATCATCAACTTTGCACGCAGTCTTCAAACCAAAAATCGTGATCTAAAATCACAATGATTATATTATAAACAATATCATTCGGAAAAAAAAAAAAAAAAAAAAAAAAAAACTATATTATAAACAACAGACATGTACAGTCCCAACGACCTCAAAAGAACAAATAAATTCAACACAATACATGGTTTATCTGCTCAGCTAGTCGACGAAGGCCTGAAGGACATGCAGATAGGTGGATTGATCCTGAAAATGGAAAGGATTGCTGATGGTACTATCCAAATCCCGTCGCCACATATTAAACCAGAAGCTACTGCCGCTGCATAATCTTCAGCATCCTTCCTACTTACTCTCTCCCAAACAAACAATATCACGGTCCCAACAAACATGTCAATTGTAAAGTAAGCTCCAATATAAAATGGTATTGCCATTGCCATTGGAATTGGAATAAATTCGGAAATGTTATTGGGAGTCACATCCCTCAAAAGATTTACAACCAGAGCTGCCACAAAGAACCCATAACATATGGCCAGGCAATGCTTCGGAAGCATAGAGAAGCCCTCAATTCCGAGAATGGCCATTTCCCTGTATATAACAGCATACGGTGCTTTGTACGTACCATCAGGGGAACCAACATCAAAAGCAGTCCAATACAACCAAAATGTGAGAGGGGCAATGACACAACCCATGGCTGTACCAATTAATTGGCTCACAAACATAGACTTGGCTGACGATAGAGTGAGATAACCTGTCTTGAAATCTTGCATGAGATCAGCTGCCGTGGATACAATGGACATCATAACCCCACAACCTGCTAACCCAGCTATGACCCCGCCGTTCCTTCCAACCAATGAAGCAATGACGAAAAGACCAATTTTTCCATAAGTTGAAGCCAAGCTCCAGTCTGTGAGTCCAGTTGCATAGGAGTTGCAGAAGGCGAGGGCAGGGGCAATAACATACGAGCAGAGGACAAAATACCACTTAAGGGGAGGGAAGATGATTGGCATTATAGCAGTGGATATTGCAGCCAGGCCCACATATCCAGAAGCTGCAAACCAGGACGGTATCTTGTCTTTTAGGAATACTTCATCTCTTCTCCTTTGTTCCATTAGTAATTTGGAACTCTCACTATCTGCAAAGCATGTCCAAGAACAATTAATTCCCAATATGGCTCAGTTTATAGCATATAAGAAGGTAAGAAATACATGTTACTAGATGCATGTTACGCTTACAAGGTTCATCAGTGATTAGAAAAACTAATAAAGCAACATAAAGGAAGAATAACACTGTTGGTGGTTTCACTGTTGATAAACAATTTTCTCAAGGATGATAGTAATTGGCACAGGGTATATCATATGATCAATAATCCCATTAATCACTACACAAATCCACTGAGTTAAAAGATTAGATGACTATAGCTTAAATTGAATTTTCGGAAAACGATATGAGATTAAAAATATCAATAACATATTATCTCGTCCTTAGGCCAATCAGATAATTATATTTCATAAAATTAGGATTGTATTAGAATAATTATTTTTTAAATTGAATTATTTTCTACAAAACATAATATTTGAGTAATTATGTCGATATCTTATTTGCTTTTTCTTTTTCTTTTTTTTTTTCTTTTTTTTTTTTGGTAATTTATATCTAAATTGCTTTTTATTTTTTGTATACAATTGTAAACGATCTATATTCATCTCCACTAAGAAATAGACACTTAATTCCACAGTGGGAGTAGACTCTTAAGATTGTAAGATGTTGCTATTCAATTACCTTATGGTGGAATTGTAAGCTAAAGCTAAACATACTTTTACTAACAATATTTTGCTTATAAATGCGATCAATTTATTAGCGAGATTCTATAATCGCCCAAAGCAAAAATTCTTTCCAGACATAATTAAGTATAGAAAATTAATTGTTTCTGATATCATTATAGAAGGCAAATGTTCCAACATATTTGATGCAATCATTCACAAGATCCTATTTTATCCTCCTTGTTTCAAGGAGTATCCATCATCAAATCTACGCAAGTAAAAACCCACAGATTATTCATACCATTTCACAATTAAAAGCTGTTAATTCTGAGATACAAACTTTAAAATCTAAAAATTAATTCTTTCAAAAAAAGTATCTTGAAGATGATTTCCAAGTCAAATGAAAAAACTTTGAAAGATCCTAGTTCCTTCTCTAAATTTCAATCATATTATAAGTCAATTAGTTTCATCATAAACAGATCACTGATTTTTTAGCCAACAAAACTTATCATCAGCATACTCCCTAATCAACGTCAGACTTTTTGATTAAGCAAAAGTAAAAAGGCCACATTGCATCTTTTATACGCGTGCTAAGTTAACATCATCTCACTGCCTGTCAGAGAAGCATACAGAGCAAACAAAGTGAAAGCAGCATAAACAAGGACAGGGCAAATAACTACAGAACATAAAAACATTATATCCAGGCTGTAAGACATTCACTGAATTTATGAGACCTTTTATTCCTACCTAAGACTTCTTTAAGATGAGGAAGATTCTTCTGTTTGCTGCTGATGTTGCGCATTTCCTTAACAGTTACAGCTAGTATCTTAATCAAATTGTAAAGGCCATCCCCAAGGATAAGGGAAATGGCTATGAAAACCTGCAAAGTTGAAGGGCAGGAAAATCAGTGATAGAGCATCAGATATTAATATAAAGAGGCAACTTTACCATAAAAGAGAAGAAGAAAGGAACAAATATAAAATGAGGAATCTCGTTTCTTTTAGCACTACAAGATCTATTAAATAATAATAATAATACAAAGCTTATTCCATAAGTCCATTCCTTAGGAAGCCCAGCTGCAACATTTTAATTTCAAGCAGAGAAGATACTTCTAAAGAAACTTCGAGGTACAAGCATTCACTGGACTTCTGATATATTTGGTGAAATATCAAGTAATGGCTTGGACTTTGTGACAAGCCACCCACCATTAAATTAGTTGTGTGAAAATGTCCCAAGTCTAATAAATTGTGGCCATCAAGATCAGGTACTTTGTCATGCTCCTCTTTCTTCTCTGAATCTATGTTACATGGACTCTTCAAAAGGAGGTGAAGTACCCGTGTGACAGATTACTCAGACATGGGTGTGGGATAAGTGTCAGACACTTTTGGTTGGACACCCTAAGAAAACATATTATTATTATTATTTTTGATAAATAAAAGAATATTATTAAAAGACGCTCAAGAGGGGAGCGAAACCCAAGGAAAACATATTATTATATTGTTACTTCAAAATCAGTGAAACATTATGTTACAAAAATACATTAATTTACTCTAGAAAATAAAATAAAAATATTAAATAAAATGAATATTTATCACTGTCCGACGCGTGGATGCATACCCATACCCGATGCACGTACCCGAGTCCATGATTGGAGGATAACATTTTGGAAAATTTTCATCTTATTTTAAAACCAAATAAAAGGGAAGTTATAGTTGAAAACAAATCACATACTTTCACAAAATAATGCGACTTTTGATGTGTTAGAAAGGTGGTCAGATCAGCACGAAACCAATAGGGGGGGGACCGGAGAGGAAGAAAACATCCCTAGCCTAAAATTAGAAGGTTAAAAATAATTAAAGCCAAAAACTAGATGATAGAATTTTTTTAAAATAAATAAATACCTTAACTGCCAAAGGGGTAAAAACGAAGAAAATGTACAATGTTGTTACTAGAGCAAGCTAGGTATGTGCCTCAAAGGAACCTCGAGCCTCCAAACCCAGGCCTCAGGTGAGATGGGACTAGCCTCATTAGTACTGACTGTACCTCCCATTTTACATTTAGGTATGAGCAAGAAGTAAGTAGCAAAAGCCTTCAATAATTATGGACCTTTCTGGAGATAAATGCAGTTAGACTTTGCCTACAGATAGAAAATGATTAACCATACCTTGTACCCATAGAGACCTTTAAAATCATTGCTACCAAGGCCAGCTGGATACCAATCCCCAGCACGTTGGGAAATGAAGGGCCAGAGAAATCCCCATGATACGATAGCTCCAAGAAGAACCGAGCAGTTGACTATGTGAGGGCAGATAAGACCGCATCCAACATATGTTGGACTGAAGTCAAAATAGAACCTGCATTATGGAGTGATGTAAGCATGAGCAATGTTTCCAATACAAGTTAACTGCGATATTAGTGCAGTTTGTGCCAGAAAAAAATATCTGGAGGCCTTATGCAAAGAACTGAAGCAAGAAATGTAGAAATGGTATTGAGCAATGAGCATAAAATAAAAATTTAAGCATATTCAACATATTATACAAATCTACCACCGGGCCATTGGCCCAGTGGTATACACACTCCTACCCAAAAGGCAGAAGGTGAGGGTTCAAGCCCCATAGTGGGCATTGTGAGGGTGTGTGAGTATTACCAAGCTTCATAAAGTGTTTAACAAGTAATATTTCCTATTTAGTAATCAGCAGCAAGGACTGAACTCTCAACACCGTCTTTACGGTCGTCAAAAGATGGAGTCTAGGCAAGAGGGCATGTAGTAAACTGCTCATTCATACACTATGCTCCAACAAAATACAGACAGTGAATTAGGGAAATCATACAGTCCACTTATACAATTCTTAATTATTATTTACCTACTCATGTATTTATTTTTTTAGGTATCCCATTACGTGTTAGCTACAGCAACAAAGTAATTAGCCCTTATTTCATACCAATAAAAGATGGAGACCATAAACCAAAGAGCAAGGCAACATAGAAATTGCTAACATAAATTTACGACACCCAATAAATCTGAAACTTCAGGGGGAGGAAGAGAGAGAAAACAAAATAATTTGACAGCTAAAATCAGTTAAAACTGAAAGGAAAAAAAAAAATCTTACGTGTTATTGAATAGAGTCAATCCAAGGGTAGGAAATTTATCAAATCCACATGAATCTCCAATACCACTAAAGAACCATTTAAAGCAGCCCCAGCATAAACTAATGCTCAAATATTTTCCAAGACATCTGACTTGTTTCCTGTAAGGGAAAAAAAAAAAAAAAACGAAAAGCAGAGAAATGTGCTTAAAGATTTTATTTTTTATTTTTTTAACTGGAGTATGATCAATCCATTCTTAAGCTAAAATAGAAACAAACAGATCATGCTAGAGCATCAATTTCATGATGCCCAACAAAATGCTCAATAAATTTCTCTGAAATTATTCAAGGTAATAACTATTCAAAGTTAATATGCTAATGGAAAGAAACAAGAACTAATACATCAAAGACACGCTTAAAATGCATATGGAACTGTGATTTCTAATGAAGTTTTAGTTCATTTAGCCATGACAGAGTGTGAGAAGGTAACCCTGTAGGTGCCACCAGCTGTTAGATTGAGTGGCATCAAGTGCTCTCCCAAAGGACAAGGCTCAAAGGTTCAAGTCCAGGCTAACGTTGATCTACTACATGGGCTGCTGGGAGTGGAAGTGATGCAGGACAAGAAAGAGAAAGGGATGAGAAGACATGAGAAGTAGAAGAGAGAAGAAGGGGATGAGAAGACAGACAGAAAGGAGTAAGAAGATCGAGAATAAGATAAGGGTGAGAAGAACGGAGGAGAGAGATGTCCAAGAACTAGCAATAGTAGTCAAATCAAAGTCTGAATAATTCTTGTTACAAAGAAGCCTTTTATAGGCAACAAACTAAAACACTAAAAATTAGGAAACCCTAAAAAAATAACAAAATAAATAAATACATAACCCTAGAAAACTTGCTCCCACGCCTACTACATGCCACATGGGACCGATCATGATCTCCATTAGCAAGACAGAAGACAAGCCTGATCTTTGACACTATTTTGCATGAAGTATCCGATGTCCCCACACATTTTTTTAGTTAGCTACATATGGTAGAGAGAAGTCATTTTCGTAGTAAAAGACTAATCTGTTGTACTGGGAATTACAAAAGTTCTATACTTCTTTTCAGGTTTGTAATAAGCTTGGAGATTTTGAATTTGCAAGAACAATGGAAGTTTATGTAGGAATTTTTTAGATGTAGAAGCTTCAGTGTTGAAACTGAATCACAAAGAAGACTATCAATGGTTTAACATCTTCCAACAGCTACAAAATGCAGCATAAACTTCTGAGTTCTCTCCTCAGTTATTGATGGAAAATTGATGACTCCAAAGAAAAGAAATTCCAAGAAAACTTTACTACGAAATCACAGCTCCAAATTGAGCCTCCACCATCTCCAAGGTAATTACAAAACTGATTAGAAAAGAGGTGGAGGAAGAAATAATTTATCAACAATAGTGAACTCTTATCTGTAGAGGCCATTTCTGGATGCTGCGGTAATGGCTCAAGCTGACAATCATGAGATCACAGTTCAATTCTAAGACCAGTCCTTTTGTGCAAAATTAAGTCAAAGTTTAGGTTTCTCTCTCCTCTTCCCTCCCAATATCTCACATGGGTGGGACCAACACTGGTTTTTAACCTTTTATAAGCTCTCACTTATTATACCAGAATTGAAAAGGATAAGAACTATTATAACTAAAATTGGCCACTTATTTTTTTTACCTGGTGACAATTTGTAGACAATAGCCACTATGGAAAGTAGACCATATATAGAATCCTGTCATCCAGCTAAAAAATAAAATAATTGACGTTTTTGGCTGCTTTGATGAAATCAACTAGTTCTAGCTTTTCAAACCCCACAAACCAATTCCATGCTCCGCTAGTGACTAGTGTGTTTAATAAGATGAGAAATACATTCCTTGTTTCCTTTCACACTTGCAGCACAGTTGAACAAGGCTTGGTGTGACATATCATCCGAAAGACCATAGCTATAAGATTACTGAGCAGAATGAAATGGACAGAAGAACACTTCTTCCTGTATATATTCTACCACAATTGCTATACCACACCACAAAGTGCTACAAGGATGTGATTCCCATATTTCATAAGAAATGAATGCCTAAGACAACATAGTACAAATATAAAAATATTTCAAATGAAAAGAGGCCCAGGCAATAAGATGAAGTCTCACCTCATAGCAGGGGTGGAGCCAAGGGGGGGCTGGGGGTGGCCATGTCCCCCCCTAATTTTTAGGAATTTTTTTTTTTAGTATAGATAAAAAAAAATAATAATATAGCATGTATGGTATAAAATCTATACTTGGCTCCCCTAAGAAAAAAAAAAAAAAAAAAAAAAAAAAAAAAAAAAATTCTTTCTTTAATTAGCATTTAACAAAAGATAATTTATATATAATCTAAAGGAAAGTGATTTAAATGACTACTATAGAATCCCGATAAAAACTGACTCATATAAAAATTTAATGTGACTATCTTAAAATTTCAACTCAAACACAGTTCTTTCCATAATGTGACTATCTTAAAATCCTTCCAACTGAATCACGATTCTTTCAATTACCTTTTTACCGATCACTTTCTTTTTTTTTTTTTCTTTTTACTTGCCAATATTCTTTGATTTAAGTTAGTCTAAATTGATTTGCATGAATTTCTTATTTTTTTTTATAATTAAAATCTAATTGTTTAATTAAATTTTTTTATAATTTTGGCATAAATCTTATTGGTGTTTGTTCAGAAAGTTTGATAAAAAGCTTGTTTAAATAACTATTTTTTTTATTTAAATAAATTAGCAAAAGTTTAGATAGATATATTTTTATATGAATCTAATAAATAGTAGAATATTTTTGCGTCCGTAATGTATTTTTTTTTCCCCAAAAGTTTTAGCCAAGTAATGTTGCTTATAATTTTGGCCCCCCCACCTCAAGATCCTGGCTCCGCCCCTGCCTCATAGATCAGCTAAAAAGGACTACAATCTTGAGAAAATGTTTGAACGTAAACACTAGCTTGACCAAAGCAAGTCTTGATCAGCTTATGTACGAGGTGAAGTCAATGATACTAGTCTAGAGACCCTTCCCTCATACGCTATGTTCTACAGCATCTCTCTCATTAAACAACATTGTCAATAGAAGTGTATCAAGTATGGTAGGGATTATTCATTTAAATTTGTATTTGATTAAGGAATTGCGTTGGATTGTTCTAAGCTGAGAATTCTGCAGAAATTGATTAAATTCAGAAGTCCTTCAGATTATGGTTTTCTAAGAGTTCTTCTTTCACAGCGCATACATCACGTTATAATAAGTAGAACTACTAATTAATTCCACAGGGGGCTTAAGATGACAAAATAGTGGATGATAAAAATCAAGTCTCTCATGAAATCGAAATGTGCTATTCGAAACTTAATATAGACACCTTTCCTTCAAGCTTTGCACTAACATGACTTAAAAATAAAATACATCTATTCTTCTTGATTTTTTTTTTAGTCAACAAAACACATATAACACTCCAAGTATCCGTTACTTACCCTGCAAGTTCAGCTCCTGCATTTGTGTGAAAGCTGTTGATCAACATTGCTGTGGCTGTTCCGCTGGGGTATGTAAGCTTATAATCCATGACCATAACCTGAAATTGTAATAAACAGAGATGAAATAGAAGATAAGTGAAAACAAAAATGACAATCACTGTTGTCAGTAGACCTGTTAACTGGATACCACTATCTTATTGAAAAACACATATTTACTGATGTTTTCTTGATAAGTTAATTCCAATAGTAGATAAGTGAAAACAGAAATGACAATCACTGTTGTCAGTAGACCTGTTAATTGGATACCACTATCTTATTCGAGAAGGATTATATTTGCTTATGTCTTATTGATAAGTTAATTGAAATAGAAGATATGTGAAAACAGAAATGACAATCACTGAAGTCAGTAGACCTGCTAATTGGATACCACTATCTTATTCAAGAAGACTAAGCGTACACAATATTAACAAAGACGACACTGAAGTAATATGAACATCAAGATGTACCTTGCAAAGAGGAACAAGACTAAAAAGTCCAAGAAAGCTGACAATAAATAAGAAACCAGTCATCCACAACAACCCTGGGTTCTTTACGTCTTCTGCCCGGTTCCCAGGGTAATCCACACCAATCAGTTTGTATGTTCTGTCGTCCATTGCAACCAAATATGTCCCGAATCCCCCTGTCAACAATTAAATATGAAGGATTGAAGATATAGTACAAGCACAAGATGGTTAAAACATACGATGAATATTCAATCTTACAAACAAAGAAATGCAACTGATACTTGTAAAATGAAAAACGGCTTATGAAATGTGATAAAGTATACTGGCAAACAAAATCTGCAACTTGAAAATGAGATAAAATAGTTCTACTAGTAATAATTTTATTGAATTTCAACCGTTCTTCTAAGGGGGAAGACCTCCATACATGCCTCTTAGAGGGCATAACTCCTAATGCCCAGCCCAATTACAAAAGCACACTTCCTTTCACTGCATATTGATGACCGAACCAACATAATAAACAAACTCTTGGTCTACTCCAATCTTTATATAACCTTTAAAACCATTTTTACTAAAACTAGCTTTTCATCATTAATACATCATCAGCCTTTAATAGTCCTTTGACTTAGGAAAACCTTGGCCACAACTTGAGAAAGGATTTCAGTCAAAAGTCCTCACAAAAGGATTTGTGCAAATACCTGTGACTACCAATTAACCAACCATTCTCATATCAGTAATCTAATAGTTGATAGTCTATGCTAACAACAATTGTCATTCTTGGACTTCTAAAAAGATAATTCAAAACTTAAGATGTGATGTTAATGCAAAGTGTGGTTTGCTGGCTTATTATGGAACCACGGAGCTTTAAAGGGAAAATGGCATGACTCACACACACACACACATATATATATATATATATATATATATGAGTCATGCCATTTTCCCTTTATATATATATATGAGTCATGCCATTTTCCCTTTATTGACATATTGTACTACTAATGAGCATCTTTTAAAGCTTCCAACCTGCAACTAGGTGTCATAATAAATGTGATAAACAGCAGATTTCCACAGCACAAACTGGCCTAAGGTTTTTATACAGTCATTCATGTGCAAATAATTGGCCCATCCATATTCTGTATAAACTTCCCTTACCTAAAATACTCCAAACATAATAATTACTCTTCCAAAAACAACCATTCATTAGTCATTTCTACACAATGGCAAAGACGGGAACAAACAAAGCTAACAAATGCAAAGACAAAATTAAACAAAGTAGGTAAATGTATTACGCAACCAATACAAGTATGGGTCCCAAAACACCCGTGTTGATATCAGCAGAGCAGTGGTCTCTTAGCTATTCGAGGAAGCCATCCAGGCTTTGATTCTGTTTGTTATGATCTCTAGGACGTTGGTTTTTATGGAGCTTCAGCTGTTTAGCTTGTATTCCCTCTCTTCTTCTAGATTAGAAATGGAGTTGGGCTGGGTTTTCAGAGATCAAATAAGGTTTGTTCTCTTATAGCTTGGATATACTTAGGCTCTATATGGCGCTGCTTGGGCCTTGTTCTTGAATGGTTGGTCCAGAAGGTTGGGCTTTCAGGGTTTAATCGCTGGCTAAAACCTTTAAAATAATAAAACAAAAACAACAGCTGCTGGGCTGTTTCGATTGGTGAGAAATTAAAATAAATGCAAATTCATGACTCACTGCAAATTATGATATATGTCAGCATGCAATGAACCTTTGGCTTTTGGTTTGATCCCTTGCCTCTTTTTGTACATTTTCCTTTTATCAAGTAGTAAACAGACTTGCTTTAAATGCTATGGAGAAAAATTCAAAGCAATATATTGTGCGAGTATGCAAGGGTTAAAACTAATCTATTTGCAACAGCAAAACACTTCTCAAGTCGACGTAACAAAGAATCATCCCAATTAATTGAATATGGTTCTATAAATCCTTTCTTGCCATTTTCCTCTAACTAATATCACAACTTTAATAAACCACAAGATTATATCTTTCCTTACTATCTTAATCCGAATTAATTTTGATCATACTCTTCCCTAACATTATCCTCAATGTTGACCATGTAACTTTTTCCCATTGGCAAATGCTTGAATTGTTCCACGTACGTAAGCATTTCCAATTTTTATCCTTTCTTATCTCACCAAACATCCATCTAAAGATCACATGTTTCGAGTATGCTCATTTCGTATATTATATATAACATCATCCCTCTAGAAATGTTTTTTCCTTGTGACTTTACATAACACAGAGGGAGAGAGACGGGGTTGATTATCATTTTTTTACCTAGAAAAACCATCATACATAAACAAAGTTCCATTCATATATCAAATTTAAATCTATGTGTTAGGGAAGAAATCCGCGCGGCCCGGTACGACACCATTTTCCTGCAAAGAAGAGAGTAGAAGATCGATGAATCTTAACGACACCGGTGTGGTGCCTGTCAAGAACTCTCCGACGATCAAGTCAGTCACGGAGGTTTAAAAGAAAGGTAAGGATTTAATATTCGTTTTTCATCATACCTGATTGACTGGTAGAGTCTCATTCTTACAGCCGCTCTCCCTCAGTTCGTTTGTGAGATCAGAGGAGATTCGTTCGTTGCCAAATTTGTTGGGGAGATGATCTACCCCTTTGAACTTGAAATTGTGTCGAGATTATCTTTACCCAGTTGAACCACGTCATCTTATCTCTTATTTAAATTCTCCTTATCAATTCCCCCCCATTCCCAAGCTTGCTCGTCTGGCTTTGGCAATGTAAAAACTTTTTTTTTTTTTTACCCTCGGGCATTGTTCCCGAGGTGAACAGTGCCCGCGGGTAATGTTCCCGAGTGAACAGTAATAAATTTTTAATTTTTTTACCCTCGGGCATTATTCCCAAGGTGAACATGTGCCCGGGGGTACTATTCCAGAGTGAACAATACCCCCCACTGTTCCCGAGTGAACAGTAATAAATTTTTAATTTTTTTACCCTCGGGCATTATTCCCGAGGTGAACAGTGCCCCGGGGGTACTATTCCAGAGTGAAAAGTACCCCCCCGACGCGGGGGGGGACTATTCCTGAGGGTGAACAGTGTCACCTCGGGTACTGTTCCCGAGGTGAACAGTATTTTTTTTTCCCTATTCCAAGGTGAACAGTATATCGGGGTACTCTTCCCAATGGTGGAATTAATACAGATACCAAATCAAGATTCTGTTTTGGAAGGACATGGGTTCAAACCCATGGTCAATAACTCTTAGTGATGTAAAGCTAGATTTTTCTTTTGAAAATCATACTATTTGTAGATTTTATGGGTTTTAGTCAGCTCATCCCTTTGGCAAGGGAATAATTTTTACGAGCTTCACTTAGCTCATCCCTTCAATAAGGGAATTAGTTTTTACGAGCTTCACTCAGCTCGTCCCTTTAGTAAGAGAATTAATTTTTACGAGCTTCACTAAGCTCATCTCTTTAGTAAGGGAATTAGGTTTTACGAGCTTCACTTAGCTCATCCCTTTAGTAAAGGAACTGTTTTCACGAGCTTTACTCGCCTAATCCCTTTAGTAAAAGAGCTTGGTTTTTTGTTAGCTTTCTGTAAAGCATTACCACATAGGTAGGTAACTGAAAACATAATATCTTATTGCGTAAAAAATTAGGGTCATCCATCTCATTGGTGATGGTGACTTTATTGGAAAACAAAATAACATGTGAGGGAGCTATTCTCCATTTAAAATGATTAACTGACATGCCCCCAGTCTTTATTTTGAATAACTTGATAAGGCTAATTCCAGCTGTGAGGCAATTTTTATCATGCTAGCCTTCTGAGCCTAGTTGGATTCATCATCCCAAGTCTACTTATCTAGAGATGATACTGATTTCCCCAATTAATTGTTGCCCCAGGAGGCGTTTATTAGGGCTTGTCCCTTTATTGGCAACGAACTTTTGTAAGTGACCCCTTTGAATCAGATTCTCAATCTAATTCTTAAGGTCAAAACACATCCGTAGTGTGCCCATGATCCCGATGGAACCTGCAATACTTATCTCGAGATCTTTTCGCTGGATCAGACTCCATCCTCTTTGGCCATTTCAAAGACGCATCGTCTTGGATCTGTAAGAAAATATGGTCAATTGACATATTCAGAGGAGTGTAGTCGGTATACTTATCTGAGTCCTTCTCACGATATGTCCTATCGCTTTGGCTGAAGAATGATTTCTTATATTTGGTTTCCTTTTCATCCCTGGCGCTAAGGGCTGACCTCTTCTTATCCTCTCCTTCCTTTTCCTTCCGTGCATTCATGGTGTCTTCAGCGTTCATGTGCTTCTGCGCTCTGATCAACAACTCTGCCATGCTGGTGGGAGGTTCTTTTGATAAGGAGACAAGAATCTAGAGGTTTGGAGTCCTCCTATAAAAGCGGTCAAAGCCACCTTGTCGTCCACCTCTTCTACCTGCAACACCTCTATGTTGAATCGGGCGATGTTTTTCCGGATCGACTCTCCCTTTTGTTGCTTCACATTCAGCAGGTAGGTGGCCGGCCTCCTATGCCTCTGACTTGCAATGAAGTGGCTCATAAACTGCTTACTCAGTTCTTCGAAGGTGTTGATGGTTCCTGGCTTCAGCTTATTGAACCAAACTCTTGCTGATCCCTTAAGTGTCGTGGGAAAAGCTCGGCACATGATTTCATCTGGCACGACGTGTAAATGCATAAGAGCTTGAAAGGTCTCCAGGTGATCGAGGGGATCTTTGGTCCTATCGAAGCTTTCAAACGAGGGCATCCTGAACTTGCTAGGCAGGGGGCATTTCATAACGGCAGGGTTGAACGGCAAGTTGGTCCTCTGCACTAAGTCATCTATGCGGCAGGACCTTTCCCTTTCATAGCCTACATTACATATTCCATTTTCGCCTTGAGATCTTCGATTTGCAGGTTGAAATAGGTAACTTTCTCTGTCTTCTCCTCAACACAGAAGGTTGTGCCTATTTGAGGCTGGGGATTTTGCGGAGGCGGAGGAGGAGGTTCTTTATGTCGGTTCCCAACTTGGCTTTATTCTGCCTCGAACTCGTGAGGAGGATCGTTATCTCGGTCCTCCCCGTTTTGTCCCCCATCATTCAGATTGGGAGGATATGGGTCAGACAATTCTTGTTTGGGTGGTGGTCCCGCTGGGATAAGATGTTGCAGGATCGCTACATTTTGCTAGATCAACTGGTCCATACCCTGATTCAGAGTTTAGACCTGTAGTTCCAACGCTACAAGCCATTCCTGGTTGTTCAGGACATCTGGGTGTTCACCCAACCCTTCTATTCTCTTTGACTAGATCCTTACAACGATATTTCTTCTCCAGTTACCATACCGGACCGCAAATGCATATACCCAACCGAGTAATTTATTGATTTAAGGGAATTGTCGTTTCCCAAAGACGGCACCAACTGTCGGGGAAGAAATCCGCACGGCCCGGTACGACACCGTTTTCATGCAAAGAAGAGAGTAGAAGATCAATGAATCTTGACGACGCCGGTGTGGCGCCTGCCAAGAGCTCTTCGACGATCAAGTCAGTCACCGGAGGGCTAAAAGAAAGGTAGGAATTTAATAATCATTTTTCGTCATACCTAATTGACTGGAAGGGTCTCATTCTTATAACCGCTCTCCCTCAGTTCGTTTGCGAGATCAGAGGAGATTTGTTCGTTGCCAGATTTGTTGGGGAGATGATTTACCCCTTTGAACTTGTAATTGTGCCAAGGTTATCTTTACTCGGTTGAACCACGTCATCTTATCTTTTGTTTAAATTCTCTTTATCAATATATATATCTAATTATAGAATACAAAGGGAGAGAGCATTATCGTTACGTCAGCGGCCATACCAGTTTTATCTGGTAATCCTCCGATACAGCAACACCATTTAAGAGGTTACCATGGTAACCTTTCTTTTCGAAAAAATAATTCCAACCATTGTATATTTTTGGGATTACTTTTGGGTAACCATGGTAGGACTAATAAGAAAGAAGAAACATGAACAAAATCAACACTATCATGTCAATATAATGAGATTTTTTTTATCAAAAACAAGCTTTTAGAGATGTTAAAAGAAACAAGAAGCATGTCTTTAAGTCGCAAAAATGAGAATCTTGAGATGAAAAATAGGGGTACTAAAAACGAAACATCAATAATTTTGAACATGTTAGGTGAAAAAAAAAAAAAAAAAAAAAGAAAAAAAAAAAAAGAGATAACCAAAACTAAGGTATTGTTCGATAACCCAATTTAGTATTAAAGTGTTTATTCTAACATAATATGGATACCACTTAAAAGAATAAATGTCAATTAAAATGGGTTAAATTTTTAAGTGTGAGATATTCACTTATCACTAACCATTTAAAAAAAAAGGTATCAAAGATTTTTACGTAAAATTTCAGCATTTAAAATTTTCAGTACTTAATTTTTAGTTTTAAGCACAGAACTTTGGGTGAGGTAATATATATATATATATATATATATATATATATGGACAAAGTCTGTAAACTGGCCAATACTGGTCACATATCAGACTTGAAAAATGGTCGCGATACGATGAAGCATGATATATACTTAAAAACTTAACTATAATATAAGACAATGGTTATAGTTTTTTTTTTTTTTAAAAAAAAAAAATTTGAGAAATTATGTGATGGACAAGGCAAGGATGATGATGAAGTTTAATGCAACCATGTTTTACAAATGTCACGATATGAACCTAAAAACAAGGCAAAACAAAGAGCTAAAACAGAAATGAGAAAGGAAAAAAGAGATTGTACCACTAAATGCGATGCCGTAGCAAGCAACCACGCAGGTCTGAATGACAGTGTTTTCTTGTTTGGTAAACGGTTGAATTGAAAACCCTAATTTTGATAAGAAGCCGGTCCATGACTTGACAAAGAAGAATCCGAGCAAACCAGCGGCGACATTTAGGGTTGGAATGATCCCCGCCGTGAGATTGAGCTTGTTGGTGATGATACAAAATAGTGTCCCCAGCAATGCACTCACCACCAAGCCTCTGATCGTAATCTGATCTTTCCAATCTGGGATTTCTTCCAAATGTTCAGATTCAACGTCCCTGGTTTTCTCAATTTCAGGTAGCAAGGGCTCTGATATTCCCACAGATGTGGTATTTTCGGTCCCCATTGTATCCTTTAGCTCCCAAATTTTTAGGAAGAATGTTGTTTTATGGCTTTTTCAGAGAGAAATGCATACAAATATCATCATACGATTTGAAGGGTTTGTTTGCTATGGATATCCGGAAGGTGCTGAAAATGACGTTGAATAGCCCGTTGGTGTTGTGGAAGGAGGTCGGACTGTTCCATGGAAACTAGGACTAAGCCACGTCGTCTGTTGTTATTATTATTTTTTATTTTATTTTTCTTTTTTAGTTGAAAAATGATTAACATAATAAAAGTTTCAACACGCATCCCTAGAGTAACGGGCGAACATTTGTTCATTTATTAAAAACTTAAACTATTTGGTAGTACTACATATTCACCCATCCCTTGTTGCCTTCCTAGTCGGGCACTTGGCATAGTATCAGATTAATCAGATTAAGGATTGGTCTGACTCATACCACTTATGAACGGTTATTCATTTACTCAAAAGCTTAAGCTATTTAGTAATACTATATATCTGATCACTTTTTTATCCAGATCCGATATGAAACAAATGACCCTTGTTATACCTAGCTATCTTCGTTACCTTCCAAAATCGTTTATTAAATAAGTTGAGGGGCTCATGTTTGAATTCCATGTGCATTGAGAACCTTTCGGTTAAAACTCTCTTTTCGTTTTAAACATAATACATTGAACGTATGCATAAATAACTTGAACAATTTACCTTCTATATCCCATAATATTTCTAGGCAAATTAATTCTTATTTAGAAATTAAATAGAGCTAACACTTGATAATAGGTTCTTGATTTAAGTATTTTAATTGGGAATTTGAAGTATGGCAATCATCAACCTCTCATATTACATAATTAATTAACTTACACAAGTAAATTCTCATTTTGAGTGCTAAATACCTTATTTTGATTTTTTTATTTATTTATTTAAAAGAGGTGACACTTGATAGTAGGTTTTGGGCCCTAAACTTCCGATATCTCGACTGCATTATCCAAACAAGTCACATTTTTTTTTTTTTATTGATGCATGCTTGCGAAATAACCTTGTGTGTTTGTTTTCTTTTAAATGAAGTGCCATCTGTACACGAGGACCTTCAAAAGTGGCAATTGGCGCGTTTTTTAGTATCTCGTTATTTTCCTAAAAGAAGGTCCTTCAACAGCCACTTTTGCCCTGCAGGCCCCCTGTCTTACGTGATTTGATAAAATAAAGGGACGCTTGTTACACCAATTGCAATAATGGAGATTACTACATGTTTATTTTTATTTTTAAACAAAAAAATGAATGGAATAAACGGTCCATTCCGTTCCTGCATACCAAACACATTAGGCTATTTATACAGTTAAAATCAATAAAATCTTTTTCCAACTATTTGAAACCGACTACAAAAATCTTTTACATACACATGTCCGTGTTATATCATCAATGACATGGACAATGTTTTATCCTAATCAGCAAAACACAACACGTGATGGAAATGACCATTTAACTGCCAAATCTTGTTTAGTTAAACAAAATATTCCATGTACATATATATCAAGCTGATGTCGACTAAATTTCAACACCAATCCAAAGTTTACTGAGTACTGTTGCTTGAATGATACATTTTTAACAACTCTCAACCATATTAAATAAGTCTGATCCAAAAGCTACCTACAACCAAGATGTTCAAGCTGTCTGATTTTCCTTCAAAATCTTTGGTAAATTTACATAACCACCCAAAATACGAGTACTGTACTTTACCTCTTCAAAATTTCTATTGCTTCACATGTCTCATGAATTATGGTATATTAGTTGTCTATTCTATAAATTGCCAAACATATTAGTAAAAAAATGTAATCAGATCAAAGGACAGCTGCATAGCTTTCTGTCACTAAAATTGTAATAGTTTTCTTCATAGTACAATTCATCTGTGGGGTATACTGAGTTGTTTTGGGCCGACAACGTAATCTCCTTGACGTGGAATCCTCGATGGGAAGACACTTCCATGACAATTGGTGATGCGAGCTTTCAATCAGCACTAAATGTCATGATCATCCCAGTTCCGAGTGTCCATGCTTAACAGATCACTGCATTTCAGAGAAAGAAACTTCAATCTTACAGAGTAATATAGATGTGAAGAGTGAAAATGCTTGGTTCTGTCATGAGTGTCATATTTAGCAAAATTTCAATTCTAATCATCAACTCAACTAACAAAGTTTTTTTTCCCCACAAAAGTTCAACTGGAATCATAACTCACACAAATCATAAACACAGATGCAGAAGGAACAAATTATTCTTCTATTTAGTACCAATAGCAGATTGGGGCTAATGGATTGTCATTTTGCATATAATGCATAGCACTCTCATATAAAATTTCATTTCTTTTCTTTTCTTTTCTTTTTTGTTAGGCAAGCGAGTTCAAATTTATAATACAGTGATCAGAAATAGAGTTTTATTTTTTAATTGGCTTAGCAATTCTATCAAGTTATCAACCATAACTCTCCAAAGCAATCAATATCCTAATTACCAGCATATCATGGAAAAAGTACTGTAATAGTCAAATCCAAGATAACAAACATACCAGAAATATGAGAGATCTTTCATTCAAGAACACTAAAACAATGAGTGAGAACATTACAGATTTATTAGGGTTTGAAAAGTGGTCATTTACCCAAAGTTCTGAAAAATATGAAGTTCCAAAAAAATGCAGGACAAATGTTACACAAACAGTTTAATGGTTCCCAAAGCCAATGACCCGCGGCAATTTTAAAACATTGATTTATGAGTTTTGTGTCATGGTGATACTGGCGAACAAGATAAGCATTTTATCAAAAAGTATGACCTACTTAAACTTGGAAGATTCATCTACTCCAATTAGTGATCCTAATGGAGAAATATCTTCAGAATTTATTTTTGCACCTGGCCGACAGCATTTAAAACATGAACACACACGCACTTTTTTTTAAAGCCCTAACAGTAATGGTGGGCTTCTCCTCCTCACCAAATACCTGGTGGAATAATACATCATAATAGATAACATGCTCCTCGATATTACATGCAGAAAGAACATACGTAAAAAGATCTGATTGTGCACTCCAATGACGCGAAAAACCTTATGATTATTATTATTATTATTTTACACATTTAATCAGTGTTGATCTATGGCCAACCGTGTTACATTTATGTATCATGCAACCAACTCCAAACACGCACACGCATTTGCAAACCAGATGATCACCAACTTGTGTATTAAACCACTCCTCAACTTGCCTACATGATTTAATCTTGAGAAAGAACAGCAAACTGAATATTTTGTACCTTTCTTTATGTTCCTATCTGCTCACCTCTATCTCAGACCCTTCTAGCACTAGCTGGCTTCCTAGTCATAACAATTGTGATGACAAAATCCATTCATTTCCTCTTGCATGGGCCCAAATCTCTGCTTTTTAAATTCCATTTCCCCATCCTATTTCAATCTGTCTCTCCTTTGATAATCAAAGCAATCTACTGTAACCTCTTTACAGAAACTTCAAGATGAAGGTGAGTCCATTTTCTTCTAAATATAGAATTCAGACAAACAGATCTTTTAACTTCATCTGTTGCCTGTAATTGTTGCAGTTACTAAATTGGATGCATTGTAAATCAAGGCAAACTAGCATCAAGCCAATCAAAGATTTCACAACTGGTATTCCCACACTTCCCATTTTCTACTTAAATATATCCCAAATTGATTGTAATTTCTTTTTCAATAGCACCAATTACATGAAAACAACAGCCCCTTGAATTTCTAAGACCACAGTTAGAGACTAGAATCTATTGCATGTACTGGGTTTTTTTAGTGATCGACTACATATGAATTTTCTAAAAAGAAGAACTGATTTAAGTCCTGAACTCTGCTGAAAATGGTACCAATAGATGGCCACTATACATAATGTGTCGTCGAAGTGTTATGAAATTTGTTTCAAATTCTAGTCTAGTCAAGTTTATAGTTTATAGTTTAGAGTTGTGTTTTATTAGGTAATTTCTTGTTATCCAAGTCTTGAGCTTGAAGGAATTGTAATCCTTGTCCAACAGGGTATTGGGTTTTGGACTCTATAAATAGTCTATAAATAGTTACCTAGGTTGTGAGTTGATACTTACGAGAATGAGAGACATGTAGCCCTAATAATTCTATAGTGGAGGGTGGTAGCCCTAATTCTATAGTGGAGGGTGGTAGCTTCATGAGGGAGTTGATGGGTAGAGGTAGTTACGGGTTTGGTAGAGTGAACACCAATGGCGAGAGGGAGTCTTGTGGAGTACACGGAGAAGAACTCTAGGGCAAGAGTTTGTGTACATGGTCTGGTGTTGATAATTCTCTAATGTTGTAATATCTCTACATAATCATAATGAATCTCTTCTCATCCGTGGACATAGACCAAGTTTGGCCGAACCACGTTATATCTTGTGCTTTGTTGTGTGATTTGCTTTATTGCTTTCTTTGGATCTCCATGATCATTCACAAGAAGTTACTATTATATAAGCATACAATTACTACCATGTTCATAATTTCATAGTTATTCCCTGGAGGAGTGCAGCCATTTGATTGGTCTCTGTCCCCCATCTGGTACAAAGAAAAAAGATGATATTGAGCACTTATGACTATGCTTTATAACTCCTTTTACTTTCTGGTTTCAGGGAAATCCTATGCTTGTTCTCCAGTGCAGCCATTGCTTGATGACAAACAATATCACCCAAAGCCAAGCTACAACTATGCAGACTCGAGGCAGACTCAAGAGGAATGTCAAAACTCTTCTAGTGAACAAAAAATCAAGAGAGTGGAAGAGGGCTATGAAGAAGAATCATCTATTATGAACTCCAGCTTCTTCATGGGCTTTCTCACAATTGGAACTCTTGGTTCAGAACCAATCACTATGGAGCCCTCCACACCAACATTCACCATGCCTCCCGTGCCCTTTGAGAATATAACTAAAGAAACAGAGGTCGTAAAGAATGAATTGAAGCTTATCGGTGACGAGCTGGAGAAGTTCCTTGAGGCTGAAGAAATGGAGTATGATAGATCATTAGAGAGAACCAATCCTGTGAGCACCATAATACTCAGTGGCAAGCAAATTGAAGGTGTGAACACCGAGTGTGGAGATACAACTATATATCCACTTCAGGAATACCTTTTTGGCTCTTCAATTGAACTACCTGAATCAAGTATGGAGGAGACAAAGAAAGTCAAGACGACACTTGGGCAGCTCTTTCAGATGAATAACACAGCATACGAGCATTCCACGGAGAAATGTGATAAAGGAGATAACCAAGCCAAGGGGAAATATGGCATGCATTTCATGAAGAAAATGCTGAAAAAGCTCCATTCCTCTCCAAAGAGCTCTGGAGCTATTGCTGTTAATGAAGGTGTTGATTCTGTTTCAATCAAGAGGAAACTTACCCAGGTTGACCACTTGCATTAATTATTTTTTCTAAAAATGGCCTATCAAATAGCTGATCCCTATCGAAATTGTGATTTTTCTAATAATGGCCTATCACCTATTGAAACGGTGATATTGAGTGGTCTGTGTGGCCGCACTGGCTCCTTCAAGCCAATGCTTCTGAGTGTTTTCCCTCTCTTTTTTTCATTTATTTTTTATTTTTGACATGAAAAAGAAAATGGCAGGTCCCTAAATGCCTACAGTCTAATTATTCATCAAATTGAGATGAACTACAGTCTAATTGAGTTAAACCTTCAATGAATTCCTAAGAATACACTCACTGCCAGGACATGAAGAAAGTTTGACGTGATTGATCAAATCAGATGGTGCAAACTGTCTGAATCTGTTGCCTCTTGACCAAAATAATCTCCCAACTGGGAAATCACTGGACATTTCCCACTTTGCGCATCCTAAAGGGTATCCTAGTTAGGATGGTCAGGAAGGTAGAATATGAGAATGGTACAAAAATATCCACATAACCTAGCACATAAAATCCCTTCTACTAGATCTCATCGTAAAAATCACTCATTTTGGTAGTTATTTCTTTGAATGGTTTGTACTTCCATATATTGACCATGAACTCGTATAAGTTGTAACAATATTACTGTCAATCTAAATTTCCTTGTCATTGGCATGCAGGTCCGAAGGATGTTCTCAAATAAGATCCATCCCGAAGGGCCAACAGCTGAGAAAAAGTCCAGTAAATCATACAACCATGATATCAACAACACCTTCTATGGTGGGGGCTATGATACTAAAGAACTGGCACTCCACGACAAAGGCAACAGAGAGTTTCTTAACAGAGCTATAACAGAGAAGAGAATCACCAAATTGAACCTGACCCATAGCAGTATCAGAAGCAGAGGTTCAAATCAAAATAGGGAGCAATGGATCAACACAGATGCAGACTGTAAGTACATATGCATAATATATGACCACCACTATAACAGTCTTCAGAATCAGACCTAATACGCATCACAGTACCTCCATAGTCCAATGTCTAGAACATGGAATAAATGACCTACAACTTGTAGTATTAACTACCCTTTTCATGTGTAGTAGTCGTCATCTTCATCTTTCCTTTCCCTTGGTTCCATTTAAATGAGGTCTGCCACGTGAATCCTCTTTTTTTCATTCTTCTTATTACAAGCTATTTCTCCTTTTATTTTCTCACCTGATGTAGTTTTGGTCAGTCTCTTTACATAGTACCTTCCATTGAAATGATCATGTTAGGTTCCATAATAATCCTACATTGGAATGAATACACAGCAATTTATGTGCTACAAATGCAACAAACTTCTTAACACGGTCTTCTGAAACACAGATCAATGGGTTACGATTATTGTAATTGGTCATACAAATGAGATTTCTAACGTTCATCTGACACTTATTCTATTGTTTGCATTGTAGTTTTGGTGTTAGAACTGTAGAGGCAGAAGCAGCCGACAAAAATGGTGATCGGTTGTCATCCTTTCTGAGTAAGAAATATTAGTGTGATGTTTGATAAGATGTGTGACTATTTATCTAGTTGTGTCATATGTGTGATGAAAGTGAGGGTGAACTCAAGTGAATAGTGTATAATACAAAAGGCATCCCCCTTATCTCCTTCATTGTGATATTCAAGTTGTGTGGTTTACATTATAAAAGTTGAAGTACTCATCCTAATTCTATTGTTAAAAGTGACCGTTAAATTGCTAAGAATCATAATGTCAACTGCATTAAACCATTAAAAATGGTTAAACAGGACAAACATATGAAAGGAAAAAGACCATTAAAATCAGGAAAATGTCATCAAGATTTTATATTATGATTAGTGAGGTGCTTTAAAAAAAAAAATTTCTCCACTATTTCAACTTCTTAATCTGAAAAAAAAAATACAACAATATTTTATACATGAAACAAAAGAAAGAAAGATAACAAATAAATATGGTAAAGAACCTAACCTCCAACCTTGGGCGCGCTTCAGGTGGAGCTGAAACCTACTCATGCACGTTGTTGAGTGTTTCACTTTGATCAAAGGTTGGTTCCAGATCGATAGACTTGAAGCCATTGATGCCTATGGAGAGACACAAGGCCCCGCATGAGGTATAACTAAAATGCACTACCTTATATCCCATTTTCCTTCCTGTTCACAAATTAAAATTGAAAGAGTGTTCAAGCAGTTTTTGAAGCTTTGCTTCAATTTAGAAATAAGAAATGGAGTTTGCATATTTCAAAATCCCTTGCATAGAACTGCTACAAGAATCTGAGGCCGGTAAACGGTTATTTGATATTAACCACATATCTTGCTTTGGATCATAACTTAAAAAAGAAAAACATGACCTACTGAGGCCAGTCTTGTGCAATTTGTGGTCACTAAGGTTATTGAATTGAATGTGTTTAAATAAATCAAAAAGTAAGCGACAAACAAAACAAAAATTCCATACCTCTTCAAAATTTTCCGTCATGACAACCGGAGCCTTCCCGTTTACAAGCTTGCTTATCTCTTCAGGATGATCAATACACTACTGCATATGCTCTTTTAACTTTGATCGGCAATGATGAATATACCATGATCAGCTAATATAAGAAGGCAAATTCTTCCCACCATATCATATCATGGTTCTAATCAAACCCAAAATTGGAGAATATTCAATTCAAAGTTTGAATTAAATTTCATCAATAATTCCTAAACATAACATCAATGACACTTTGTGTAGATTTTGTGGAGAGTATGTATGTATGTATGTATGTATGTTGGAGAACAAACAAGCATGTATGTATCAAAGAGCAGAAAAGGAATCTACATATCAAAATCAACAAAAAGCCTCAACAAGGGTATCTGGGAATTTGTACCTAAGTAAAGCGAACAAAGATTAATTAAGCAGACAAGTAATCACCCAACAAGAAAAACCAATACTAAAAACAATTTATGTTATCTGAAATCAGCGAGCATGATTACCTTTATACAAGATCACCCTTTGCCTTCGCCACTCCAAATGTTATCCAAAACAGCCCAAAGGATTTCATTTAGTTTAGACCTTTGGAATAATGATTATTAACATTTTTTTTTCCATTGCATAAAGTAGGTAATTACCTCCAAATAGTAAACTAAATGAAAGTGAAAAGAAGTATGCATATATAATGTTTTATATATATATATATATATTAATGTATATAGGTAAGAAAACATGCATGGCACATCTCCCACTTTCGGCTTCTTCTTGATAGAGAAATAGAGTGGGCCGTGGTCAGTCCAACAATACACGACTTCGTTCTCTTCTTGGTGTTAATGGGCGATATCGTAATATGAAAAAACTTTGCGAGCCCAACACTTAAGCGGGTTGAAGTGTTGGGCTTGTTTAGCTCTTTTAAAATTCAGATGAAGGAGTTGGGCAATGGTGATCAGCCCCATCAGCTTGATAAGACCATTCGGGTCAACAAGACTATTGAGCAAATTCAGTGCAGTCCATACCAAATTTCAACGAACTCACTCCTCTTTGTTTGGAAAAGTAAAAGAGGTTTCAAACTCTCACGTGTCCTAGACTGACTGGAAATAGAAAGAAAGAAAAGACCTCTCATAGGTATGTTTTGGGTCCCACCTACCTAACACTGTAAGAAAAAACAATACAATCTCACCTAACCGTATAAATAAGACCATAAGTACATTTTAATATGTATAACAAGAATATATATTATATATTGAAATGAATCTCACTTTTGTTTTGATAAATTTTAATTAAATAATAAAGGATCTAAGTCGTCCCTCGTCAATGTCTTGCTGCAAATGTAAAATGATTTCCCTCAATACTATATGCACTTTGGTGGAAAGTTATTAGAAAATGCAATCCATCATCAATTATTCTTTAATTTCCCACTATAAGGAGTATTCTCGCTTGAAATTATTGAGCCAAGTGAATGAATTATGAAATATGTGACTCGAGTATCAATAATGTATTTATTTTTCATTATGTCTAATTTTTGCTATCCACTCATTCATTCAGTACACCACTACACGTTGTGGGCACATGCCATCGTCGCCTGGATTCGATATATATATATATATATATTATATAGTTGCAACTATATAATATATATATATATATATACACACGCACTATGAGTCTATGAGAATAAGATCTAGTTTCATCAGTCTCATTAGTTCACGCGATTCAGGTGTGAACCGAAAAACTCAATTACTTTTTTAGTAGACTTTTAATCAATTAATTATTCTCTTGTTAAATTTCTGCTATTCTTTCGTTTCTATTTAAATCTCTCTCTCTCTCTCTCTATATATATATATATGTATATAACTCGTGTTCACAACCTGCTTCCTCTCTCTCTCTTAAATTCAATTGCTGGTTAGGGTTTCATTCTACAATTGTTCTCGAGAATGGAAAATCCTATGAAGAAGGTCCTGCTCACCTCCAATGGCGATGAGATTTCTCTAAACGTTGCCCATCATTTAGCAAAACGAGGTTGCAGGTATATATATATTTATTTATATTATGTCTATTTAAGGCTATTGATTGATTTTTTTTTATTTATTTAGAATGCGAATTTATGAATGGTCACACCATATCTCACTGTGTTTTTTTTTTTTTTTTGCTGAATTTCTTGTCTATGATTAGGTTGGTTTTGATGGGAGATGAGAGCAACCTTAGGAGTGTGGCGGAGAAAATAAGAGGCTCTTTGAACGGTTCCGTTGTGGTCGAAGTGGTTGGATTGGATATGGAGGATGAGAGAGAGGCGGTTTTCGATGAAGCAGTGGACAAGGCGTGCAGAATTTTGGGGAAATTAGACGCTTTTGTGAATTGTTATACTTATGAAGGTAACATTTCAGTGCTCAAAGTTCATTTTGAGAATTCATTTATATTTTAAACTGCAGAGAAGATAAGGAGATATTGATTGATACTATTTTCTGTGTGTGGATCATATAAATAAGAAAATAATTGATGTTGGTTTTATGATAAAGAAAAAGAATCAGAAAAAAAATGGTCAATATTTTTCTATATATGTTGAATATATACTACACAATTTGTATTTTTTCTTCCAAAAGTTAACAAATTGTATAATTTAATTATGTATTTGTCTAGATATTAACTACCCTTGATTGTGCACAACGGGGCAGAAATTGGAGAAATGTTCATTATAGAATTAAAGTAGGATGAGTTAAATAGAGGAGTGTTTGCGCCATAATTATACCTTTTGAATTTAAAGATTAATTTTACAAAACTACTGTTAGAGTATTCGTATTTTATGGAACAATTTAGTCAAAAGTCAAGAAGCACCATATATATATTTTTGCCCAAGTAAACTTGCAATAACCAAAGAAACCGAACTACAGGGCCAAGAGAGAGGGCTTACCCCCACTTAACAATTGAAAAAGACCATTTCCAAAACCCATAAAATAAAATAAAATAAAGAAAAAATACTAAAACTCAGGACCACTACCATCCTGAGAAACAACACTATGAACTATTGAAAACTTAAAAACACAACACACTAGCTCATCATCCTGCAGCTGCATCAACCGAACAGAAAGAACCCAGAAAAACAGATTCCATTGGTGCTTAATCATTAATCCAATTCGGGAAGTCATTTAGATGCACTCCAACAATCTCACTTACCTCCCAAAACACCATTCTGGCAAAGCTGATTGGCACTTGGAGCTGTACCCTGATGAAGGTTGGAATTCCTGCTCCTCCAAATACCCCATATAACCATAGAGAAAAAACACCCTGCACCACCTGTTCTTTTAAGATTTCTGCTCGAATCTTTCCTGGAACCAAACAATTAAGTGATTCCATGAAGATATATGCCCCCAATTCCAATGCAAGACATCAAATAGCCATTTCCACACACTTGCAGCATATGGACATTCAAAAAACAAGTGTTCAATCTGATCCCCAGCCCTATAACAGTTATGACAGACAGAAGAGAGACAAATACCCCTCAATTGCGGATTCGAAAGGGAGGTAATTTTGTTTTGAAGGATGGCAAGTTGTCGAGCATGCTGCAGGTCTACTTTGATTCCAGCAAACTTCATACCACTGCTTTTTGGGTTGATGAGCTCTCAAATTCTTCCAAGCTGACTTGAATGAAAATGCACCATGTTTCCATAGAACTTGATCTGCTCCTTGATGGAATGTAGCCTGACGCACTCACATTAGACTTGTGATTCCAGATTAGTTCAGCCTTACTAGATAAGAATCGCCAATCATCTCTTTCCTTGCATAAGTGTCATTAACACTTGCATTCTTGGAAAGATCAAACCATCTCACCACCCTATGCCCAAATGCTTCCTGATTCCAAATGAATTCAGCCTCACTAGATAAGAATCGAGGTTTCAACCATCTCTTTCCTTGCATAATGTCATTAACACTGGCATTCTTGGAAAGATCAAACCATCTCACCGCTCTATGCCCAAAAGCTTGAATTAAAGTTTACCCCTTCCACCAAGGATCCGAGAACAACTTAATTGATTGACCATCCCCTATATTAAAACGATACTGGGTATCAAATGTTCTCTAGTATCTAGAAGATTCCTCCAGAACGTAGAGAATTTACTGCTATATGTACAACTCCATATTGATGGAATAGCAGCCCTCAAAGATTGGAACCAAGCGATCCACAACCTGTCTTTATCCTGAATAAATTCCCACAATAGAGCAATCTCACTTAACTTCAATTGAGGTGGTTCTTATTGAGGATAATGCTAAGGGAAAGCGAAAAGGAAAACTAAATGATATTCTGTGATTTAATTGAGACTGTATAACCTTTGAGCAGAATGATGACACGTGATTCGTCTAGCCAACCCAAATGGTTGAGAAAATGCTTTATCAAGTTGAGTTTATTCATCTGGAAACTTGCTTATAATTTATTACATGTATGACAAGTTTTAATGATCTTCATATAACAAGGAAGAAAATTTATCAATATATGAAAGCAGGATGATGGTGGCTATAGGCAGAGCATTGGCGGAATTGAGAAACACATTTGACAAAATTGATTCCAGAATAGTTTGTATATGGCTTTATCATGTTGAATTGAGTTTATGTTGGATGAAGGTCTTTTACTTATCAAAAAAAAAAAAAAAAATGGATGAAGGTCTTTAATTTTCTTCAAATTAATGAATACTGTTTGAAGTCATTGTCCAATGGTAGCTGGTAGTTATAGGCTTGTTACATTGACTCACCTGTTTCCGTTCACGTACCCGTGTCGACACCACACGACAAGTGTATGGGTATAGAGTATGTGTTCGGCGAGAAATTATACGTTGCGACGGTTGTAACCACCAAAGCAAAGCAAGTGAATTAACTTTTTAGTTGTATTGTAGGTTGTGATACCCCCTAATTTCGGAACACGGGTTGATCAAGTCCGCGCACAAAATCAGGGGATATCAAACCAATTAAAGTATTTAAACAAGCACGGATTACAAAATGAAATAAAGAATAAAATAAAACGCTGAAGAAATCCAATTAATAGTAAATCCATTAATAACTTCCAAATGGTTACAACTCGGGAATCCCGTAACTCAAGGACCCCTTAACCAAAAGTTACTATTTAGAATTTCAACCAAATAAGTACTAATATCAACTGAAACAAAACTAATATCCTACTTTTAAGTAAATAGAAGGAATGGATAAGTCCTCCAGCTGCGGATCCTCAACCTTGAGACTTGACCTTCTACAACCTGAAAAATAAATCGCGGGTTAAACCCTACGAGCAAGTTCTCTCTACCAAGCCTCTGAAAACCAATAAACAGATCATCTTTACCAAAACCATCCCTAATTAAGCTTTAACTTTAATATACGATGCTACAAATATATATAAATACTTATATATATAGTGCAAGAATCCTACCAGTTAATAGGGCATTAAATTGTCAAAACCACTCACCAATAATTAATTATCAGACATACCTAGACCAAGCCCCCCCTTTTATAATATTCTCATAAAGTAAACCCCACTCACCTTAACTCCATCCTAAACAGTACTTTAGTCATCTAAACATATAGCAATTTAGATATGCACCGGCAAATCAACCATGCCTTTTATAAATATATTTATTTATATATTAGCAATTCAACCATGCTTCCTTCCGTATATTTACTTTTGCAATTAATTAGCAATTCAACCATGCTTCCCATATATGAAATTTATTCATAACCAATAAGGCAGTATATCAAAGCCTTTGGCAACTCATCCATGCCTACAATTCAACCATGTACTAACTTTAAACTTATAGACTTCACATGCATATAATAAGCATGTCCTTAATTTAATAACCGTGTATCTATTACGATTTTAAATCAACCATACCATAATCTTAAATAATATATATACACATATATTTTATAATATATATATATGTGTGTATCATACATTCCATACCAATCGTTGACTATTTAAATCATATCTACATATATATATACATATATACACCTCCTTTCATTGCAAAAATATTTAATTAAGTGTATTTATACCACTAAATGCTACTAGGTATCTTAGTAACACTCTGAGGCTCTCAGAACATCAAGAACACACCCTCTAATGATTAATTTTAACCCTAACACGCTTAAGATAAATACTGGAAATTCACCGGAGTCTCAAGCAACTTTTCAGGACCTCACACGCATCCCCACGCGCCTCCACGCGCCACCACATACCCCTAGACTACTCCCACGCGCCTTCACGCGCTTCTCCTTACCGGCAGGCGCGTCCACGCGCCTGCACGCGCCTGAGCCACTCTCGGCGCGTGTGTGGCTTGTTCCTATTGGCCAGCCTTCTGCGTTCTAGTGTATTTGCTTGCACTGGATCATTTTCCTGTTGACTAGACCACATCTATGGTCCAGATTTAATGCGCACACAAATTTTATACAACCGCAACACACTGAATCATCCTACACCCATTATCTTCATCTAACGCCCCAACCTAGCGAGTGCAACCGTTTCTCATGTAATCATCCACATTGGATTATTCTCTTGTTATCAGGACCAAATGATGGTCCTGATTTGGGCGCACAAGAAAGACTGTGTGTTGCGCCGCACCAAATCCAACCCCTTTTTGTGCATGCGCCGATTTGTATGTTGCCAGTATATATATATATATATATATATATATAACCAAAAATTATACATAATAGTGTATATATTTTACCAACAATTTTATCAAAGGGAAAAAAACTAAAACAAATAATACGAATCATATGTATAAAATATCCAGAAAATTTCAGAAGCACTCAAATACTATATGTAATATTTTAAAGCCAACATTAACATATATAATAATTTAACCACCATATAATATAACTAATCATGCTACCCATCATTAAATCAACCTTTAAAAATTTCAGAAATTAAAATTAGAAAATCCTAATAGCACATACATGTATATAAAGGATTAAAGCTACATATATGCCAACAATAAATGTGATCCCAATAATCTGATTACTAATTTATTTTGATTGCACAACATAAAATAAAACTATAATTTTGATAATGAAGGTGATAGGCTTATGAGCCCTAAGAGGAGAAGTAGAAAAGAACTTGCCTTTCTTTTGCAAATCCGGTCTCCTCTTCGTTAGCCCTTCTTCTTCTCTCTTTAATTCTCTTATTTTTCTAACGTGGAAAAACTCCTAACCCTAAAGTCTTATGTGTTTATTTATACACATCCAAAAACCTACATCCTTTTCCCATTAGGATTATTATCATATAAAATAAATAATATTTATCTTTTAAATAATATATATATATATATATATATATATATATATATATATATATATATATATTACCTTCCATATATAACCATTAGTATAAATAGATTATATATACCTATATATATCAATATATAATTATATTGACATATATATCCCTCCTCATGATTTAATAATGAATTAATATACACATGTAATTATATAGGTATAATTATGCAAAGATAATTATTAAATATCCTCCCAACCACGGGCCTTTACCAATTAACCCAACAAGGCTTCCTTCAAGCCCAATACCACATCCGTTGGTCCAACTTCCTTTAATCCCAATCCAAATAACTTAAATACCTAAAATAATGAAATTAAATTTAATAGCTACCAATAATTAACAATAAAGTTACACCAACATAAAATTACGCAAATCAAATAAACACTTTACTAACTAGCATTCCACAAATCAAACACCATATAAATTTAACAAATAAAATTACAAAATATAATTTAATTAAAACAATACAATTTACCTACGCACTTGATTAAATAAAACAAATCACAACTATCAAGCACCTAATTAAATAAAACAAATCACTTAAAAATAATAATAATAATAATATAATATAAATTAATTTAATTAATAAATCCTTTTTAAAATATCGGGGTATTACATTCTTCCCCCCTAATAAAAGGAATTTCGTCCTCGGAATTCACGAATCCATGAAATGAAATTTTGATTATTTGTCCCAAACTTTCATTTTCCCTTATTCCACTGTTTGCCATGTAAGATATTTAATATGTAAATATCTATAATAAAATGCTCACAATTGTGTATATTACTTAAACACCTAGTGGTGTAATATACTAACAGTCAATGATTTGTATATATATGTATAAATATATATCACCATCATAAGCCAAAACCATCCAGATACTACTGAACATGATGCACTTATATCTACTAAGTCATTTCTATATCTACCTTGAAATAAAAAAAACATACCTCAATTCTTCTGAGGTACCCATGCATTGCAAGGTGTGGCATTGTACACCATACCCTGATGCAACTGCTGTATAGGCTGTCCCTGCGGTGGCGGTGGTGCTGGTAAGGCCGGAAATGTCTGAGCCTGCACACGTGGAATCTGTGGAGTAGGTAATGGTTGCCACTGTCCCTGTTGCCCATGCTGTTTCTGAGCCAACCCAGGACACCGTTTGGCTGAATGCCCATAATCTCCACACTTATAGCAATGACCCCTAAATATATTTGACTGCCCCTCCTGGTGATTACCCTGTAGCTGTCCCTGTCCAGTCTGAGGTGCTCCAGTCTGCGGAGTGGAAACTCCCTCTCTCTGAACTTCTGAATTACCCTTGTGCCTCTTCCAAGGCTGCTGGCCCTGGAATCTGCCCTTATCATTCTGTCGGTTCCCATTATCATTCACTTTCTCAGCTGGCTGATTAGCAAAGTCTTTACCACCCCGCTTCTCAGCCCTAGTCTGTCTGAAATCCTCATTTAGCTGATAAAGCTGCAAAGCTGCGTCCACCACTTGAGCATAAGTAGTGTAGGCTGGACTACCAGTAATAGCTCTCTTGATAGACCACATCAGTCCTTTGACGAAACTGTTGCGCTTCTTCTCCTCTGTATCCACCTCCTCCGGTGCAAAAAGAGATAAGCGTGTGAACTGCTGTTCATACTCCGCCACTGTCATGTTCCCTTGCTGCAGATTAAGAAACTCAGTCTTCATGGCTGCCCTAACTACATAAGGGAAATACTTGTCTTCAAAGCGTGCACTGAACTCATCATAAGTCAATGCCATCCTCTCCTCTATGGTGGTAACTGACTCCCACCACTGCAGTGCATCCCCAACTAGCTTGAAGGTAGCAAGCATCTGCTTCTGAACCTCCGTGCACTGAACCAAGCGAAGATGTCGCTCAATGTCCTGTTTCCACTGGTGAGCTGCTCTCGCATCCGTGGAGCCCGTGAACTCAGGTGGACTCCCTTTTGTGAAAGAACTCCTGGCCTTCTCCCAAGTATCAGTCTGAACAACCGGTGCTGGTAACGGTGCTGGTTGTACCTGAGGCTGATTCCGAAGTACAGCTGCTACCCCAGCTTCTATAGCCCGAGCAATGAGGTCATTGATGTGAGGAGGATACTCTGGATCCCTGCCCTGAGCCGGAGCCTGAACTTCCTCTTGCTCCTCCTGAAGCTGACCCTCATCCTGAAACCCAAGTCGTTGCTGCTTTTCCTCCATTTGCTGACGTTGCAGGTGTTCTTGCTGCATACGTGCAGCTCTCCTCTGTCGACGGTTCAGATTCTGTCCTCTTCCAGTGTTAACCATGCTGTTAACATAGAACGACAGACATCAGTACGATTTTAACGGACCGTAAAGGAATACAATGTATCCTAAACTTAAGCTCTAAAGAAACGAGTACACAAAGCGGAATTCACATAACGAAAGACACCCTAGGGACACTTGAACCTGGAGTGCTCTGATACCAACTGTGATACCCCCTAATTTCGGAACACGGGTTGATCAAGTCCGCGCACAAAATCAGGGGATATCAAACCAATTAAAGTATTTAAACAAGCACGGATTACAAAATGAAATAAAGAATAAAATAAAACGCTGAAGAAATCCAATTAATAGTAAATCCATTAATAACTTCCAAATGGTTACAACTCGGGAATCCCGTAACTCAAGGACCCCTTAACCAAAAGTTACTATTTAGAATTTCAACCAAATAAGTACTAATATCAACTGAAACAAAACTAATATCCTACTTTTAAGTAAATAGAAGGAATGGATAAGTCCTCCAGCTGCGGATCCTCAACCTTGAGACTTGACCTTCTACAACTTGAAAAATAAATCGCGGGTTAAACCCTACGAGCAAGTTCTCTCTACCAAGCCTCTGAAAACCAATAAACAGATCATCTTTACCAAAACCATCCCTAATTAAGCTTTAACTTTAATATACGATGCTACAAATATATATAAATACTTATATATATAGTGCAAGAATCCTACCAGTTAATAGGGCATTAAATTGTCAAAACCACTCACCAATAATTAATTATCAGACATACCTAGACCAAGCCCCCCCTTTTATAATATTCTCATAAAGTAAACCCCACTCACCTTGAACTCCATCCTAAACAGTACTTTAGTCATCTAAACATATAGCAATTTAGATATGCACCGGCAAATCAACCATGCCTTTTATAAATATATTTATTTATATATTAGCAATTCAACCATGCTTCCTTCTGTATATTTACTTTTGCAATTAATTAGCAATTCAACCATGCTTCCCATATATGAAATTTATTCATAACCAATAAGGCAGTATATCAAAGCCTTTGGCAACTCATCCATGCCTACAATTCAACCATGTACTAACTTTAAACTTATAGACTTCACATGCATATAATAAGCATGTCCTTAATTTAATAACCGTGTATCTATTACGATTTTAAATCAACCATACCATAATCTTAAATAATATATATACACATATATTTTATAATATATATATATGTGTGTATCATACATTCCATACCAATCGTTGACTATTTAAATCATATCTACATATATATATACATATATACACCTCCTTTCATTGCAAAAATATTTAATTAAGTGTATTTATACCACTAAATGCTACTAGGTATCTTAGTAACACTCTGAGGCTCTCAGAACATCAAGAACACACCCTCTAATGATTAATTTTAACCCTAACACGCTTAAGATAAATACTGGAAATTCACCGGAGTCTCAAGCAACTTTTCAGGACCTCACACGCATCCCCACGCGCCTCCACGCGCCACCACATACCCCTAGACTACTCCCACGCGCCTTCACGCGCTTCTCCTTACCGGCAGGCGCGTCCACGCGCCTGCACGCGCCTGAGCCACTCTCGGCGCGTGTGTGGCTTGTTCCTATTGGCCAGCCTTCTGCGTTCTAGTGTATTTGCTTGCACTGGATCATTTTCCTGTTGACTAGACCACATCTATGGTCCAGATTTAATGCGCACACAAATTTTATACAACCGCAACACACTGAATCATCCTACACCCATTATCTTCATCTAACGCCCCAACCTAGCGAGTGCAACCGTTTCTCATGTAATCATCCACATTGGATTATTCTCTTGTTATCAGGACCAAATGATGGTCCTGATTTGGGCGCACAAGAAAGACTGTGTGTTGCGCCGCACCAAATCCAACCCCTTTTTGTGCATGCGCCGATTTGTATGTTGCCAGTATATATATATATATATATATATAACCAAAAATTATACATAATAGTGTATATATTTTACCAACAATTTTATCAAAGGGAAAAAAACTAAAACAAATAATACGAATCATATGTATAAAATATCCAGAAAATTTCAGAAGCACTCAAATACTATATGTAATATTTTAAAGCCAACATTAACATATATAATAATTTAACCACCATATAATATAACTAATCATGCTACCCATCATTAAATCAACCTTTAAAAATTTCAGAAATTAAAATTAGAAAATCCTAATAGCACATACATGTATATAAAGGATTAAAGCTACATATATGCCAACAATAAATGTGATCCCAATAATCTGATTACTAATTTATTTTGATTGCACAACATAAAATAAAACTATAATTTTGATAATGAAGGTGATAGGCTTATGAGCCTTAAGAGGAGAAGTAGAAAAGAACTTGCCTTTCTTTTGCAAATCCGGTCTCCTCTTCGTTAGCCCTTCTTCTTCTCTCTTTAATTCTCTTATTTTTCTAACGTGGAAAAACTCCTAACCCTAAAGTCTTATGTGTTTATTTATACACATCCAAAAACCTACATCCTTTTCCCATTAGGATTATTATTATATAAAATAAATAATATTTATCTTTTAAATAATATATATATATATATATATATATATATATATATATATTACCTTCCATATATAACCATTAGTATAAATAGATTATATATACCTATATATATCAATATATAATTATATTGACATATATATCCCTCCTCATGATTTAATAATGAATTAATATACACATGTAATTATATAGGTATAATTATGCAAAGATAATTATTAAATATCCTCCCAACCACGGGCCTTTACCAATTAACCCAACAAGGCTTCCTTCAAGCCCAATACCACATCTGTTGGTCCAACTTCCTTTAATCCCAATCCAAATAACTTAAATACCTAAAATAATGAAATTAAATTTAATAGCTACCAATAATTAACAATAAAGTTACACCAACATAAAATCACGCAAATCAAATAAACACTTCACTAACTAGCATTCCACAAATCAAACACCATATAAATTTAACAAATAAAATTACAAAATATAATTTAATTAAAACAATACAATTTACCTACGCACTTAATTAAATAAAACAAATCACAACTATCAAGCACTTAATTAAGTAAAACAAATCACTTAAAAATAATAATAATAATAATATAATATAAATTAATTTAATTAATAAATCCTTTTTAAAATATCGGGGTATTACATAGGTCCACCTTGCTTTGGTGGATTTTTTGTAACCGTGGGTTATTCCACGTCAGCGTTACAACCGTTGCAACATATAATTTCTCGTGTTCACATGATATGATTGAACAACAACTTAGATTTAATAGCAGAGATGAATTTCCTATCTTTGAGATAGATAGAAACACTTTTCTTTTACCACACATCATTTAATTTGATTTATAATTGAGTATATTCTTATAAATCAACAACATTAACATAACACTCTAATAAATCATATTATGTACGTATTTAAATGCATAGTATGTGTCTACGTATCTGTATCCATATCCAACTTTTAGACTCATATTCCTGTATCCTAAATTTGAGAGGTCCGATACTTGGACACAGCTGCACCCGAGATGCTTACCTAAGTCTGGGTAACACAGGTTATAGTTATGGTTGCTCCTTGAACTTGGTCAACTTTCATTTTTGATGTTGAAGCCAATGATTTCCGTGTTAAAAGATCTGGCACCTCTACGCTGTTAATTATTTCCTACAATTTAGCAATTTATATTACTGCTGTCCTGTTTGGACCTTCAGAATGAATCTTTGTGAAATAATTAAGTAAATACAAAACACAAGAAAGTAATTCTACTGATGTGATGGTAAGTGAAGAGGAGATGGCCAATTTAAATAAGGTTCAATATCTATGGGTCCCTGATGCAAGAAAAAAAGTAAAAGATCAGAGTATAAGAGGAGAAGAAAAGAAAGAAGGAGAAGGATGGAGGAAAAGAGAAGAAGAGAAATCTTCCACAAAGAGAGAGAGAACGCCCGCGGGGGGGAGAAGAGAGAGAAGGAAAAAAAATGATGGTGGAAAAGCGAAGAAGATTACATAAAACAGTGAGATTATAATATTTTTATTTTAGATACAGATCTGTAGTTGTTTAAGAATTTTCCAACATTTTATTTCTTCATTACACAAGGACCCTGTATGGACAAAACCAAACTAAAATAAATACCTAATAATTAAATATCCCTAAAAATAAGAATATGTGAAAGTAAAAGTAACTTTTAAATTTAATCCTCAGGATTGTTGCACCTATGCATGCACCATTTTGGGGCCGCGGGCGCGGGGGGGGGGGGGGGGGGGGGGGGAGAGGGAAAAAAAAAAAAAGGATGGTGGAAAAGAGAAGAAGATTACATAGAACAGTGAGATTGTAATATTTTTATTTTAGATACAGATCTGTAGTTGTTTAAGAATTTTCCAACATTTTAATTCTTCATTACACAAGGACCCTGTATGGACACGACCAAACTAAAATAAATACCTAATAATTAAATATCCCTAAAAATAAGAATATATGAAAGTAAAAGTAACTTTTAAATTTAATCCTCAGGATTGTTGCACCTATGCATGCACCATGTGGGTCTCATCGTGATCCCCATTAGCCCCAATGTTGTGGCATCAGCCATCTAGATTCTTATCTCAATTGTGTTTTTTATCTCATAATGCTGAACCTATGACTCTAGTAAGTATTAGACACTGTTTGTAAATTCGATATTTGATACTAAGTGTTTCAAAAATCTATATTGGTTATAGGTTACTGGCTATGGAAAAAAGGTGATCTATAATGTCAAATTCTATTGTCATTTGATACTTATAGGCTTGTCACTTGTGATTTGCCTGGAGTTTAAAGCTGCAACTAGAGATTTCTTGAACTTCAATATTAAAAAGAAAAAAATTATTTTACACTAGTTTTAAGACAATCCACATAAAACTAGTTGATGATAATTGGCTTGAGTGAGAGAGTTATTTGCTATGTTTCTGAGGGAAACGCGGGAGCATATGCTCTTAAAAGCTAAACCTATGAACTTTCTGCCATAAACATGGATATGAGGTCCCAATCGTGACAACTCCCTAAAATTTATACCATGGAAATGGTCATGTATGTTATGCTTGACATTTAGTTTCTCTATAAGCTCTGCTCTTTCTTTGTATTATGGAAAATCATGTTGATTTATATTCCTTAGCAAAATAGAAGTTTACTTCTCAACTGCTTGGTATATGCGTGCTTACATCTGCTTAACTGGAAGGGTGCATTTTCTTTCACTATCTTGTCATAATGCTTGTATACATAGTTGCGGATGGTGCAATGTAGTTGAAATTTCACTTCTGATTACCTGGAACAGGAAAGATGCAAGACCCCCTACAATTGGCTCAAGATGAGTTCAAAAAGATAGTTAAAATAAATTTCATGGCTGCATGGTATTTATTGAAGGCTGTTGGCAGAAGAATGCGGGATCAAAAATCAGGAGGATCCATTGTATTTTTGACCTCAATAATTGGTGGTGAGCGAGGTATATATCAGGGAGCTTCTGCATATGGTTCGTGTTTGGCAGGAATTCATCAGTTAGTTAGGGTAAGTAAACCTTAATTTGCATAATTTGTCATAGCATTTACAATATTTTCCTGAAATTTATGCATACCGTGAATTGGACATTGTCAAATGATGTGATTATGTATTGTGCTATATAGCTTTACGACTTCGTTACAACAGTGCTTTGGTTGTGCAGGTGTTCTACACTTCTACAACTTGCTTGTTTTGTTGACTTAGTGAAAATTGATCAGATAGCATTAACTTACTATGCATCCCACCAGATTGTGTGTTTCCTCAGCTCATATTCTAGCATTAGTAATGGACTTTCAGAATGGGTAATGGTTTTAGTGTCTTTACACACACAATTCCACTAATGTGAGACTGATGTTGAGCTACCCTTTGTCAAGAAAATTTGATTGAAACATATGGAGAAGAGAAAAGGATGGGGAGGGGGGTTTAAGTTCTTGGATGTCACACTAATTTCGAGTCCTGAGAGGAGCTTGAGCACCCGTAACGAAAATAATAATAATAATAATAATAATAATAATAATAATTTGCTAAAAAGAAATAGAAAAAGAATTTGTCTATCAGATATTTTCAGTTGCCCAAATAGGAGCAATGTTTCTAGAACTGAGTTAGTTGCTCGCATAGTGTTGAATTGTTGTTGCGACTTTTTCAAATTATTTTTGAGTGACATTTTATTTCTATACGATCATTTTCCTGAGTTGAGTTATTATTTTATATTAACATCTCTGATAACTGTTCTCAGACATCTGCTCTGGAGATTGGGAAGTACCAAATCAGGGTTAATGCAATTAGCCGTGGCTTGCACCTACATGATGAGTTTCCAATCTCAGTGGGTACCGAGAGGGCAGAGAAGTTGGTCAAGGAAGCAGCACCTCTCGACAGATGGCTAGACGTTAAAAATGATCTGGCTTCAACTATCATCTACTTAATAAGTGATGGCTCGCGCTACATGACTGGGACCGCAATAATCGTTGATGGCGCCCAGTCTCTGGTAAGGCCACGGATGCGATCTTATATGTGATTTGTAGGTAGTGGAATAGCAATACAGAATTTTTTTAGTAAAACCCTAGAAGGTGGTGTGACCAGTGTTGTTGAATTCGAGTACAATCACAATTATAATAAAATCAGTCCGTTCATTTGTTGAAATCTACAACAAGCTGGTCTTCATTATCTCTCTCTTTTTTATTTGATGAGTATGTTGTATCAGCTCCTTGCAACACATCATTACCATTTCGCAACTTCTTGAAGTTCCATTATAGTGGAGAAAAGTTGCTACAAAAGACGATGAATGAAAACTCTTCTGAAGCAAAAACCATAGTCGTGAAGATATGCCTCATCTGAATGTGATGGTTTAAATGTTCACATGGCATAAACACATACACACACATATTGCAGCATGAAAAAATTAGACCTACCGGAGTTAGAGAATTTTTGTGGGAAAATTGGGCAATACATCTAAAGCACATTTACACAAAGTGCAGATTGACAATTTAAATCCACAAGACGGTCTTCTTGTGTTGACAGAAAAATGGTTGCTTCTAGTGCAACAGAAACGTGTCACTCAATAGGTTGTGAATTTTTAGCCACAGATAGTGACACTGGACTAGGTTTTGACAAAACTATAACGGTCTGTTTGGTTTGGGATAGAAACTGAAAATAAATATGGACGGCCTTTTCTCCGTATGTGATAAGAGGAGAGGAAAAGAAAAATGAGGGAATCTCTTCACTCCATATTGTTTATATAATTAGTAATTACATTCATTCTTCTTCTTTTTCCTTTACATTCTTATTCTTTTAAAAAAAAAAACAAAAGAAAAATCTCTTCTTTTTTTTACTTGAATAAAAAGAAAAAAAGTCATGTGACTTCAAGCAATTACAAGTCGAAATCCAATGATTTCATGGTTAACTAAACAATGTACTTTGATTTCATACATTTATCTGGACAGAAAATGATGATGTGGTGTATTTAAAATTATTGATCTCCTTGTCACTCATGATGATAGTTTTTTCCATTCCAGTCACTAAAAAAAAGAAAAGAAAAGAAAAGAAAAATGTTAATTTAAAAAGATAATGGGGTTCGGTCAAGTTTTCCTCCAGCCTTTTCGACAATCATTGTCATATACGGAGTATATGTGTGTGTGTGTGTATATATATACATAATCATATTTTTTGTTCAGAGCAAGAAATTCATCCAATGTATAGTCATTATTTATACACACACACACACATATATATATATATATATAATTGCACAATATATAGTGATAGTACTTGTACGTAAGGAAATAATCTGTGGAAGGTCGCCATTCAAGAATGGCAACTACTACAGCGGTTGAAACCATGAATTGATGACATGTTGCAAAAGAGACAAGGCTATATAATATGGACTTCTCCGGCCATCTGGATATATCATCGTCATCATATATAGATAAATAAATATATATGTCTGCGACGTACATTATTGATTATATAGTACATACCGTAATCACAAGTCCAACAATGAATGACTTCCTAATTTAGCCCTAGTCCTTCATAGGGCCGCGTATGTGCCTTCTGCGTATCAATTCTCATTATTTATTTATTTTCAACTTTCAACCTTTTATTAATTTAAGAAATAATCTTTGGTCACATAACTTTTACTAATAATTTCCCTATCTATTTTTGTATATTTAATATTACGACTAATGTTGGTCAAAGATTCTTCCAATTTTTTTTATTAAAAAAATTAATGAATTTTCCTTTATCTTATAAACCTACCTAGCCTTATTAAAAAAAATTAATGAATTTTCCTTTATCTTATGAACCTACCTAGCCTTGTATGCCTCCCTAATTATTGTTACATTTCCGCTTGTAAGAGTGACTACATCAAAACTCTACCACGAATTTACTAAAATAATTGTTAAAAAAATTTGAGTGACAAAGCGTGAGAACACAACCTCAACTTAATATTGTATACCTATTAAAAGAGAATTTGTGACGGTGCTTCAACAAAGATTAGAATTTCTTTTCAATTATTTCATCATGATTATATTATAGGGAGAATTTATCCCACATCAGATTCGGATAAGAAAGTGAATGGATATATATGGGTAATGGATTGAGTGTCAGTTTCACCTAATAATTTAGCCCCCGTTTGGCATGCGTTTTGTTTCTGCTGTTTTTGTATTTGGGCTATTACAGTGTCGATTTTGATAACAAAAGCATATTTGGTGTGGCCTTGTTTTATTTTATATAATACTGAAACACTTCGTAATCAGTGGTCTAAAATCAAAACACCAAAAAAATTTTATTTTTTATTTTTTATTTTTTTGTTTTGACGACTATTCATAATCCAAAACTATAATAGTATCATTCCTAAACATGCTTTCGATTTTTTTTTAAAACATTCCTGCAGTAAAAATTTTGTTTCTGTTTTAGCCAAAAAGAAAACTCCAAAAATAAAGGGCATGCCAAAAAGGCTCTAAGTTTTTGGGTTTGCGAGTCCGAGTGAAAAAAAATATTACAAGGAGAAATAATCCAATATCGAATTCGGATTAAAAAAAACATCCGCCTATGCCAGATTAGTACTTGCCCTGCTTTCAACTCGGGTAAAAAATTTATCACCCCCAATTTCAATCTCATTTAAGACAGCAATTTGAGGGAAATTTACTCTCTTTTAGTTTTTGTTTAATTAATTAGTAGTTTATTTATGTTTTGACTCAGAAGTGACATTAAGCTGTACAATTACCTGCCTGAATCTCTTTGTCCATGCCCTAGTAAATAAAATTGGGGATGCATATTGGCTTGTAAGATTGTCATTGTCAATGATTTAGACAAAATGTGTGCTTATACATGCACTCTGCATAAAAATATGATAATAAAAACATGAATGAAGGGAAAGTGGAGAAAAAGAGGATTTAGGTTCTTTGGATTGAATGATTTTGAAAGAAAATAGGAAAGAAAGTTTAACTTGTATTTATTTTTCAAACGAGAAGAAAAAAGATAATAATAATATGGTAGTGTTACGTCACATTCAACGACGTGAACAAACTAATAACTAGACGATTCAAAATGGCTGGTTAACTTGTATTTGTTTAAGGAAAGAAAGTTCAACTTGTATTTGTTTTTCAAACGAGAAGAAAAAAGATAATAATAATGGAGTAGTGTTACGTCACGTTCAACGATGTAAACAAACTAATTGTTGTCGATTCAAAAAGTAAATAACATTCTTACGTCATGTTAAATTATAATTTAAAGATTAAAATAATTTGAAATGTCTATTTTCTTTCAGTTTTATTGAGTTAAATTTAGATTTCTCTCTCCCTCTTTTTTCTTTTTTAACTCAACTTAATATTTATTATTATTATTTTTTTCTTAATTCTTCTTATACATATATACGATACCATTACTGAACTTTGATTCGCAAGAAGGAAAGGAGGATTTAGGTTCTTTGGATTGAATGATTTTGAAAGAAAAGAGAAAAGAAAGTTTAACTTGTATTTATTTTTCAAACGAAAAGAAAAAAGATAATAATAATAGAGTAGTGTTACGTCACATTCAATGACATAAACAAACTAGTAATCAGTTGACTCAAAACGTAAATAATATTCTTTCAGCGACGTTAAATTATAATTTAAAGATTAGAATAACTTGAATTGCCTATCTCTTTTCAGTTTTATTAAGTTAAATTTAAATTTCTCTCTATTTTTTAACTCAACTTAATATTTATTATTATTATTATTTTATTAATTCTTCTTGTACATGGTATACAGACTTTGATTGGCAAGAAGGAAAGAAGGATTTGAAAATTCATAGGAAGATGACAAATCTCCGTATCTAGACTTCTTTTCTCCCGGTCAAAGGTATGAAAGGGACCCCGTTGGCATTTTGTGACTGCGCAGACCAAAACCACAACTTCTCGTCAAAGTTTCCAAGCCCGTGCTCTTTTCCGGTCCCCAATGCTTACAAAATTACTACCTCCTTTCAAAAACCTAGTGTCATGTTTTAGAAACTATGTCAGTTTAATTTGTTAGAATTATAATTCTCTAATGTTATATTTGGTTGGAAGGAAAAATTAATAAGGGATGGATGAAAGGGAGAATGAATTAACTTTTTCGTATTTGGTTGGAGGAAAGGGAAAAGCGGAAGAAAGTAAGGAGGGATGCTTCATCTCTCATTCCTTTATATTTCTCTATCCGCCCAAAATTAGAAAGAAGAGAAGAGAAAAAGAAATAATAACTAACACAAATATTAATTTTCTATTTCTAACCTTCCTAAAAATTTGGGATAGATATAAAATTTTTAAATACTGAGGGCATATTAGTAAAAAGAATATAAAAACTCTATTTCCCTTCCTTCTAACCAAACAAAAAAAAATGTGTCACTCCATCCATCATTTCTACTATCCATTCTATTCAACCAAACAAAAAGTGAGAGAGATACCTTCCATTCCCTAGGAATGCTTCATCCATCCCTTCCCCTATCCCTTCTATCTATTTTTCCATCCCTCCAATCAAATGAAGCATCAAAGTGACACTATTTATGGGACAGAGGGAGTAATTCAAATCCCGTCATCTCTCTCCCATGAGTTTGAATAGCGCACGAAGATGGAACAAGAATTATTTCCGGTACAAGAGAAATTTTACACATAATTCAGTGATTGAGATTGTATTATTATTAGTGAATTTTATTTATCAATTCAATCTCAATTATTAGATTCTGTGCAAGATCTCTCCTGCGTTCGAGAGAATCCTTATTCGACGGAAACGATCACTCAAACATATAATTATAAGAATAATACTTGTATTGAATTCACTCATCTAACTGTTGATGTAACTTAATAAATTTAAAATTAATGTTCAAAAGCAAAAATTAGATTTAAGTTGGGTATTACCCAATTATTCGGGTTTAACACATTGCTGTGAGATTATTTATTATTATTATTATTATTTTTTTCGCTCTATCATTTTTCTCTCCCTCCAAGAAAGGCCATCAATGCCTGTTTTTGCCGGTTCTGTTCAACGTTGTTGTGCCATTGCCAACCATCTTTGCAAATAACTTCATCGCTAATTCATGTCACCGTCCATTAGTCTGTCCTTAGTAACAAAATTTTAGTTCAAAAGACAGAGACATGTGTTAAATAATTCAGATTGCATTGAATTTTGGGC